TGGAGAGCAGGTAGGTACATGGTTAGCAAAAGACACGAACAGCTCAGCAGATGGAGAAAGACCAGAACTTCGAAGGAGGCCACTTACGAATGACTATCGCGGAGAACTGCCCAAAGACCGGCACCCACGCCACAATAGCCGCGACCTGACCAAAACCCCACTCATTCTCCGCGTACGACAACCCCGACAGATTCTCCGCATGTTGGCGGAGGGAATGGAAGAAGCCCAGAGAAAGCCAGACAAGAACAAAGCTGGTGAGGACTAAGAACCCGCCAAAGATGCCTGTCAAAACCAAATAGAGCGTCAGGACCGTGTCATTCCCCTTGTCAGTCATTTTGGGAGTCCGGATCCGGATGACCAGCAAGGAGCCGCCCCATAAAACGATTAGCGCAAGGACGGCATAGGGAGTGCCCTTGACCAGCTTCTGCACGGACTGAGCCGAATGCACCGTTCCCAGGCACCTGGCTTCGAATGTGGTCTTGTTTTCTCCCAGGCTGATTCTGAAAAAGGCGATGCTGACGCCGGCCATCATGCAGAGGAGCACGGTCAGGCCGGAAAAGGTCAGCACCGGGTACTTGTGCCGGCCGGGGAACCACGGCCAGAGACAGATCAGCACGGCGATGGAGTTGACGGCGCCCAGATAGGTGAAATAGCCAGAGTAGACCCGGCCGGTTGAGTCGTTATCATGGTCAGTGATGAAGACGACCGCGGCTATGACGAAGGTGAAGGCGAAGACGTAGCAGGTGGCCCAAAAGACCTCGAGGCAGTTGTCGGCGGTTTCGCGGAAGGCGATGGGGTCGAACAGCTTGGTCGCTTTTTGGGCGGCGGGCTGGTCGTCGTGTTGCTGGGAAGTAGGTTGAGGGTCTGTGGGGCTGTCGTTGCCTTGAAGTTGCTTGGGGAGGGTTGGTTCCTCCTCAGGTTTGTTCACGTCCACCACATCTTTGACATAAAAGCGAATGTAGAAGAGCAGGAACAGAGTGGCGAGAGCGGCTTGGACCATGAACGCAGCATAAACCTGCAGAACTGTCGTGTGAGACGGAAGTTGTTACTGCAGCCGAAGAAAAAAAAAAAAAAAAAAAAAGGTACGCTCTACTCACCCCGATGCCAGAAACATCCGGATTGCCTTCCCATTTCAAGGACCTGCAAAACTTCTTGGGACATGTTTTGATGGTATGGTCAACGAGATGTTCCAAACTAGCATCCGCCGTGTGGATGAACCAGTCGGTGGCCTGGCCCAGGGTGTACTCGGTGAAGTCGTCGTCGGTACAAGACGAAATGAAGCTGTCGAGCCGATAAACAGGCAAATCCCAATCCATGTTGAACTGATTTCCCTTTATATGACGTTGCTGACCTGTGATGTCTTGAGTTCCCCGCAGATAACCGAGGAATCTGGTAGCGGCTTTGGCACAGTCGCTGTCACAGGGCTTTTTGATGCGTTTTTCCAAGCCTCGGAGAGTGAGATTGGCGGTAACGAGAGGATTACGGCCGGGATCTCGCCAGTCAAACTGTTCTGCCTCTGCCATGGTTCTTCTGCTCCAAGATTGCAGATCTCGTTGAGGTCTGGTGAGGTGGGATGCGTTATAAGTATCGCAGGGGAAAGGGAATATGAAAACGGCGGTTGAGGACGAACTGTTGCTTTCGCGGGGGTAGGGCTTCTTTTCTTCTCTATAAGAACAGGAAGCTGCCTACCTACCTACCTACCTCCAGGCATCCATCGTGAATGTGAACGCCTTGTATGTCTTCTTGCCTCTTTAAATGACCCAATAGCGAGGGATTTGAAAGTTATACTACCTTAGGCTTATAAACAAGGATTCGGTCTGTGCTGGACCAAGCATTCATCGTGGATGTGAACGCCACGCATATTGTTTGCTGCTGAGTGACGAAATCGTACGGGAGGTGAAGGTTACACGACTTAGGGCTGATTACCAAGGATCCGATCAGTGCTGGGCCGCATAAGAGCCTTACACAATACTCGGATCCGGCGGGGGTCATTAGGTATCGTATATATCTCACAGTCATCCAAGGGTCAACCGGCCTCAATTACACAATGGGTGGCCATTGCTGACCAAGGCTTCCTACTGTATATATATGTGTATCGTAGTACGAATCCTTCTGTTTAATAGGGTCGCTACGACGAGAGACTGGCCTTGGGCGGTTGGTGGTTTCCTCGGCTATGTCAATGAAGGGAGCCTCCGTTTGGAAGACATTGACGGACCAAGGTGATATTTCCCACTTCAGAATCAGTGTTCTCTGGGACGTTGATACATTGAAGGACGAGGGTATGTACCTGCCCATTCCGAGATTCAGTACTCTTGCCAGAAGCTGTACCACGCCTGGACTTCTACCATGACCTAGACGATGTTTCGAATGGCCTAGGCGGCCTTCTCGTTCTTGACTCGTTCGTCCTAGTTTGCATCGGCCTCGGCTGTTTCATGTACCTTCAACACATTATTTGTTGGCCGAATCCCAAACCGTCGGTCCGCATCATGGTCATCGATATCCCGGAAGCCGAGCCGCGGTGAGACAGGGTACTGAGATTCGAAAACTGGGGTTGATGAGGCCCTTGATGACAGGTAACGCGAAGTTTGAGTACGGCCGTTCAAGGACAAGGACACATCCTGTGCAAAATCGGTGCAGTGATGGCTCCGCAACCTGGTGGAGAATGAGTGATAAAAGGCCATCTTCTACGCCAGGATAACCATCAAGGCCCGCATGGCTCAGTGGTAGAGCGCATCACTAGTAATGATGAGGTCGTCAGTTCGATTCTGGCTGTGGGCATGATAGCGCGATGAAGCTCGTGATCTTTTCTTTTTTGGCCGTTTTTAGTAATGCCATGGAGTTGTGACTTGTTGGTGGTTTGGGAAGAGTTCCATCATCTCTTCGCTGGACGGGTGGGTACCATGTAGAAATTTCTAGGAAGCATTCATAACCCTAACCCAGCGCTCGTGTAACCTTCCTGTTCTTGCCCTCCCTCCCCCCTCCCCACCTGGGACTTTCCAAGAAGTAGCAGTCCCTACGTCTTTGTCCTTCCTCCCTGCATTGCCACCCCCCATTCAGTGCCCCGTGTAGATAGGACTGGATATACCGCAATGTCATTCGATTGAGCTGGTTGAAAGTGCGTGTGATGACTGATGAGAGACAGCGCTTTTGCAGGAATCTCGTGCCTTGTGCAAATCCTCAGACATTGTCCTTTCAGAAACACGCCGGGGGTGTTGCCACAGCTTACGCAGATATCAGGCCGGCCTTTATCTACGATTGAACAGAAAAAGTCGCGTTTTCTTTGCACTTGTAGAAATGACCTTGGTCAACAGTGGCCACTCATTGAATGATTGAGGTCGATCTTTGTCTGAGTGTGGTACACAAACCGGAACCGAGTACCGTGTAGGGACCTAGCGCAGACCAGACCCTTGTATACTTTTATACTCGCAGTCTTACCTTTACCTCCCTTGCGATCTCGTTACTTAGAGCTAACACACGTGCCAGACGTTCGCCTTCGTGGGGAACGCCTTACTGCCCGTCTTCAAAGAGAAAGACAGGTCCAACAAACAGTTCATCCTCGACCGACTCTGTCATCTTGTCTGTCTCCTCACCACGGTATCTATCTATGTCAGAGGAAAGACTACGGAGACACTCCGCGATAATGCCCGCAACAGAGGTCTTACATGAGGTACTGGAGTGTTGTATGTATCAAAAATAATACTACCTTGTGAGGTAAACAGTTGAGGTTGTGTATGAGCGAATTGGGAGATTAAGGCCTTCGCGGCGTAATGATACGATGCTCTCAAGTGTTGAAACAGACTTGAACTGTGCAACCCTCTGTGTATGGATACAGTGATATAGTGCTATGGTCTACGAGAATTCAACAATCAACATTATCTCGCGCCAGTGGTTTAGTGGTAAAATCCATCGTTGCCATCGATGGGCCCCGCGTTCGATTCGCGGCTGGCGCATTTCTTTTGCTATTTTTTTTGGCGCTTTATCTTTTGCGGATTTCGCATCTGTACTTGGAGAAAGGGTCATTGTATCTCGGTGTTGATTGAGCTTCAATTTGAACACAAGTCTTTGTACTAACTTGAGTAAGCTCCCTGAAAATTTTCAACCTCTTCCGCTTCACCTTCAATCCGTGACTGAAGTTCCTTGCATGTCGCCTTTCAACGTTCTCTGATTCCTGCCGTCCCAAGCCCCCGGACCGCAATTCTTCGACTCCATGATCGGTCAATCGGCTTGTCAAGTGGAGGGGAAGTCAACAACGGAACGACGGACCCCAAGCCAGCCACTTCCACTTTTGTTCTCTCGCCTCGGGTTCGTTCCTGACCACTCATGCTTCTTCTGATCAGCCACTCGGAGGTTTTGGGTGCCCCGCCCCGCGCCCACCAATAGTGCACGCACCTAACGTTCGCTCCATGGCGCTTGTGCACCACCCTGAATTAACGCAAGGGGGGCCCGTTTTAGCGGGAACGGCCCGCGCCGACGGACATTTATTGGCCACCCATTCCACTTCTGTCTTTTAGTCCGCAATTCGTGAAAAGAAGAATGAGAAATGAGGTGGTTGAAGTGCCACACATTCCCATTCTTGCAATTTTTAACCTTCAAGTTTCTCCTTGTGAGTTTCTTTCTTTTCCAGTGCGCACGACATACCTCTACATGCTGGGTCGTTGGGGCGCTTCTGTAGGTACACTACTGTAGCTCTCAGACCACTGCGCCTCCGGCTATTTCGAATAATACCACCACACTCCACAAAACCAACCTCAACCAACCTCCAACAACTTCATGAGGCTCCTTTACCTTGCTCTCTACACAGTCAAAATGACAGTACCAGCCACAATATTGCTTCTTGCTCGGCCTTTTGGCGGAGATAGAGTATAGTCTTTGGCTCAACTGCAACTTTGAACCTTCAAAAGGGAAGGAGACAAACAGATCAGAAGAATGGCGATAACAATGGTCAAATATATATACTCTCAAAGTCCTACGAAAAGAAGATGATACTTGTCCCTTACCCCAAATACATCACCGCATCTTGAGTGTAGTGTAGTGTCATCACGCTAGCACCCAACCTGTACCCAAAACCGCCAACATGGTCTCCCTCAAGCTCACCACCACCATCGCCACGATGCTCGCGACCCTCACCATCGCCGCCCCATTCCCAGGCCCAGGCCCAGACCCAGCTCCGGCCCCGGTCTCCACCTCCACTTCCACTTCCATCTCCACATCCACGGCAACCAAGCCCTTCAGCTTCTCCAAATGGGTAGACGACATCCTCAACCCCAACGTCGTCGCCCTCACCCCAGAGCAAGCCCTCGAAGCCTACTACCAGAGCATCAATGGCACCAGGACCACCACCACCACCACCACCACTACTGGTACCGAGCTGTCTAAAAGGGCTGGCGCAACCTGCGAACCCAGCAACTCCAAGCGCATGCCTGTCGCCGACGCCGTTTACATCGTCAACAAGATGGCCGCAGGCGGACAGAAGCCCGTTCACATGCCGCCTCCCTTTTGCTCGGAATCCATCTGCCGCAGCACGAGCGGGAGGTCGGAGATGGTTGGGCAGAAGGATTGTAATTTGTATGTGGAGGAACCGTCCGAGTATTGGGCGAGGGCGGGGGGGTTGATTATGGGTGAGGTTTTTTTTTTTTTTTTTCCCTTCCTCTCATCCTCATTCTTTCAGAGGCTCATCTTGCAAAAAGTATGTTTTGCTAACTCTGCTCTAACATGACAGACGCCTGCACTTGGGGTGACATGAGCGGTGGTAAGATCATCATGCCTGCGAATCAGTACATCACTGTGTTGCTGTATGGTCAAGGGCACTGATGAAGGTTAAAATGGGTTGAGTTGAGGGTCACGGGCAACGGTTTTTGTGCTTGGTGGCTCATGTCTGTTGAAAAGAAGTGTCATTATTTCTCAGGTTCTGTGTTGCTAGGGAGGTTTTGTCTTTTTTGCTCTGTAGGGTCGGGCAGCCTGAACCTTGGGTGATGTTCGTAAGGACGTGTCGGAAAAGAACTATCTAGAAGAATGTATCATATGAACTTGGGAAACCCGGAAACCGCGTCAGGCCGGCAACGAAGGGTTGATATGAAAGCTTCTTGCCATTTTCATCAACACCCGCGTACATACAGCCAAAAGCAACGGGAAAATCTCCAATTCAAGGTGATGAACTTTGTCAAAGCCGGAATCCGGGATGTAAGCTTAGTATATATTCGACAGCCACGTAGTGTACGTACTCACTCTTTGAGGGCCCCCAAAATTACCATGCGAGTGCCTCACAAGACTTTTACCCCTGCGTTTTCTATAAGGTCTGGATTCCGGTTTATCCCAGTCAGTCCATACGGCAACCCTACAGGATCCGCACGATCATATCTGACCTAGTCTCTCCGGGTTACATACCCAAATTCAGCATGAAGTAAGTGACATGACTTCGCGGCTAGAAACGATGAACCCAGCCAATGTGGTGATGAAGCGACGCGGGCGAGATGGGGAAAGGTGGTTCGGTACATAGATGATTTTTTGTCTTCCGGATGATCTACACCCCCTGGTCACTTCTACAGGCTAGCCCACTGCTGTATGTAGCACTTTTAGACCACTATGTACACTACGTTCTAGGGCTGCGTTTGTTCTCTCGTACGGTTTTCGTACAGCGCTTCGATTCACTCAGGAACTTTTCTTGACCAACTCCGGTCAACTCAACTCAACTCCACTCAACACCCAACTAAACTCAATTCGGGACCCCAAGGCGAGAACCTAACTCACTCAGCTCTCTAAAAAGCGTATCAGAACAAACGCAGTCTAGTACACGTACACATAGCATCGGCTAGACTTGAAGAATACCACCACACCCCACAAAAAACTAAGCTAAAGCCAACCCAACCCAAACCAACAACCAACAAGGCAACAACTCAACTCCTCCTCCATGCGGCTCCTCTAACCTGCTGTCTGCACAGTCGCAGAGACAGTGCGTAGGTACATACGTGGCCCGGGAACAATCGCGCTTAAAGTTCCTTACCTTACCTGGCTTTGTGTGACCGCCCTACTTTTTTAGCCTATGTATGGTTCACAAACAGCAGCTAGAACCACCAAGGGAAGGCCTCAAATTCTATACGATGTCGGATCGTACCTACCTCGCTAGGTAGTATGTAGAATCGGCCCGGTTACACAAAGATCAGGGCCTCCTCCTGCATTGGCAAAAGTTATCTGATCCCTACCTCTATGTATGTACGTATCTCCGTGTGCTAACAGAAGTCCGAGACCACGGAAAATGACCCCAGCAAGGAAGTGGATACCTTTTTCACGTAGGTAGAGGTAGGTTGGTTCTAGACCGATTGAAGACTAGACTAGACAACATGAAGATGCGGACGGCACCATACATAGGTGAAATAGAGAAGGTCGAAGTTGAGTTTGAGTGGCAAGAGGATGAAGAGAGAAGTCATGTGGAATGTTCTGAAACTTGCCTAGGGACTGTTGAGAACCTTCAGGACTAGAGCTGCCGTTTGTGTCTTGGTTACTATAGCTACCTACCTACAAAGTTGATATGAGAACTTGTCTGAATGTAAGCCCAGTTCGCCCTCAACCACCTTCCACACCTTCATCCATCAGACTAAACCAATAACAAGCGCTACTCCCGGCTGTCACACCTCCCAATCGCCTGCTTCTGCTCCGCCGAGGCCCTTGACTGAACTCTCTCGGCCTCAAGGGTCATGACCCATCATCCATCATCCGTGCAATCCCGGTCCGTCTTCTAGGAGACGTAGCGTAGCGCATCACGAAGAAGCATGAGTATGTAGGTAAGGTGTGCTTGTTGACATGGGTCTGGGTGGTGGTTCGAGTTCAACTTGGTATGTAATGGTCGTGGAAAGGGTTCGGTTCGAGATGCCCCAGTTTTCGATCTAGGCAGCCGTCCATAAGCGAAGGCGATGGTGACTTCCTGGCATTCATCATGAGAGTGGTTGGGTCATTTGGCTGGCGCTCTCCATGGCTGGTCCCTGCAAAAGCAAGATGAGATGAACATGAACAGGCAGTGATTTTTTTTACAATGGAATGTTTGAGCGGATGCCTTTTCTTTGGTTTCTCACTCTAGCGACAGAGTTAGACTACCGCATAAAAGGCAAATGACGATTGATTTCCGCGTCATCAATCATCAAGTCGTGAGTAGATGCAGGAACGTTCATGTCAGGGGAGAGAAGGCGATACCACGATGGAAAGGCGGTAAACTTGAAAGAACGTTGATGTTGTATCTGTGCAGGGACGGCAGCCGAGGATAGCTCCAGCCAAAGGGCATTGGTTGGGATCCGGGGAAGGTAACCGAAAAGAGGAAGAGACCTTGGAGTAGTAGTTCCACTGCTCGGCTCATGGAAAGCGTCCGTATGTGAAGCCAGTCCGGATTGAGGATAGGAGCACTACCACGGTAGTAGTGTAGAAGGCTCTTCTTACCTACCTCTAGCCATGCCGCGAAGCGAAGAAGACCTCTAGAGGTAGGGAAGAAGATTGGAGTATAAGAAGGACGAAGGTCAGTCACAAAACCAAAGTAGAGATATTCCCTCCCCCATCCTCACCTGCACTCATCAGCTTCTCTTTCTCCCTCACCAAGTCCAGCATCCCCATCCCGTCAAAATGGTCGCCATGAAGTTCGCCACCATCGCCGTCCTTGCGACTGTCGCCGTCGCCGCGCCCACCACTGCCGTCACCACCGCGAAGGAGGTCAAGCCCTTCAGCTGGTCCCAGTGGGTCGCCGACATCATGAACCCCGATGTAGTCGCCCTCACCCCTGAGCAGGCCGTTGAGGCATACTACCAGAGCATCAACGCCACCGCGTCCACCCACGACGGCGCCGCGAAAGTCAAGCGGTTCAACAGGACTTGCGCTACTTCCGAAAATTGGAGGGCCGATGTTGACGCCGCTTCCAAGTGTGTGAGCGGCCTGGCGGCGCAAGGGACCGGTGTCTCATACACCGTTAAGGGTCAAAGCAATGCCCTGGAACTCTGCAAGGACATTCCCGGGGTGTTGTTAGATGTTTATTCATACTACAACGGGGATTACCAATGGACAGCGTAAGATAATTCCGATTCTACTCTTAGCATGCTCGACGCGGGTCGATATCGTTTGCTCGCGAATTTCTCTACTATAAGAAGAGATTGATTGCTAACGTCCGGTTCATGGGGGTATCTAGTCAGGAATTCGCCGTTGGTGGTGGACACATCATGGGTAAGTGGCACAAACCCATTCATATTGAAAACAGAGTGACCGGGCACGTTTCTAACAATTCTGGATTTCTTGACAGACGGTTGTACCTGGGGTGGCAGAACCGGTGGAGCTATTTACGAGGATGCCAGCCCACTCCTGCAAATAACTTTGAGAAGGAGGTGAGAAATGTGTGAACAACCAGGCTGGGGGGCGGAAATATGAATTTGTGTGTTATTGCCAAGGGGGGATGGGACATGGTCACGTCGATGATGAGGAATGGTAATGCCGCGGGATAATGGAAAAAAATTTAGGAAGACATATAACCTATCTTGGAGAATTGTGGGCAGGTTCTGACCCAATTCATTTGGACGCCCTATCGAATCACTTTCCCGATGTTTGATATGTTGTTGTCTCGCCGGCGGCGGTAGTGTCAGACGGTTGACGAGGCCTTCCGAGTGACTAGAATGTTCGGGAAAAGGAACTGAAGGGCGAAAGGCTGAGGATCCTTCCATAACGATCAAGACTGCATGTAGAAGGTTGCCAAGTTGAGAAGGTTGAAGGTAGGCGGATGAGGTAAGGGAAGTGGTGAGGGAAAAGACTTGGATTTCGAAATCTGTGGAAGTTACCTATTGCATCACTTTTTGCGCGGCCGGAAAAACTAGCACCGCAAGCGGAATCGGACTCGCTATCTCAAGAAGAAAAAAGAAAGGAACAAACACAAGAGCATTGGTGCCACTTGCTCAATTGACTCTCAAAAAGACCCTCTCATTGTTCTCATATAGGAAAGTATGTGATTTCTGGAAAGAACCATCGGTAGGGGCACTTGGGGGAAGCGGGATGACTTGGGAAGGAACCGCCCTGGACTAGAGTACCTCGAGCATCGCACTCGAGACAACGAACAACGACCAGTCAGAAAATTTATCTGGGCCAGATGCCGCCCAACGTTTCCAGCTATGGTACCTACCAGACTTCTTTGTCTATTTCCTGTGGCACTGTTATGCTCAATGCCTGGTGATGGAATCAGTCAGACTGGAATTGGCTCTAGGCCCTAGTCGAGTCCAATCCATTAGCACTTAAATTGGTTGGAAGACACGGAGAGTGGGTAGCATGGAAACCCGGCGATGTGAACATAGATGTGTAGGGACGTGCGAATCTGTAATGGAGAAGACGTGTGTTAAGTCGGAACAAAGAGATACTAGTGAAAGGGAAGTTTTCCGACCTAAAGGTACATTGAAGGATACCTGAAGCGGGAAACCTTACGAGTTGGAACAAACTTTGTCTAGAAGACAATGGGTAGGAAGAAAACAAAGAAAAATGAATATAGTTTGTCTTGGTGTTCAAGAGGAAGCGCGTCGCACACATGTCATACCGTGTAGTGTAGGTCCCCGTCTTTTTGCCCGTCTTCACCCTCACTTGCACTCTTTAGTCCAGCAGTGACTGTGAAGCCCAAGTCGTTTCATCCGACTCCCGAGTCGTAATGGGATATGTGCCATTACATGCGATAACCGAGCCATCGCCCACCCCTCGCAGTGTTTGGTCATCTTGCGATATAAGCGCCCTTGGGCCATTTGCAAAGTAGAACGTGATCTGCGGAACACTGTCGATCCTGATGGTCTGTGTAATTCCAAGTGTCCCATGACTCGAGCACGACCATCTTCACATCTCCTTTTGGTGCCTTGGTTGCTTGGCTAGCTTGGGCTAACACTACCTGATCCTAGATAGTTATAATCCCGCCGTCGGCGTCTGACAATCTACCGCTGCAGTATGCCTGGCCTCTGCCGTTATTTTCCGCCCACGCCGTCGTTTCCGACCTGAACGTGATCAGACTCTGAGCTTTGTCGATCATCCCAGGGGCATCCATTTAGGGGTTTCTTGGAGCTTTCTTGGAATGCTCCGCTTGCAACTTGGGTAGTGCCGATTTCCGCGTTGGGATGTGCTTGGCAGCTCAACGAACGGCCTCTCCGATATGGTTGCTGCATCCAGTCTCTGAATGACGATTTCGACCGATTGACAACGGATCGGAAATAGGTCGTGGGTCAATCAATGGCTTTGGGCGAACGAGTGGTGAGATGTGGAACCAGATATCACAAAGCCTTCTGGTGATGACGAACCTTCTTGCGCATGGAGGACGGCAAGAGGAATAAAGACAGTACAACCAAGTCAAGCGCGCGATGTCAAAGGAGGGGATATCTCAAAATAAAACAACTACTGTCTAAAGCAACTAGAAAAAAGAACCAAGCAAACCGAAAAAAGAACCACACCCGACACGCCCCATGCAACAACGGTGCCATGAACAACAAGAGCTGGAAACCACAATCTTCCATTTTTTCCCCTTCGCCCAAAGAAGGATGTGTAAGGACTTGGCGTCTCTTTCCCTCTAGTTCGCATCCAGCTTAAGTGTATCAACCATGGTGTGATATACTTTGTGTGCCCAGCAGTAACATTCTCCCACCCGTTCGGTTCTTCGTCGTGTCCTTCCCAAAATAAGAGCGGGAGATTAGGCAAGAAAAGCAGTTGAATGGTGTAAAACTACAACGCCGTATACTCTTGAAATCGAGGTACCATTATCCGTGTCTAAAGCCAGCTTTCTCTCCAAGATCGGATAGGTCCTGCGTGCCTAAACGTACGGAAATGCATTACTAGAGACCGTTTCCTCATGGGAAGGGAATTTCTTAACTCCAGTCAAAACCCAAAGCTTAAGAAAACACGCATACCAGCGAATGATAGGAGGCCCAGCTCAAGGAGGAAACTACTCCCGCAACACACCTCGGCTAAACATCTCGGTAAAAGCCAGCGGGTGGAAAACCATTCCTGTCTTGTGCTGGTGAACCGAAATCGTCGCCCGTCAGGCAGGCAAATTCTCAAGCAAGGGAAAGGAGTCGTTCATTTAAGGACGACCGAACTGGCTGATATCTAAAAGGGAGTAAAGGAGAGAATAGCGCTGAGGCTGGCAGATTCTCAAGGGTCACACCCACTTTGTGCCCGAATGATCCGCCTTTCTCGTGCCAAGAATTGCCTGCCTAGGAGCTTTCGTTCGTGTGATCGATCTACCAGTAATAAGCCGAAATGTTTCCCTAACGCCGAGTATGCGGATGTGATGAAAGTGTATAATACAGGCAAGTCTTTTTGTTGTCGTCGACTGGTGACTTGATCATGCATTTGTAACCTAATTAAATCGTCAGTTAGATTGATGGCGTAGATCAAGAGGCTGAAATGTAGAACCACGTACGCGAAGGATCCTCCTGGAGTAGTCTTGGTTGTCGGCGATACTGCCATCACTTAATCTCCTCTGCACGAGGACAGGGTCGAGTCGGGCGTCTGCCATGGACATCCCATCGCTGGTGCTGGGCGGCTTGCCAACGAAAGCATTGACGGCAGCGTTGCGTCGATGCTCATCCTCAATCTCCTTGTTCCGCTTGCGACGCATAAAGAGGAAGACACCCCCAACCGCGGACAAGACGACAACGACAGCCACCACGGTGCCTGCCACGATTCCGGCCGTGTTGCTCTTTCCCTTCTTGGAATCGTCGGACGAGACTGATTCGGTAGTGGTGACAGTCGATGCGGATACAGCGCTTGAGATGCTAGACGTCTTGGCCGCAGAAGTTGTTGAACTTGGTGCTGCGCTGGTGCTGGAGGTCTTAGGCTTTGAGTTCACAACCGTTGGAGCGCCCAAGTTGTAGACGCTCCACGTATCGGCACCACCGCCTGTAAAATGATTAGCATCTTACAAGGTATGACTCAGCCAGTCTCTGTAACTTACAATACTCCAAGTTATAGCCCGAGCATGTGATATCGCAATTTTCTATGTCGGTCTGGGCCGACACTGGCGGATATTCGGTACCGCACCAACACTGATCTCCTTGACTCATCGCGGCAACGGTCGTCTGGTTGCCCTTACACCATTGAAAACAGAGACCACTCGACACACCGAGATCCTTCTCTAGACCATTGCCGAAATTCATCATTTGTTGAGTGTTCATGCGTGTGGTGTTCAGCTTCAAGGTGCCTGAATCGTTGAAGCAGCCGTGGTAGGTATTTTGGTTAAAGGCGGCTTTTTCGATTGTCGGCCATGGTGGATCGTCTCTGACGAATAGTGAGCCCAAGGGTTGATGCGCTGTCGCAATGGCGCAGTTGGCGGCGAAAGCCGTTACCAGTACCGATATCGACTTCATGGTGTACGGTTGAAGGCCTTCGAGGTCTTGATGTGACGATAACAAGTCGTGGGTAACGGCAACGGTCGAGCAATCAGGTCGTCGTCGGGTTCTTGTCGTTGTCCTCGAGTGCTGATTGTGCTTGAGGTTGGGTCAAACGCAATGAACGCAGGACCCTTCGAGAGTCCTGGCGGTTTGGAGTTGAAAAGGACAAGGAAGGAATTAACCTCCTACGTGTCGAATTGAATATGAATGAAGCGGAATTCAAAGGCCTGATGATAAGGAGTGGTGCTGGCCCCTTCTTCTTGTCTCCTGTTGTTCCCTTTGTTTGCGGATTCCTTGGTATTCCTTGTTGATGGTTGACGAGGTCACGAGTGGTTGGACATTGCCTTTGTTCCAATCGATGTCGGTCGAAGGAAGACTATGACTCGACGACGGTGCTGGAGCGGGCCGAGATGGTTAGTGTGACTTGTGGACGATGGTCAAGAACGGAAATAGAGGGTCGGGATGCGACCGGGCAAGTGAGCGTGATGGTATCGTTATCGTCGTCGTCTTGGATAATGATTGTGTTGTGGTCAAACGATGGGAATTGTCGGGCACGCACACACGAGAATAGGGAGCGGAATTGAAAGGAGCGACAGTGTGGGTGTGGAGGAGGGAGCGGAAGTGGTTTTGTTTGAGAGGGAGCGGCCGGCCGAAAGTACGAAACTAAAGGCGCAAAAGTGGGAGTGGGTGTGGAAATGGGACGGAGTGGGTGGGTGTGTGGGAGACAGCGAGTGAGAGAGAGCGGGAACACACAAAATGGGAGCGGCAAAACTGAGAGGCAGACTGGCTGGCTGGGGACGGAGACGACGGACGGACGAGCAACCAACGACGGGAAAGAAAGGCAACAAGAACGGACCTGTGAAAGAGACGGAAGCCACTGTCCAATGAGAGGGGCAGGGGCCCTGGTAGCGCGGCAGGTGCAGACTGCAGTGCAGTGAGGTGCAGTGCAAATGCGCAGTGATGAGACTGATTGCCGACGGACTGGAGCGGCGGGGCGGCCACCGTAGGTACCTCTAGGTAGGTAGGTTCTTTCTCCGAACCTGGCAGACGGAATTTTCCAAATTCAATTGATTTCAAGGAGTGGCCCGCGATTGTTGTTTGATTCAAAAACCAACCGCATCCCCGAAAAAAAGATGAGCGAGTGGAAAGAGTTTGAGAGAGTGGACAAAGACCAAAGACCAGGCAGGCACAGGCGGAATGTCAAAAGGAGCTGAGGACCGTCGAGACCCGGACACCGCGGCGAAAACGGGGGCAATGCGCGAGTTGGGGGAGGACGACGGGGTCGCTGGGAAATTGCGCGATGGAGCCCAATTCCCTGACGCCTGGGGCCTCGGGATGCATCATTCAAAAATCGAAACGAGAGGCACATGCATCCCGGTCATTTCTCACCTCTCATCTGTATCGAGACCCACAAAAAGGGAGGCTGGGCTTGTCGCTGACCAATGAGGGAAGTCTTTTGCCAAAAATATGTGCCTTTACAGCTTGCCATTGGCCAGAGCTTGGTGGAGTAACACTGGAGCACGCACATTTCAGGGGTACCCGTTATTCTGTCGATCGCATGGCGGTAGGCCAGAAGGTGCGAAAAACGAAAAAGAGCGAGGAAGGGACCACGACTTCATGTTCGTTCAAATGGAAGGTTCTGCTATTATGTATGTACTCGAGTTAGCTAAGACCTCGCTCACTGTTAGTGCTCTCGAGGTTTTTGCCGGACTGACCGTATCTTTTTGCATAACCATTTATACCAACAGTTACAAGCGCTCCTGAGCTTTACCTGTAGCCCAGCCTCGCAACTACTCCATCAAAACCAGGAAACTATAGAAAACAGGAGATGAGACACGATCTGCCCAGAGAATAGCAATCTTGCCATCTTACCTCTATTCGGGATGAAGGACAAACAATCATGTTCTGCTTTCTGTACCACATCAGAAGACGCAATGCCTTTTCTGTGCAGTCATTCCACCACCGGGATTCTGCCCCTTTTTTAATGTACCTGGGGGATACCTAGATGAATGAATGAATGAAAGATGATAGTGGTGACTTGCCAGCTTGCTTACATATGCACAGCATCGATGAAACGGGATCACCGCCAGCTTAAGCCACGCGGGCATCAATGTTGACGGTTTGTTGACCACTCCCAGCGGTCCAACCACGCATCCGTCGCCATTGGGGACCATCCGACAACGACGATACGTAACCTCTTGACGAAGAAACAGGGGGATAGCAACATGAAACAACAAACACGGGGGGTTTGCCAGACAAAGATTCCACCTTGACGGGCACCACCCTTTCTCAAACGGTCGGGTCCCGTCATTCCCCAGGGCACCGAGAGACCGTGGCCGAATTGAACGAGGCCTCTCAATTGGGGGTCGTTACTTATCCCACTGTTCAGGTCCTCCATTTTTATTTGTACATTTGTATTTCTTCCATCGCCATCTGTTTCTCCATGGTGTCAGTCTCTTGCCAAGGTGGAAGGTCGAGCTTCGAGAGCTTCCTTCCATGTTCGCTTTCTCTAGTTGTCTTGGCGTTCGGATACGAAAGGAGTCTCCACTTCAATGACACTGCATGGACTGGTCCAGCCAGGCTCGCTGCCGCAGCATTCTCAGTTCAGCCGATAGGATCCTCATGATCTGTCGAGAGCAAAAGCAAAAGCTTGTCCTTTGAAAAGAAGTGGCCAACCACAATCATGAAATCATCAACGACCATCAGAAAATGCATCTGTCAGCTAATTAGGATACCAAATACTATTGGAAATACTACTTCAGCTACTTCAGATACGAAGTGTAGAGTGTGAGTAAAAAGGCGCCGCCTGACCGCAGGATATTCGTATCACGGTAGCATTGCGCTACACACCATTGCACCACTCTCAAACAAACTGCTACACTACACTACCTCCCTAGTGTAATAAGTGTACACTACGCATCGCCAAAAAAAACACCTCTAGCCAGAGTTCATTCATCTTGCACCGTTTGGGTTCTCAAACACAGGACTCCGAGTGTCGTCTTTATCTGGTGTACATATCTGCCTCCTCAACCCCGTCAATAACTGCCGACCCGATTGTTCCGACAGCTTTTCTTCCAGCGCACCTCAACCTGAACATACTTTAGTCAGCAGCGGATACCTGCCTAATCCCGTGGTCATCACTGCTTTTGCAGTTCCTGTTCCCTCCTTCTTGACGGGAAAACTCCGGCGGAGCTCTGGAGGAGGTCGGATCGGGCAACAGGATCGATCACCTTTGTTCACACTTCTCTTTCCAGTCCTGTCCTTGAATCGTTTCTTTCTGGTTTCGTAACACACACACTACACTAGACGGGTAAGGTAGACAGTGCCATCCGATGCTTTTGGAATTTCTTGCGAAGCACCGTACTGCTCGCTACTCATTGTTTCGGTGCTGACATGACCACTTGCAACTGGCAGTTACAACTGGCAACCGCATCACACCCGCATAATACTGGCAGCTACCTTCCAACAAACTGGACGATCTCCTCTCTTCCGCCCGTACCTGCGTTCGACCTTATGTTTCTACGTACCTTTGTACATGCATGTATACACACTTGGCCCGTACATGTGTACACAATACCGCTCGTATGAACCCTACTGCGTACCTACATAAAATCCCCTTTGGAGAGACGCCCGTCCCCAACCGCAAGAAATAGTATGTAGGTTCCCCTGATTTCTGCATCAGTATGGAACGTAAGAAAAGTCCCTATTTCTGTACATACAGCCACCACCACCAACCACTCTGCAACTCATCGCGATGAACCATACCATTTCGTTCCATCGATTGATAACTACCTCTAGACAGCCCAATTCGGGATCCACCATTCCTAGTAAATCGACCCATTATCTGTTTTTCACTTTCATCCATACTCTCTACCTAGAGGATACAGTACTCAACAACAAAATGCGTCATGACATTAGTAACCGAGATAGACGGACGTAAAATGCTATGTAAAAGACGACGGGGAATTATGTAGGGTAGTCTCGAAATCAAGCAATGACCGACCGGACTGACCCCGGCCGATTAGGAACCAAACTGCAAGTACATATGCACCTGTCCGCTTCCGCGCGCACGTAGGTATGTACGTACCACGCTCAACAGTTCCGTTCGTTCTCAGCACAGCCTCCGCCCGCCGCCCGCCGCCAGCTGTCAACTTAAGCCTGTGCTGCCTGCTTCCACCCAATACCCAATACCATATTTCCTGGGGCTTCCTTCCTTCCTTCCTTGCGCCGCCATCAATGTCACTTCACTTTGATTTGCTTGCTTGAGGGGGGGACTGGCTGACGGCTGACGGCCGCCTGTGCGCCGGAAACGAATTAATGCGCTTAATGCGGCGGGTGGAGTTAGCGTTAGGTCATCCGTCGGAGTTCCTTACCCGCCCTGCCCGCTTCCTGCTTGCATTGCGACCAATCGACTGAACCGACGTCCGTTGTGTAGTGCAGTGCAGACCTGAGAGTGTGTGACACTGACATTGACATTGACACTGACAAACAGCTGACAGCGAGGTGACAGGTGACTAACAGGAGACATGACATGACATGACATGACCGGTCCGGACTCTTGCAACTGGAACTTCGGGAACGGAACGAATTGCGCGCGGTGATGATATACATAGTACTGTACACTACACCAACAGAATAGGGGAGATTAGGTATCTATGCGACGCGACGGACGGGCTTTAGTGATACGTACTACATAACCATTCGTTTATTCATTGTATGCGATCCGTTTACTGTACTTGTTTGATCTGTCAATGAATAGATGGATGGATGGATGGATGGATTTCATGATACATGCAATCAATGGTACAGCCAAACTACACTACTACATGTAGGTTGGTAGATGTAGATGTGAACTATTCTGAGATGAGATCTTTGCGAAGGGAAGGGAAGGGATATCCGAGACCTGTTGAATCGGGGTCTAGAATGTCTTCGGTACTAGTAGGAACCGAAGATGTTAGCAGCTGCAATCCAATGTGAACGGGGAAGTGTGGCCGGCTTGGAAGGGAATCATCAGAATCACATGGGTTGTTTGTGTAATTTTAGAAGGTCAAAACAACAAGAACGAAATCAAGTGAAGTTGGTATCTTAACGAAGCCACACAAAGACAATTGACAAAGACAATTTTGAAGAGAGAGAGAGTCACGGAGTGTCAATGAAATACCCCTCAAATGTACTTTTGCATAATCGCAAAATTGTCTGGCGGTACTTATGCGTCAATATACTAACAGTATTCCTGTCGATTAATGAGCATGCATACTAGTGCACTAACCCTCCATTTCCCGACGTAGGAACTTTATGATCCTTTCATGTCCAGCCATCCGTAGCCACAAATAAACACATCCAAGCCTGGAAATCTACCAAGCTCTCCAGTCTCGTTCACAAGGTCACAGAAATCAAGATAGTTACTAAGTCACTAAAGCTTTTATAATAACTCGGTCCTGTACTATGTACATTAACTGACAAAGCAGCATCTCGAGACCAGTTTGGAAATTTTCAGTCGTAAAAACAAGCAAAAGCAATAAAGCAGCAAATTGGTGACACAAGCTTGTTGGAGCTATCAAGCTAAATTAATGAAGCTTTATGGACGTTGGACCACTACGTTCAAGAACGAACTAATGAATACACACAAGCAAGTTCAACTGGTCAGTCTCGCTCTTCCCTTCCTCTCCCCTCCCCTGATGGGCCCAGGCCTAACTAAGCCTACCGATGATGCTCCTCACTCTCCACACACTCCGTCCGATGCGTCTTCCAATCCCTCCTCTGACACTCGGCGCTACAATACTTGACCTTCAAACACCTCGCACACTTTCTCAACACCTCGGCCGTTTTCCCCGCCGTCTCCCCCCCTTTTGCTTTTCGTTCCTCCACCAACTCCTCCTCCCCCTTCCCACAGGACCTACACCTCTCCTCCTTTTTGCGGAGTGCCTCCTCCAACCCGCGCTCGGCAATCTTTTTCGCCAAAACCGGATCAAACACCACTTTTTCCACGGCGGGGGAGCAATACGGAGCGGAAATAGCCACGCGCGTGGCGTGCGGCGCGGCGGCGGACTCCCACAGGGGTAAGGAGAGGTAATTGGGTGGGAAATGGCCGGTACCGCAGGTACAGAGGACGGGGTCGCCCTTCTTAAGGCTCAAAGGAACCTGGCCGGTGGTGGCGTATTCGCATGACGAGGGGGAATGGGACCAGGCACGGCAGCGCTCCGCAAAAGAAGGGAGGATGGATTTCCAGAGGGCGAGCTCGGCGTCGGTGACGGAGAGGTCGACGCAGTCGAGGGTGCGGAGGAGGACGAGGAAGGATTGGAGGTCTTCGTCGTCGTCGTCGTTGTCGGTGTTCTTGTTGTTGTTCTTTTTGGCAAGCAGAGAGTGAGTAAGCGGCAGCACGGCTGCGTCGATGACTATCCCGCCACCAGACTGGGCGCTGCAATCGAGTCGGATCGCGGAAACGAGGATGAGGATGTGCCTACCATCCGATGACGATGAACTGGACCCGGACCCGGAAACGGGACAGAGGGCGAAAAGACCGGATTGTCCCACTTGCAGGCCGGCAGCGATATTGATCATGGTGTGGAGGGATTCCTTGAGGTTCAGTCTTGCCGAGTCCCAGCTGGTTTCAGGCAGACCCTTTTCAAAAGCGGCTTGACGCTCGCGGAGTTCGCGGGGCGAGTACATAGAGGAAGCTAAGGGCCCGAGAAACGAGAGTCGAGAGGTGTCGGAGATGGAAAGGATGGGGAGCGAGTCGAGGTTTACCGTGGGGGCGTTGAGTGGGGTGGGGACGAGCTGGCTTGTCTCTGACGATGAGTCGGCGGTTTGAAGGACCGTAGGGAAAATGTACTCGTCTAGCACTTTTGCAGCGAGAGGGTTAAGGATCGCGGGCGCGATCACTTCAATGTACCCTGATTTGCGAGCGATGCGAGTTTTGCTGCCTTCTTTGAGGACGGGTGTCGGGAAGACGAGTGGTTTGACGAGTGTCCCGGCACCCAAGACAATGTCGATAGTCCACGGAGAAGACTGTCGAAGACTGATGGGGACCGTCTTATCAGCCAGTAGTTTTTTGTCCTCTTCCGTAATGAAATCCAGATGGCCGGTGATGGTCGTGAGAGTACCCGAAGTGACGTCGAAGCTGGCAGTAAACACCGGACAGCCATCCGCTTCCGCCTCGGTTGCCGTCGTCGACTCAGACACCACTTCCTCCAACGCCTTTTGCAACAAGGCATCCTGCACGACATTACCGCCGATCTTTTCCATGATAACTCGCCGGAACTCCTCCCTATCCGTCTCAAACTGGCCACCAACCACGCCGATAAAGTCCATAAAGGTCTGCCACAGACCTTTACCCCAGGTTATCTTAATCAACTCTTGCCCCTCATGCACCACCCGCTGACCCTCGATCTGGTAAATCACCGAATCCTCATAAACCCTCCACGCCGCCTCCGCCAGCTCCTTTGCATCGACGTTGACGACCGGTGACTTCCTCCATTTTCCGCCGTGCTGCTGCCCAGGAGCAAGCCACCTAGAATGTTTCCTAAACAGCCGATTACTGATGTGCAGTCCCTGTTCCTCCAACTTCTTCACCCTAGCAGCCGCAGCCGCAGCCATCGCTTCCTTGTCCTTATCAAGCCCTTGAAGTTGTTCACGATCCTCATCATACAGACTACTCGCGGCCAAAAGACACTCATCCACCGTCGCCTTAACACTTGCATTACTCCAATATTCCACCGGTGCCATACCTAAAATGAACGCGCCGGTCGTGTGGTTGGCGAAAATCGAAGCCTCAGCTTGGGCAGAACTAGAATTATTAGAGTCCATGTTACCATCGCCGTTAACATTATCAACAACCAGCGAAAGCCCCTCCCTGTCGTCCAGAACCAGCGTCGAAGAAGCGCGGTCTTTAAGCAATCGCTTGGCGGCTACCAGCAGCCCAAGAAGGCCAGGCGGGTCGGGAACGCCAGCTGCAGAGGGGTCCCAAAGCGAAGAGAGGTCGGTAGTGTCGATTATGTCGAATTGTATTTTGCTCTTCGCCGCTGCTGGTGGGTGAAGGAGTGACTGGCAAAGGGGGAACCAGCCGTCTACCGCGAACCGAATCGTCAGTCTCTTTTGCTCCGCGGCCGCCAGCTCCCGGAAGGCAAGAGACCATTGAGTGAATTGGTGCTTCGCTACGCGGAGGGCTGTCATGTGTCCATTGGGGTCCTCGTCAATGCCGTCGTTGAAGTCGTTGCCGTCTCTGTCAATGCGCAGCGGGGAGAGCTCGGTGAGAGGAGCCTTGATCAGCGCGAGATGGTACCCCAGCACACCATTGGAGGGGTAAGCGAGACGACGATGGCTACCCGGGGATTGCGATTCGGATTCGGACTCGGAATCCGGTTCGGATAACAAACCGGCGGCAAACGTAGGGTTGGGAAACAGCATCATTGCGTTGGCTATGTTCTGGTCAAACTCCCACGCCACCTGAACGTAGAACCGGATCTGATCCTTCAAGAGCACAGTCAACGGCGCTGCCGACGAGCCTAAGGCCCACTTCTGGCGCTGCTCGTCGGGCGATGACCGCATCCCCTCGACAAGAGCTGAATGAAGTTCTCCAACCTTCTCTGTATCGAGTGCTGACCTTGCTGCTTCGGCGTATTGTTCCCAAACACCTCTCACCGCGTCCAAACTCTTTTGGTTGACCAAGTGTATCGTCCCGCCGTATGGTCCTTGCTCCCAGTCCTCCATCGTCTTGGAAACCTGACATAACTTTTCCGCTTGGGAAGCTAGTAGGTCCCTGGTTTCAGGATCGGGAAGGAATCGCGTGTAGTAAATGTCCCATATCCTGGCGAGCTTTTCCTTTGCAGCCTTTTCTTTCGCATCCTTTTCCACCTCCATATCAACACCCCCCTCCCCATTTCCTCCCGCCTCAGCACCATCCAAATCCACTCCCAAAACAAGACTCAACACCAACACATTCCTCGCCACCACGTACTTATCCTCATGACTCACCGTAACATCAATCTTCCTCCTGCTCTCCCTCCTGCTCCCCCTTAGACCAGGACTCCTCTGCCTTGGACTGTTGCTATTGCTCGCATCACTTTTCTGCTGTCCATGCTCCCCAACTTCGGCATAAGCAGTATACAAGATATGCCGAACATCTTTGCCTCCAATGACAAGGACATCAACGTCTAGATCAGGCGGGAGGGGAGAGACGAGGTTGGTGGCTGGGGTGGTGGATAGAGGGTCAAAGGGGGATTGTTGTGTGAGTTTAGATTTGCTTGTGGTGGTAGTATCTGGTGTCGTCATCTCGTCTGATTGCCCTGGAAACCTCCGTCGAAGATTTGAACTGGACTGAATATGAATTGGGTAAAGGTATGTTGTTGGCGGTGTTGGTTTTTTTTGATGTTATGAGGTAGTCGCTTGGTTTCGGGGTGCTGGTTTCCAAATCGGAGATGACGGTTAATTAAGTACGAGGTAAAGTCTAATTGGAAACAAAGTTGGGATACAAGTTGATAGTTGTTGTTGAGACGTGTGAGAAAAGGGCGGAAGTTGTTGAGCCCAGCAGCAATGGAATCCGACAGTGCCTGATGGACGCTCCAGTTCTCCTGCAGTGACCCCAGGCCCTACCAACGAAGTGAGGTCGGCGACGATGGTGGGGCTTTCCATGTGCTGTCACAGTAAATGCACAGTGGACGTCAAGGTGAGGCAGGTGCAGTGGCTCGTGCACACATATCGATGTTTACTTAGCTGTCTTGGCTGCAGGTGAGGCAATCGCGACCACGTGCTGTCTACCCAACGATGGGAGACCCTCCTCAACGGGCCAAAGTCACGATAGTGACGAGCAGGGGCAATACGAACTTTACTTGAAAGAGCAAAATCGACCAAAGATTGAATTATCCCAAAACAGCTCTAGCCAAAAAAAACATTGAACACTACTACGTATGTACCTAGATGGGCAGGTAGGTATTGACCGCCCCTTTCCAACAGAGTAAACAAAACAAAACAAGTGACGCCGACAGGGTCGTATCCATAAGTACGTCCTTTCCTCCTAAACCGCCTTCCCATTATTTCTCTTCCCCTTTTCCGCCTTGTTATTTTCCAGACACCGACGGAAGAGGAACCAAGAAAATTGAGTAACCCCCAAATCAGTACCCTAGTCGTACACTCCCCTCCCGTTGTCCCCGTTTGACCGGAGTTGATTATTCCCTGTTCTTTTGAAGCGCGTCGGACAGTCGCCGCCGTCCCATTAATAACCTGCAGTATGCATTAGGCCTCTTCTACCGATCAGAAGAGTAGGTAGGTTGATGTCCAGTCATTATGTTAACCTTCCCAACGACGCGGACCCTCAAAAGAACCAAAAAGCGCAAACCAAATACCCAAACCAAAAACAAGAGATGCAAAACAGATAATCAACCCACCGCCACCTCTTCTTGCTCACTCATCTCATGACCCAAAGTACATATTACTCCCATCATGACCACTCCCATCGCCTTCATGGGCATCCCCAAACATGTTTACTTCGGCCGCTGCATCGTACCCCTCCATGACCTCGAATTTGGTCATACCGTCCAAGTTCCCGAGCATCAAGTTCTGATCCATTTGATGCTCATACCCATGCAGAAGCATGTTCGTTGGATCGACGTGGGTGGGACCGACCGCCGCGCCCATCCCCATGCTTGTGGCGGGACCTGGAATGTTGGACATGCTGCCATGGCTAGGATCCATATCGTAGTACGTTGGTCCCTGATTGCCTTGTTGCTGCTGGGTATGCGTGGGTGGTGACGAGCTACTCGACAACTCCGGCGGCGTATAGTGACTCACAGCACTCTTGGCTGGCGATGCAGCATTCTGTGATTTGGGAAGCCCAAAATCCGACCCTGGTCCGTGATGTTCGGTAATCGATATCGACGGGTGGCTAGCATGACTATAGCTACTCACAGCTGACGGCGAATTGGCGTAGTTTCTCGATGCTGGTGAGTCCACGTTCATGACTTCATTAACCCTCGGATCGAAGCTCGGCATGGGCGCTGAAGACACTGATGATACCGACATGGTAGCTGCAGCCGGGTTCATCGTCGATGAACTAGGCATCGCACCATGCCCATGACCCGCATGACCCGATACAATGCTCGGCGGCAGATTTGGAACATTTCCCATTGGCATATCCAACAAGCCCGGAAACTGTTCGTCGTCGATTATATGATCGTAGTCGTTCCCGGGAGAGTTGGGCACCGAGCTATCGGAATAGCCTGAAAAGCTGCTGACGGAGCTGCTGGTCGAATGATGGCTCCTTGACCGATCTCTCGTGCGATCGCTCTTGTCCTTTCTCTCCTCCATATCCGGCCTGTTCTTCCGTGGCCGGCCACGCTTGACCACCTTACGCACGATGCCGTCAAAAGCACCAACGCACATGCCCCGCTGCCGGTGTCGTGTGAGTGCATCATGCCGCGCGAAGCTGTTACCGCATTCGCATGGGTATGGCTTGATGCCCGTGTGGATCTTGGCGTGGCGTTTGAGGTCGTGTTGGCGCACAAAGCACTTTTTACAGGTTGGACATTGGTATTGCCTGTCATTAAGGTGTGTCTGTACGTGGCTCTTGATGTTTTCTTTGCGGCCGAACCGTTTCCGACAGTCTTCGTACGTGCACACCCATTTGCCATCGGCGGGATCGGGACCTTCAATGTACTGGGCAATGTCGTCGAGAGTCACGCCAGTTTCGGTCTTGGTCTCTTCGATGTTGATGCTAGCAATGCTGGCAGCACTGGCGATGGAGGCAATCGAGTCGGTTCTTCGGTGCGGGGAGCCGCGGCGCGAGGGAGAAACTGAACTCTGGCGACTGGAGGCTTGTGGATCAGCATCGCCATATTCTGATGGAGGTCCAAGGTCCGGCTTGTTGTCGAAAGGGCTCATCCCCCCAAGACCCTGCATCTGAGATCCCATCTGTGGCCCCATCTGCGACCCCATGTCAGGGAAAGTGAAACCATGCTCCAGCTTGATGAAGTCAGAGTGGATCCTCAACAAGTCTTCGTCTTGAGCTGCAGGAAGCGTGTGCGATTGGAAGGTCGTGGGCATGCTGTCGGCTTGGGACGTTGCAGGTGCAGCAGCAGCCATAGCCTCCGCCTGCTGGCGCAGTTCCTGGAAAATGCCCGAGTTGCGATTGCTTCGGTGCCCTCGTATGGGTTTGAGTGTTTCCTCCATAGACTCGTCGTAATCGTCTGCAAACCTGCTGGGCCTTAGTGTCTGTTGCTGTTGCTGCTGCTGCTGCTGCTGCTGTGTTGCTTGTTGTTTCATGAAGCGATCGTGTGGCGTTTCCATGGGTGTTGGGGGATAGAATCCTGCCTCATTTTCAGTATTCCCGCTCAACACGTCAGATCCTGCGAGCTTACCGGCGGCATTGTGCATGGGAGGTGTTTCTGGCCTCTGCCCATTCGCCATAGGCTCGTACTTTGCAAGTTTGTCTATGAGGCTGTTGTTTAATCCAACGCTTACCCGCCTTGACGCTCGGCGCAACTGGGTGTTGGATGCCTCGCCCTCTGATATCCAGCCTCCTTGTCCCGTCCCTGCGGGGCTTTGGTCTGGAAAGCTCATAAAGTTCGGAGTAGAGAGCGCCGCCTCCGAGGCAAAAAAGTCAAAATTTGGGGTTGCGGAGGATGATGAAGCCATGACATTATTGTTGTTGCTGTCATAGCTGACCTGGTTCCTCTTCATCATGGCGTCAAAGTTGGGATCTATGTAGGTATCGTAGGACAGAGACAGTTCGGGTATCGGGCCCTGCGAGGCCAATCCATCCATGAAGTGGTTTCGTTGATGTGGTGTGCCATGGGGCGATAGTAGAAACGAGTCGCCGCTGTCACTCGACAGGTCACTGTAGTCGGTTTGGCTGGAGCTAGGGCGTGCTATAAGGTGCGCCTGGTGTTGCTGTTGTGCTAGGATATCCTGTGGTGCCGCTGGCAGACTCGTGGGTATTCCTGTGTCTGGGCCCGTCGTGCTGACAAGGGTTGAGTAGTCTTGCTGGGACGTGGTTGTGATTGTTGAAGACATGAGAGGGTGACGCCTGGTATCCAGGCTAACGCCTCGTCGATGGCCCATGTGAGGGCGTTGATGCTGTTGTTGTGGGAAAGTCGGCAAGGGAGCGATCTTGACAGCCTCAAAGGCGGATGGAGTCGAATTTTGACGCCGATGTAGCCGCTGTCGTGGGCGGGCGACGCCGGATAGAGGAGGATTGGACATCATTGTTAGATATGGTAGCGATAGACTAGTAGAGTAGAGGGAGTCGTCGTCGTCGTCGTCTTCTTCGTCGTCGTCGTAGCGATCGTATTTGCGCAGAGGACTGGGCCAGACGAGGATGTAGGTATTAGGTGGAAGGTGTGGTTCCCGGGTAGACTGTCGATTGAAGCAAAGAGCTGTCAGCTGTTGTTTTCCTTGCAGTCCCCCTGCACTGTTGATGTGCGCGTCAAGGTCCGTGTGAGCCATGTGGGCAGCAGCTCGGAGTAGGTGCAGTGTCAGCCTTACCTCACGCAGCGCAAGCCGGACGACCTAGCGAATCTCGTCGCGCGCTTGGGCTCAGAACAGTAACGAGGTGGGATGATGTCGGGATGATGTCTCGATGCCCCGTGTGCAAGGCGATGCGATGATGCTGGACGGGATGGCCACGCGAGCGGATGGTGCAATGCCTGGAGATGCAGGCACTCTACGAACGGCCGCCGCTCCCTGGTGTCTGGCGTCTGTCTGGCTGCAGGGCTCCTCCGTCGGTCGTCTACCTACCTAGGCAGCCTGTGTGGTCCTATAGAGCTCAACGGCTCGCGACTGGACGCGTTACGGGCTTTGTGTGGATACTCGGTGTATGTACCTCTCTCTCTCTCTCTGGCTGGTGAGGGAGGGAGTGGTACGGTACACGATGAATGGAGAGACAGATACCAATCGTGTAGTGTCGAGGGGGAAATTTGCTGATGGGTTGCAGTTGGAGGATGCAGCAGCCAGCCAGCCAGCACACACACACATGCGCCGTTGTCTTATCACAACAACACAGCAACACAGCTGAGTGGTAAAACGAAACAGACGAACGGGGATCCAAGCTGAATGGCAAGAGTGGGTTTGATTGGGGCGTTTGCCGGGGATGAGCCAAGGCCCTCACGAGACGTCTTGGTCAGGGCAGTGCCAGTGGTGTGCGTGCTGACCACACATTCGTTCACTTGCCGACGCCCTCCCACTGAATGCCCCCTTGTCGATGTCCACTGTTGGCTCGGATTTTTGTTTTCGTGCGCCCCCATCGAGTGTTGTTGCCAGGGACAACTCCCAGCTCCAAGCACGGCCAGGCACCCTGAGCTCTTGGGCGATTGGCCAATCGCAAGATGAGAAGCCCTTGAAAAGTGGCACCACGCTAGAGGGTGGAGCCGCTCGCTCACGGCACCATTGAACCGGACTGGACTGTCTCGAACTGTGTTGGATGGATGGATGGATGGATGGATGGAACTTGGGGATCGCCAGCATGATGAGGATCCGAGGCCTGGAGTAGTGTAGTGTACATAGTCGGAACCACCTGGAGCTTCCATGTTCGCCAACAACAACGTCACCGAGGAGCCATGGCCCATGACTTGAAGCAAAACGAAAAGTCTCGGCGGACGACGGACAGGACAGTTTCGGAATGGCCCAGAAATGGCCCAGAAATGACTGACATTAGGCGCCCGTCTAACCTGTCCTTCCATCCATGTGCCGTGACATTGGGTGGCCCCTGTCTCGTTTCACTACTGGCGTCTTATGTTCCGGCCCATGGGATGTCAACTTAGGTATAGTAGGTATCTGCCGTCGAACGTGTTTCGAATGCTTCCACTGTTGCTGTTCACAGTCGCGGACGTGGGTTCGCATTGTCGTCGGTCGGATTGTGGGTGGTATAGTGTACACTGTAAACGCCATCCTTTTGGATCGACGATCATCGATGGACTTTTTCGGGTCTTGCCGGTTCTCGAGTCTTGGAGTGAGACGGAGCGGTAATGTTGGGCCATTTCCTACCACATCATCATCAGTAAGTACCTATATTGGACCGAATAATAACATCCAAGGATGGAAAAGACATACTGATGGAAGCAATCGCAGTCAATTCGGCCGGATTGCCATGCACAAATGTTGTATCGTGGTTCGCTGGCGGCAAGTCAATTGATGATGGTCTTGGCCAAATGGCGTGAGTTAGGCATTGAAGCGGGCCTAGCCGACGGGCACTGTTCGCTGTGACTTCAGTTAGGGTAAGTGGATGCATAATGTGCACAGCTTGCACAACTTCAATTGCACAAATCCCCTTCTTCGTCGACACTCTCTGTTCTCTCGAGGCAGGAACAACTCGCGTCCAAGAGTCCAACATCATGTCTGCCACTTTCCTCCTCTTGCAGCAATTTACTGAGTGATGACTCAGCATTCTGCCTACAACATATTGGACAGATGGTGACCGGCTGGCTCCAAGTGCCGACAGCCATCTTCTTCCTCAACAATTCCCGTCTTCCCCCTCTCCCTGTTCACCTCGGCATTGATTGTCGACCACTACTACAGTACTCTCCAAAAATCACAGTCTTCGGTTGCCAGTTCAAAATAGACTCTTGTTCTTTTCAGTCTATTGTCTACACGTCGTGGACGGAACCGGAAACACTGTTGTCTTCCTCTTTGTTGCCCCCTTTGTTCACCATCATGTCTTCAATCCCCTTGACGGCAGCCATGATGCAGCACCCTTCGAGCTTCATACACTCTGCTTTGTCTCGTCGAGAAAGAATTTCGGAACAACAGGACCAAGGACAGCCATAGCCCCTTCTCATCACCTGCTGGCCCGCAAGCTACGAGCGATATCTTATAGCACTTAACTACTACACAGTACTGGTCTCCATATGGTCATTCTACCCACCTCTACGCCCAACAATACTCACTCACAGAATCACATTTTCAAAAGATCGAGTGAAAACTCCAAACGTCATCAACATGTCGAACGAGTCGTCTGAAGGGACTGATGCGGATCCTTGGGCGGTACCCAAATTTACCGAGGGCACCAACGTCTCCCGCGACATCCCCAGAGTGAAACCCCCAATCATCAAATCCGTGGAAAGAACGAGTGCAGTACACCGTGCCTATCGCAATGACATCACCAAGTTCTTCTTCAAGTGGCGCCGCCGTGGAAACGATTCTCCCAGCGAGTGGGATGGGGCAACCATGGCCCGCCGAGTCAAGGCGCGCATCAACAAAATCCCCATCAAATCTTCCTGGAAAGGCCCCGGGAATTACAGCGGTCTCATCCGGCGTAGTAAGAAAAAGATAGCGGATTGGGGGAGTGGTGGACCACGAGATAAGGAGCCCTGGGCAATGGCCAGAAGTAAATGGCTGGCAAACCAGTTTCGGCGCATCAAAATGCGCCACATAAAGACTCTGGGCTGGGGCGGCCTCGGTGTTGTCAACCTCTTTGAGCAAGAACGCCCAGATGGCCAGGTCATCAAAGTCGTGTGCAAGATAGACATCGACAGCGGCAAGGGCTACCTTAGGTACGAGATCGAAGCCCACAAGGGGACTGCCGGAGCTAAGCATATCTCACAACGCATCCCCCCCGGTTATTTTGCGCGACCCAACGGCCAGCCTATCCAACCGGCCCCCGGTACTGTGCCTTCGTCCACCAGAAGGTCGTTCGGCTCGGACTTGATGATGATGATGAGCAGCGGCGACGAGGCCAAGATGGGGAAGGGTAAAAGACCCGATCAATCGCTCGATGCTCCTGCCCTTTGGGACACAAATGAGGTCTTGTTCCTCGAGTTTATGAGCCGCGGGGATCTCCGCAAAATAGTCGCAAAAATTGCCGCTGGTCTTAGCACGCACGGCAACCTTCCACCACTTACTCTTTGGCATATTTTCGGCAATCGTAAGTAGCTTCAGCCCTCTACATCTTAGTCACGATGACTAACATGAAATCACAACCACCAGTCTTCAAGGGCGTTGTAGGGCTGGCGTACCCGAGAGTATTCATGCCAGAGGAGTACAAGACCCCATATATGAGCGACGAAATTGTGCCCCAAGCATCCGAAAGCTGCATGCCCTTGCCCAAACTGACACCATACTGTTCGTATAAAACCCTTGTCCACTTCGACCTCGATATGAGCAACGTCCTGGTCGGGGACTATGATAGTTTCGAACACAACGCCACTCCGATAGCCAAGATTGCCGACCTCGGCCTGTGTCACCCCTTTTTGGGCAACCATGACTCACCCGGGTTTCGTTGGTCGTGCCGCAGGCGAGGCAAGAGAAGCATCTTCGCGCCCGAACAGTTTACCGAGGAGTGGGACTACGTCAAGGACGGCCCGCTCGAATCCGGCGCCAAGACGGCGGGCAACTACAACTGGTGGACGAATCTCTACCAGGTCGGCATCATCATGTACTCGCTCATCACGCTCTGCGAGTTCGAGGTGCCGCCCACGCCGAACATGGCAGAGGTGAGATACCCAGACGGCTCAGAGAAGGAGGTGTGGGGATACGGTATGGACCTACTCGTTTGTGGTTACAGTCACATCGATTTTGACTTGGTGAACGCCGTTGCTGCGTGTCTCTGTCATGATCCGGCGGACAGGCCAGATCTGCACGACCTGGAGACGTTGATAAGGACCAAGGTAACGTCGCAGCCGCCTGATGGTCCGGCGACGAAGCAAGCGAGGGATTGGGGCAGGCGGTACTTTGAGGGGGCGCCACCGCCGTGGTATCAGCCGGCGACGACGGGGAGGGAGAGACTCAAGCTTTGGCAGAAGCCTGCCCCTGGAGGTGGTGGTGGGGGTCCGCCTATACCGCCTGCAGTCAGACAGCCTGGCGTTCAAGCTGGATTGGCGCAGCAGCGTACGACTTCACTCGCGACTTCTATGAGACAAAAGCATGCTGCAGCCGGAAGAGGGCAGCAGCGTGCGGCTTCGGGTGCAGTTCCTCCGGGACAACAGTCTCGGTTCCCAGCCGGGAGAGGCCAGCAACCTTCGGTGCAAGCTGGATGGGGACAGCCTCCTATGGCTCAGGCTGGGAGGGGACAACAGCCTCTAACTCAAGCAGGAAGAGGGCAACCGCCCCAATTCCCAGCTGGAAGAGGACATAAGCGTGCGGCTTCGGCGGCAAGGGGTGCGGGACTACAGCCCGGATTTCAAGCTGGAAGAGGTCAGCAGCCTGGCTTTCAAGCCGGAAGAGATCATCAGCGTGCGGCTTCGGGTGCAGTTCCTCCGGGACAACAGGCTCGGTTCGCAGCCGCGAGAGGCCAACAACCTTCGGCGCAAGCTGGATGGGGACAGCCGCCTCAAGCTCAAGTTTCCGCTACAGCTGACAGGTGGCGACAGGCTGGGTTTCCAACCGGAGGGCATCCTCCGGCTACGGGTCGAACTTCCCGAACCCATTTTCAAGGACCCTCTGGATTTTCGACTAGAAAGGGAGGTTAAGCTACCGGTGCGGTGGCTAACTCGCTGGTTCAAAGCTGCGGTCACAGGGTGCGTCGAGAGCTGGTGGTCGGAGAAAGCAGTGGGAGTTTGGGTTGCTGTTTTTAAAGGTCTTGGTGTTCTGCATTGTGTGTGGCTCAATCTTCACTTGCATTGACAAGTATCGTTCTGTAATGTTCCAAGTGCAAGTGCAGTCTCCTCACGCTGGTGGACTGTGAAGAGTAGGCCATTCGACATGCTAGGATGGGAGAATGGGTTCAGGCATGTTATGGAGTTTATCTGGTTACAGAATGTCAATGCTGTATCGTTTAATTTCTTTCTCGTTTTGCTTATAATTTCCTTTCCATCATGTATGTTTCTCTGGATGAGCAATGAACGTGGAGTGTTAGTTGCGTCGTTCATTGCTGTTGAAGGCGGACGTAAGATGGCGAACTGTCCGAATCTGCAACTGAGCTGTACCAATGATCCCAGGTTGTATTGCGACGCTCTCAAATCAGAACTTCATATTCTCGTTCCAGTCACAATGTTTTTTCAAGGTTCGTGGCGCGCATACAATTGGACAAAAATCTCAGATGTTGTGTTGCCAGACGGCTGCATGCATCGCGAATCACCTGTGGTTGTCATCTTCGATTTCGGCATCATGGCACAGTCGGCACTCATTCATTCCCGTCTTTCCTTCTCCGCTAACCGCTTCTCCCCCAGAGAAACGGATGAACTTCAGTGGGCTGATTTTGAGTTCACCACAAACTGCTTGACTGTGTTATTCTGGCGTGAGAGGGAATCGATCGGACCACAGCCAGGCTCTGCGGACATGTAGTCGGGGGATGTCCGGCGTTACATGTGCCTCTCCCGTGCAAGTCCATTCATTTCAGCCGTTACCCCCGACCCCAACCCCGCCATCTAAAGTCCGAAAAGGGGGGACCGGGCAAGACATTGAACTCGCTCAGTTGACTAAAAACATCCCTTTGATCGTTATCCCTTGGTACCGCTCATCTATCGCCGAACTCCCGACAACAGCGAACCGGGCTGGCGCAGGCAATGCCGGCGTATGCAGGGAGAACCAGAAGCAAGGAAGATTGAGCGACTGCAGCCAGATGTCAGTCAATCTGGGAATAAATAGGATGGTGAAGCCGGTTTCATCATTTTCTTGACGACGCCCCCTCTCTTCATCTCTCTTTAGTTCTTCCTATCTTGTCCCTGATTTCTGCATCCTACGCTCCAGGAACATCATCACAATCCCATCACAACAAGCCACTCCCGCCATCACCCAAAATGCCCATTTCTATCCCCACCGCCTCCCTCGAAGGCAAAGTCGCCCTCGTCACCGGTGCCGGCCGCGGCATCGGCCGTGGTGTCGCCCTCGAGCTCGCCCGCCGCGGTGCCTCCGTAATCGTCAACTACGTATCCTCCGCCGGCCCCGCCAACGAAGTCGTCAAGGAGATCGAATCCCTCCACAACGGAGCCCGCGCCACCGCCATCCAAGCCGACGTCCGCCGCGTGTCCGAGATCGACCGGCTCTTCGCCGAAGCCAAGCGGGCTTTCGGCCGCATCGACATCGTCATGTCCAACTCGGGCACCGAGTCCTGGGACAAGACCGAGGACGTCACCGAGGAGAAGTACGATTACGTCTTTGACCTCAACGCCAAGGCGCAGTTCTTTGTCGGGCAGGCGGCCTACAAGCACTTGGAGCGCAACGGACGGGTGATTCTCATGACGAGCATCGCGGCGGGGTTGATGGGGGTCAGGAACCATGCGCTGTATAATGCGTCCAAGATGGCGGTGCAGGGGTTTGTGAAAGCGTTTGCGACGGATTTTGGAGATAAAGGGATCACGGTCAATGGGGTGGCGCCCGGGGGCATCAAGAGTGATATGTTTGCGGAGAATGCGTGGCATTATATTCCGGGTGGAACACCCGATTTGGGTAAGGATAAGATTGAAAAGATGATGGCGGAGCATTGTCCGCTGGGAAGATGTGCGGTGCCGGAGGATGTCGCGAGGGTGGTGGCGTTTTTGGCTAGTGAGGATGGGGGGTGGGTTAATGGTGAGTTTTCTCCCTTTCTGGCGTGAAGGGTGCTTGAATGATGGTGATGATGCTAACGTGGTTGATACAGGTCAAATCATTACCATCTCTGGTGGTTCTTCTCAGTAGAGATATTCTGGATGCTGCCTGGGATGGGAGAATAGAGACAGAGAGGGTGGAATCGATTATGGGTGATCTATTGGTTGTGGGTTGGCATACTACTACTATTGAAAGTTGAGAAAAAGTCGCTGTATCGCGATGGTGACAGGTCAGGAGTAACGTGAATCTTGCAACACAATTGTGCATTTATCAGTCTCAAGTTCATCAAGGTACCCTCTGCCTTGCTGATCATCTGCCTCCTTCTCACTTGGGCTACATGCCGTGGTAGTTCTCTCCTCTGTCAACATCTCTTTGTACTTATTGCTCCTTCCCCCGACAGTCCGATACTAACTCATAGCCCCCTTTAGTCCATGCCCCCTTCATCAATTCTTCCATGTGTTTCTACAACTCAAAAGTCCACACCCCCTTCCTCTCCATCGAAATCCGTTCCCCTCATTGCCCAAAATTACTCAAACTACCCAAGTCCCCCCTCAAATCATCTCATCAATCGCCACAATCCCCTCCTCTCACCTTTCATCCACATCTGCCCTCTCCATCTTATCCCCCAACTCCCTCACCATCTTTTCCCTCTCCTCTCTCAATCTATTCAGTTCCACTTCCACACTCCTAATACGCTCTTCGATACTAGTCGCGACCGCGGTCTTATCGAGTGAAGCGAAATGCATACGAAGCTCTGAGCCAGACATATCCTGAGCGCCTTCCTCATGCCTACCTCTACCGAGGATGTGGTGCAGGGAGGTAGTCCTGCCGCTGCTGCCGAGCTTTGTCAAGGAGGTATATGTAGTTCCATGCCGGGCAATCAATCTTCTTGCCCTGGGCTGGCTTAGCTCGCGCCAGTTTGCGGTGTTGTCGTTGAAGGTGGTGGTGGTGGGGGTGGTGATGGTGACGGGGTGGTGAGTGGTGACGGTGTGGTGAGTGTGAGTGGAGGGTGGGTCTGACTTGACCGAGACACTATCACGGCGGTGATGGTGAACAGAGACAGATTGAAGGGAGGTGATGTAAGGAGTGGCGATGACATCGCTTGAGTCATCTTGTCTGCCAGTCTTGTCGGCCATGTTGGGGATGATGTCCTTGGAGATGTCCATCATCGCTTGATGATGGTGATGATGCTCAAGATGATGGTGATTTGAGATGCAAGACGTGTGCTGTCTTTGAGAAGTGGGATTTGTGATGTTGTGAAAGGAGGCGTTTGGGTTTGACTTGACTTCTTTGGTGATGATCGAGGAAAGTTGGTGGTGAAAGAAGAGAGAAGTTGGGAAGGGACAGAAGTAGAGAAACAAGAGAAAGTTGAACAGCAACTCGTTTATTCTCAATCTCCCCATCCACCCCTTGAAACACTCAACCCTGGTGTAAACGTGCTCTGCCAAAATAGATGCATCCTGACTATTCACTCCAGAGCTCAGTTGGCAATCAAGTTCAATTTATGAAAGGGTACATAATACCAATCCGGAAACCGCCAAATCGTTGAACTAATGAGGAATACTGTGATTAGAGGTGGGGAGGTGTCCTGTCGTTTCTATCGTGATTCTTGAGGTACGCTATATACTACTGTATCCCTCATCCTCATCCTCTTCCCACGCGTCCCAAAGCAGCTGATCGTCCAAGATACGCCTGCACCTAGCCAACCTCCTGCCACGTATATGAATGTCGCGCCAGCTGGCAGTCTCCTCATCACGGAGAGCAGACGAACGCAAGCTACGATGCTGGGTGACATGTGCTGGATTCTCTGGCATAAGCCTGACGGTTCTGTTGACTCTACGTCTAGTGATAGAATGACCGGCCGGTTCGCTGCTGACTTTAACCGGGGAGGCGTGGCTTGGTGTGGTGTCTTGAGGCGAAGAAGTACCGCTGGGCGCGGAAATGACAGAAGGGTTGGCATCCATCTTATGGCCAGTGACATTGGCCGTGTCGGCGTCGATGTTGGTGTTGGCGGTATCTGGTTTGGTGGTAATACTTGAAGCAGGGTCTTCGGCCTCGACAGCAACTGTGACTGATTTGAAAAGAGTAGGAGAAATAGGAAGAAGGGTAGAGGTACGCTGGACGGATGGGCTGGCGCCGCCAGTATCGGTACGTTGGCCGTTACGCATATTAATGGGTTCAGTCCTAACGATCCTTGGGCGCTTTTGGGTGATATACGACGCCGAATAGATGGTGCGGTTGGAAATGGTACCTCTAGGGACGATAACTTTGGGGTTGTCCGTCATCTTGTCTTTTGAGGTGTCAACGAGGAGGGTATGCTGCTGCTCAGAGAGCGATATTCTGTAGAATGAATAGCTGTTGTCAGAATGTCCGAAGAAAGTGACCAAGAGAAGAGTGGTGGTATGTAAAGCAGATGAGCAGCAGAAAGGGTGTGCATGACGGCATTTTATTCTCCTTCGTCAATCGAAAGTCGCCTCATGTTTGCATGTCGCAATCTGGCAATTTCGAGCGATCACCATCCAAGAGAACACACCCAGGTTTGGCACGGTGCTATGTAGGTCCATCACTATCTATTGTCGGTCCTTAAAAGGGGAGATTAACACCGTGAAAGAAGGGAACTCAACAGACGCTTTATGGTCCCTTTGAGGATAACCTCATGTTGTGCGTCCAGCGGCGCTGCGGCAGGACGTGGATCATATCAGCCCAAGGTCTGAACCTTCCCACAATTTCCAGTAGTCAACGTGGTGGGTGTCTTCTTTATATGCATTTTTGCTTCACTACAAGGAAGACACTGACTCAGTGAATTGTGGTCTCGAAACTTCCATAGCGCGGGATCTATCCGCATCTGTCAAAGTAAGTCACTTCCTAGGTTGCGATCAAACATTTTTATCGTGACTACTCCACTGGCCTGATATGATCGCGTCACTCGCCGACGACGACACCTTCCTTGACTTACATACAAGCCGCATCGCACATGCCTTTTTTTGTTTTCCTTTTTCTTTCCCCCCTCCCCACCTTGACCATTCTTGAACGTTCATTCTGCCAACATCAAACCCGCTAATCACAGGGGTATACCACTCTCTCGCCTCAACATTCCTTACGCTACCTCACATCCCCATCCCCATCCCCATCACTCCATCATCTCATCATCCTCATCACCATCCTCCTCCTCCCCCTCCCCCTCAACACTCTCCTCAACACCATCCATCCCATCAAAGTCTTCATTTCCCTCACTCCATGACACCATCGGATTCGGCTCCAACCATCGCTCTTCCACAACATCCCCATCCTCATTGACCCAAGTCTTCTTCGCCCTCTCCCGACCCCTCAGGAACCAACTTGAATCCTCACCGTAAGCGCCGCCCATCCCTGAACCTCCCGACCGCATCTGCATCTGCATCTGCTTCTCACGAGCAACTCTAGCAGCTTTCTCAGCAGCCACTCTCGCTTTGGTAAACGTAAGACAATTCTCGACATAGGCCGTCGTCATCCTTTCCTTTTCTTTTTCCTTTTCCTCAGCTGCGTTTCTCTCCGCTGTTGTCGTGTAGATGGTGGTGCCGGGGACTTTTTTCATCGTTGCTTTGTAGATTGTGGTGCCCATTTCGGGCGTCATGGTGCCTGGCTGCACAAGACGAATGGGGTGAGCGTGGTGATGGCGCTCGCGGGAGGATGAGGTGGTGGTGGAGCGGAATTTGGTGATGCGGTTGTTGCTGGATGGGTGGTTGTGGCTGAGGGACATGGAGGGGAAGCGGGCAAGATATAGGCTGACTTCAAGAAATCCGACGGGGTCGTCGCAGTTGAGGAGGTGGTCGCAGAAGTCTTGGTCCTGGAAGAGGTTGGTGGCGGCGGTGTTGGTAGTGATGTTGGTGGTGTCGGTGGTGGTTGTGGTGGTGTTGCTGCTGCTGCTGCTGCTTGCATTGGGGTTCGAGAAGCTCAGGCCTGCGGAAGTTGTGGTGTAGACGTAATCGCCTGTTGAATTGCCTGCGAAGTTGAAGGCGGCAGGGAGTGAAGGTTGGGGTTGCTGTTGGCTGGGGACACGTTGGGTGTGCGGAGATGTGGTAGTCGTGAAGGGCGTGTCGACCCGGGCTTTGGGGTTGAGGGTCATGTCCTCCATCTCTTGGGTAATTTCGTGGGTTGACTCCATGATGGTATGGTTAGGAGTTGAGACGGGGGCTTTCGGCTTGATGGTTAGGCCATCCATCTTCTGGGTGATATTACACGCTGGCTTCATGATGCGGATATTCCTGTCCTTGTTGGTTCGCAAATTCTGAAGTTATTGGAAAGCGATGCGTTAGTTCGTTGGAGAAAATGGCTGAGTGGGACTGGGGGAGGAAGTACAAACTGGTTTGCTCTGGAAGTTGTTTTTGAAGAGGAAGAAATTACCCTTGAAGTGGGATTCACAGGCGTTCTCGTTTCTCTTCACCTGTCCTTGTCGATGGAATAGAAACCTTGACGAAAATCGGTGAATGGGGCCTCAAACCTGCTGAGGTAACGCAATTCTCACAGCCTTTGTCAACCTGATGCTTAACCCTCACCCGATTTGATACAGGCTTGCAGTCCATGTTCGTTTGGTTTCTGTTGCCTGCTTCCAGGCTAAAGTCTAGAAGTGAAGTCATTATCCAGGTGGCCAGTCATTGATTGCTTTTCTTTCAAAAGCGGAAGATACGTTTAAAACATTATTGTCGTGTTTTCACTAGTTCCCTAGCTGCTGCTCTTCTCACTGGCAACTAGGATCAATTTACGAAGCCTTCAGAGGACATTTGAACCAATGTTTGGTATCTGAAAGAGATTATTATCGTCCACCCTCAGTCCATCATGACCGTATCCTCTTCCATTTCCACGTCTTCTTCCATCTTCACATCCTCCTCCTCCTCTCCATCCTCCTCCTCTTCTTCCTCCTTGATCACCTCCAACTGCCCCAAGTTAGCCTCCTCCCTCTTCAACTTCAACCCCAGCCCTTTCCTCATACCCTCACTGAAGGCACCTCTTCTATGGACCCTCGTGGCCCTTCTTGTACTGCCATGACGTCTCTCCTTCTCCTTCAACCAACGCTTGAGCCCTTTAGATGCATCGCGTCGAAGAAAGTCGACGACGCCCACTCTCACTCTATCACGGCATTTGGTGATGCTGGTGGTATGCGGACGGTCGTCGGAGTTGCGAGGCTTAACGCCCTTGGCTAGACTTTCGGCGAGGTTACGGGAGATGTTCCTAACGGGTTTGCGCAAAGGGATGATGTTCTTGGGACTCTCCGGGTCGGTACAAGTTGCAGTCGCGATAACTTCTTCTGGTTTGGTTCGTTTGTCGATGATGGGGCTGAATTGTGTGCCGCTTTGTGTTTGGAAACCAGCTTGGGAAGCAGGACCAAGGGGACCTGGTCTTTGATTTGGGCCGGGTGGATGGGAGGCGCTAAGTTCTTGACCCGGTGTTGGGGCGCAAGGGTCGATGTTGAGCTTGGCTAGCTTTCGGATAACTTCTTTTGTCGAGTCCATTGTGTTTGTTCTTGATGTTTATGGACACCTACAGGGAGTTTAATGGTTGTGCGGTTGAGCAGTCCAACTTGGCGTCGTTGCGTTCTGGAATCTCCTGAGGACCCAAGTTGGACGAAGTTACCCACGGGATTTTGAAGAGGGAGAAGAGAAAAGCCTCTGTGGGAGGGGGGATTATCTCAGCCGCTTTGCGTGCCTGTGGCTGATGGTGCCTTGGGGGCCTTCACTGATGTTTCGTCCCATAATACACAAGAGGATCTCTACAGACACTTCACTCGATAAAACGATGAACGTACGCATTAATACGATTCCTTGTATCTCCAAGACGGTTACCGTATCGCGATCTTAGTTCGAACTAACAGATATCTCGAGGATTTCTACGTATCGTCTCTCAAGCTTGAACGAAATTTGAATCATCTTCCCTTTGATCACATGTCCTCCATGCTTCATATGGTACACCACCTTGCACCTTCTAGAGATTCATCGTAGAAACTCGGCGATTCCTTGTCCTTGAGTGTGATTACCTGTACGTTGTCCCTGACTATGCCTGCGTTCTGTATCCCGCTTCCCCTCCTCTGATGAACAACTCTGGCAATCCACTTCACTCCTCCATGACATCCTCCACATTATCCTCACCACCACCCTCTACCGACATCTCCTCCTTCATCAAGCTATTTCCTCCTCGCATCTCCGCCAGCAAATGCTCCATTCTGTCTTCAGAAACAGACAAGGGCTTCGGCTCTCCGGCGGTCAGAGAAAGAGAAGACATAGAAGAACCCAAGGTCAATTCTCGGTGAAGGGTGTTTATTGACTCAAATTCGGCCCTGAGTGCACGAAGTTTGGCAGCCAGATCTCTGTGCTCCTGTCTCATTTGTTCGAACCCCATTCTTTTGCGATTGTTGATAGGGTGAGTAAGCGCATGGTCTGGGTCCCCCACGCGCATCAAAGACTGCCCCTGGTGACGGGCCCGCATGTGGTGAGCAGCGGTAGCGGTAGAGGTATGCTTCTGGCAAGGACGATTGCGGGCGGCTTGGGAACGAGGCTGATGACGGTGTGGCTTGTAGTGGCCAGGAAACGGTTGAGGGTGTTGGCAAATTTGGGGAAAATGTTCAGCCGCCTGGGTTCGAACAGATGGGTGGATATATGTGGTGCTGATCTCTGGTACCGCGGGGCTGCTGAATGTGCCAGGGATGACCGTCATGGTGGTCAGAGTCGAAGGTCGCGGGGGTGAGCTCTGGGTATGCATTGTTGACGGCTCAGGGTCACTCAGAGCAGAGCGAACATCGACATCAACACCAGGTCTGGGATGCATGATGATCGCAGACGGCTGGCTGGGGTTGACACTGAGGGTTGCCATGCCGTGAATGACCTGGTTGGCGCCTTCAGACTCGCTGCTGTCGGTTGGCTTCATGTTGGCTCGACGGTATTGTAGGATTGTTGCGGGACCGAGGCTTGGGTTGTCGAGTCTTGATGTAGCTTGCGAATCAGGACTGCAAAAAATTGGTTTAAGAGAAGGGAGGAAGTGAAACCTGAAAGAAGAAAGTTGAGAGCTGCCTATTCATAATTGTCAGCCATGTGAGTGAATGGCAAACAACTCGTGGGTGGAGTCACAAGATCGAAAGCCGACGCAATACGTGCGGCATTCAGGTTCTTGGAATGCAAGGTCGACGTACATATATGTATATGTACGTACCGGTGCCTGTATCTTGGTAAATGGTGTTTTCGTCACGCGTGGTTCGTGTTTAGGATACTTTCGGACTGTGGGCTGGATTCTCAGCTGCGATCACTTCGGAAAAAAAATAAAAGAAATAAAAAAAAGAAAAAAAAAGAAACGTGCTGCCGGAAGTTTGAAGCTGCAAATATTTTCATGGGATGCAGTATTCGGAGTCAGTCATTACCATCCGCAGGAAATAGCGCTTATTTTGTGCAGTACCTTGCCGATGTGCCCATCTGCCTAATGCCATGCTTAATAGGCAACTTAAGGATATCCCAAGCTCCGGGCCTACTGTGTACATGCGGATATTTGTACAGATCTCCGATAACCCCAAACCACATGTTCCTTATTGGGTGATTATGTTAGTTCTGTTGAAGGCGTGCTCGATGACCTCGGTGACCATCATTTGGCCCAAAGAAGAAGCCTGGATGGTGCCGGCCAGTGTTGAAAGTCATGCCCTAAACCTGATGGGCAACTTGGTTGGTCACTCCACCAACGGGCGTTGGACTATGCTAGTGGAGAGAAAGAAAATTTTGCGCCTTGCGCGGTCTTGCAGTTGCTATTTGCAAGGAAAAAGGCAGGTCCGAAGTAGGATGAAATTGCCAAAGGGGAAAGAACGAAAGCCATTTGTCCTCGGCCGGTGGGTAGATGTCTGCGGACTAACACGTCTTGGCATTAATGAGAACCTGCGCATGGTTTGGACGTTCCGTGGGTCGATGTCATTCACTCGGATACCGTCGAATTGCGCCATGTTAGGGCATAACTGGGTTTGGGAAAATTGTGCCTCAGGCTCTGTCATCCGAAGTAGATGGATGCCAGGAGACATCAATAGGAATTTGCACGCATTTTGGCTATTGAGTGTATTTACTCTGGCAGATTTCATCTGAATGTAGATGGGTACCAAGTATGTCACCACAGCCCTGATCCAGTGAAAGAGTACAATTTGTACCTTGTGCCGGCGGCATGTTAGGGCTAACCTGTCGGAGATATGAGGGCACAAGAAGAAGCAAATAATGACGTCGAACTTGTCAACTGAAGGAGAAACGAGAAGGGGGGGACAAGAAGTCAAGGGCTGGGGAATCTTCGATGTACATGACTGCCCGCGTAATCACCTAATTATGCCCGTGTAGAATACGGATTGACTAAAAGGCCACGATAACATGTTGCTCAACAGGGCAAATACTACCGCAGTCTGCCTGCCCCTTCTCTCTACTTGCGCATCGTCAGCGAGCCTTACGCTCACGAAAAAGTCAGTTTGGAATCACATTGTGTTCCTTTGCATGGGAATTTCTTCCAGCCCTACGCTACTGCAGTCAACCACTTTGACCTTGCCACGCCTTCTGTCCAGGCATCGTGTCGTACGCAGCCCCCATAGGTATGTGATGAGCTCCAGCCAACGGAACCTGGAGAATGCTGGATGGGTGATCTTGGGCTCCTTGTAGGCATGGAGGCATGTATGAGAGTGAGGTTTCCAACAACATCTTGAAAACGCCTCTCGCGGCGTGTACACAAGTTCATAGGTGTCGGGGATCTTGGCCGAGACGAGCACCTTCTTGTGTGTGATCGTGTAGCCCTTATTGTATGCCTCTTGCGTGGGTGTGTGGAAAAGTTCTCCCCTTGATCGTCCACTTGGGCATTGTTGGCGAGCTTTGCATACGTGAAAAAGTCAGTTTGGAATCACATTGTATTCGCATGGAATTTTGTTCCAGCCCCATTGCGTGCAGTCAATGTATCCCTCTTATGTGAAGATATCTCATGATGAAGCAAAGTCAAACGAACTGTACACAGGAATTTCAAAGTTCCGTGGAAAGGAAAACGACTTGATGGTCCAGAAGAACAAAACCCCTGCTCTGAATTTACAACGCCCTTGCCATGCCCACTATTCCCATGCTAATCAGCAATATCCACGTGTACCGCCTCGCAGTGATAAACCCCAATTCGCTCAACAAGGTAACCTCCATGATTTCGCTCCTCAATGCCAAATGCAAACCCAATGCCAGTAACTCCAGACCATCCTGTTCCTCAGCCCAAGTCATCATTCGTTTACTTTCCATCCAACCGACCCCAACTCGTCGACATCGCCGCCTGCAGCTCCGTTCTCACCCTGCCGTCACACCCCCACCGAAGTGTTCTCAATGTCCAGCCCTAGCAGCAATTGCCGAAACCAACCTGATCTGCAAGCGATACCTTAGCTGGGCCCGGACCAAATTACGATGGTGCTCTTCTCTCGTCAGGCCCGCAACGTCACCGGTGGTGGCAGTGACCGGAGGAGTCCGAGGCCGGTGGTGGTGGTGGTGGTGGTGATGGTGGTGGTGGTGGGCTCTGACAGTCTGGCTTTGGATCTGGGCACAGTGTCTGAAGAAGCTACCTGCTTCTTCGCAGGCCTCTCGGGAGGAAGTGCGAAGACGAGGACGAGAATGAGGGCGAGACCGAGGGAGAGCTTGGGCGGCCTGGCGCTCGCGTGCGCGGATGTTCATCATGGCGATGGAGACGGTGCCGTGGCGAGCAGAAAGTTGGTTGCACAGGCGAGACCACTCGGCGTGGCCGCGGCCGTGTGCTTCTAGGGCGCGGCGGTTCTGGAGTGGGTTGCTCCTGAGTGAAAGGTTTCTGGTGGCGGTGATGAGGTCGTTACTCATGGTGATGTCGGTGTCAGAGCCGTGGATGGTGGTGCTGGCGGTTGCGGTTTGTCCTTGGGTGGAAGTCTCGGAAGAGACAAAAGACTGGTTCATGTTGCGGCGAGAAGGCCCAGGAGAAGCTGAGGCTTCGTTGAGAGTAAAAGAGGGGAGATTGGTGGCAATGCTGAGCCTGTCAAGGCGTTGGGTAACTTCAATGGTTGAGTCCATTGTGCCGTCTTTGTTGTTTGGTGTTTGGCGTTTGTGTGTTGATACGAGAAGTTTGGTAAGAGGTGGTGGGTGAGAATGAGTGGTGATGTGGTTAGTGAAGATGGAAGAAAGGAAAAAAGAAATATCAGAACTTAAATGAGCGAAAGTGAAAAAAAAGAAAAAAGAAAAAGGGAAAAGGAGGGGTTGGAACTGGTCAAGTGAATGGGTGGACCGCCCTATTGTCAGGTTGTGATCTGAATGTGAGAATTTCAACCCAAATCTGAATAAGATGCAATACCAGAACCTTGAGCAGACCACCCGTGGTTCTTGGCTGCAGCTTCTTATTTTTCCCACACAACACACAAGAGACTGTGTCCTTCACTCTGCTTGACCTGGCCTTCCGTCTGATGTCTAGCTCGATGCGCGTTAGACATTGTGAGAACCTCAATTCTTGTCAGTCATTTCGGCTGCAACGCAGACCAGACACTCGCGTTTCTGACGCGACATGTCAAAAGACACTGTTGTTATATGTAGAGCTGTATTGATCCCATGCTCTGCTCCGACTTTTCCGCTATATATGGACCCTTGAGCTCTTGGAAGCAATGTTGAGATGTTCCAGAAGGTCGCTCTGTGTGGGAAAGTTGATGCGACAAGCTGAGATAGGAAAAGCGATGGACAGTCTCCCTGGCTATGAAGACGGATTAGCAACATGTGATATGTATGTCTAAGGTTCTGTTTCCTACCGCCATAGGCCTTCACTCAATCCCTAAGATAATATGGAATGCAGTCACTTGTGATTGGGGTGTGTGTGGGGAGAGCACTGTGCAATCCTTCTTGCCGATCATGCAGTGCTAAGCTCTGTGTTTTTTTTTGCAAAATGATAGCATTGGGGATGTGGCATGCATCGTTAATGCACATATTTACCTTAGATACCCATAAGCCAGCCGCCATGCATTCCCGGACCTCCGGCTTGGGAATTGAAAGCACCGAATTTTAGGAGTGGAGTTTCGATCTAGCGGATATCATGACATCATTCGCCGACGGCGGATGAAGTAACAATGTCACTCAACTGCTACCACATATAGCCCTTTCAGATATTGTTTGGCTGCGAACGATTTGTCTCTCCTTGTGATGGCGGTGGTTGCGGACCCTGCTCATACGTCTTGTCGGTAGAGCACCTTGTGTTTGAGAGGATGTGTGTGCTTGGTACCAAATAAGGCGGTGCGGTGAAGTGGAAGGCATGTCAGACACTCTCCTCTGTTTACAAGCCCTTTTGTTTCTCAAATCATGGGCTGTTTTGAAGCGGTAGTATTTCTTTCAACTTCAACGGTAGACAACTTTGTGATTTGTAATGTCCAAACATGTTAACAGAAACTGCCAGTGTCCTCACTGCTGCACCCTCTGATTTCTTGACCAACCCCTGCAGAAAAGAAGTGGGTCCATGCTTCTCTGTTAGTGCACATCCACTGTAGCCCCTGCATTAGGGCTCCGCGCTATCACTTACACATCCTCAACTTTCCCAATTTGTTCCAATTCAGTCCCACTTTTCTCACTTTCGACGCGGGTCCATTTCGACTCCATGCACCCGAGGGGACGGAGTTGGGACGAACAGACGAACTCTCCAACTCTTACAACTCCGAGGCTTCGGCTAATTCTACTTTCTTCCAGAGCATGCGCAATGGTTCTTTCTGTAGAAGAAGTCTTAGATTTGACGCTGCGTTGACCTTACAAATAAAATGAGATGACCTTTGGATGGGCCGTGTCGGCGGTCCTCACGGCAGGAGGATGATCGTTCTCCCTAGTATGCAAATGGTAACAATCACGCGAAGAGGAGAATTGACAATTCAAACGTTTGTGAAAAGAAAGGTTGGGCAACGGGATTGTGTAAAACTGAACGAATGACGCAAAAAGGTTGTGTCCGCGGCAAAACTGCTGAGTGGTCAGTGGCAGGCAAGAGGGCAGACAGTCCTAGAGGTAAGGTACCTACCGCGTTCCTCACTAGCTGTGTACCAGCTGTTCTGGCTATCTGCCCGTTCTGAGGTACCGACAGCCCGGCACCTACCGGCAAGCCTGCTGCAGAAGGAGGGCACTGTCCCAGTGCGCAACACCTGCCAGGCGCTTACCAGGCGCTGAACCTTCCACTTGGGCCTTATAAGGTCCCCCTTCAGCACCCCTCAGTAACCCCAAAACCCTCGGTCCTTGTAAACGTTCCCTCGTGGTCTAGCGGTATGAGGTGTGGCGGGGCCAGAATAACATTGCTCGTTGCGTGGTAACGGTGGTACAGTTTTCGTAGGCGTGTCAAGAGTGGACGGGTTCGGCCCTGCTCTGGCCGCTGAGCTTTTTGCTTTTTTTCGTCTTTTGTAGTATTTGGAGTTGCTTCTCGTCAATCAATGTCCGAATTCACTTTTTTTCGCGAGTTGTTCTCTTGCTTGTAGACGTATTTTGATTGTCTCCGATCTTGCGATGCTTTCAGTGTCGTTTTCACGTTTATGCAAATGGTCAACATCGCGGCCTTCGCATCAGTCAGAGCTTTTGCTTGGCCAAACATGAGGCTACAAACAATGTCATGTCACCATCCGCACATCCATCACCTTAATGAACCCATCTACTTCCCATCATCACCTACCATCTTCTCTCGCCACCTCCACCCTCCTCCTGTCCAACGCCTTATCAACCTACCACCTCCCGTCTGACTACCTTCTCAAACCTCCACTCGTGATAGGCCTCCTCCTCAATCAACAGCAGTCTACCCTCCTTCGCCTGCATCTGGTTTTGAGAGTTTCCACTCTGTAACTTTTCCATCTCCTGCTGAAAACGCCCGCTAATGTGCTCAATGGCATTCGCCTCTCGCGCTGCATGAACTGGAGGTTACGAACAAGGGATCGGTAGAGATTAGCTCTGAGTCACAACCTGAGCCGGAGTCAGTCTGGTCAGAAGTCAGAAGCGGTGTCTTGGTCAATGCCTCGGCCGATACCTTAATTTAGCCATGATTTAGGTGCAGTGACGGGCGATGGCGTCTGCTATCGGGGTCGATGTTCGCATGGGTTCCGGTGGTTGCATTATCGTGGTCGGTACTCGAGCATATTACCGGCCTACTGCATTTGAGCCCAACTAACTAAACCTTGGAAGGACTGCTACGGCTGCACATGCGCAGGGGAAGCGAGTCGAAACACAAGAACTGGGTTCTGGTGGGTTGTGCCGGCAGCTGCGGTGACGATGTCAGGTTTCAAAGACGATGTGAGGAGGGATTTGATGTGGTTGCCTTGCCTGTGAGAAGGTTTTCGATCTCCGAGGCCACAGTGGGGTCGTCTTCTTTGCCCCTGGGGTTCAAGTTCCCGTCATCTCCGCTGGTTGCTAAGATAGCCGAGGCTTGCGCTCACAGAGGGAAAGAGCAAGGAAAGCCTGCATCGGTGGATCCGTGTCTGGTCACTCTGATGACGAATCGGGAGGCGCTTAGTTGGCATGGAAGTTTTGGATATTTGAGAAGAAAGACCAGCGTAGCTTACTTACCGCAAGAGGAACCCCGTGGTTTTCGTAGCTGACGGGGAATGTGCCAGAGCTCGTCACTCCGATATATTGGGAGATGGAGGGGAATTATGCACTGCAAAATCTACAGTGCTGGCCAATAGTCGATGATGACAAGGAACACGATATCTTGATTCGGAATGATGGTGGATACTGTTTTGCCAAGCCAAGCAAAAGGCAGCTTCTTCAGTGATCTCGTGTTGCCGCGGTTCCATTTCTCTTTTGAGGGGGTGAGGAGATAAATCGGTCCCCGACAAAAACAGGGGTGTTTTTAAGGTTTCTCTTCATCCCGTGACTTAGGTTCTCACTGCTTCCATCCACGTCTTGGGGCATCAAGTCTGAAATGTCGGGTTCGCGATGTGTTCACAGACCCCGATATGTACTGCCCGACCCTAATGCACTCATCTCCAACGAAGTGGGAGAGGTGCGTGAGATACCTCCAGATGTTGATGCAAATAGGATTTAATATTTTTTTTTTTTTTTTTTTTTTTTTTTTTTTTTTTTTTTTTTTTTTGCAATGCCAGACTGACCAAGCAATTGGGTTTGAGAAGATTTGGCCGGTGTACTACCGTGGATAAAAGACTGCATTTCCCTGGAATTCTGGACTTCTTTTTCTTGACTACAGCACTTTTCATTCCTCGGAATCCAAGACAGATCACTTCTTTGCAAGGAAATCCCGAAAGTCTATACATAGCATCACCATCACCATCCAATAATCTGGTTGTTTGTGCAGCAAAGACCAGTCAAATCCAAGTCCTAAAGTCTCTTCTTCTCCTCAAACTTCCTCTCTTAAGACTTCGAGTCATCGACTCATCGGGGTCCGAGCTTTCGTTGCTTGAGTCTGTCACTGGTTGGAACATCTTTATCCCGTAGCCATACACTACCTATCTGGTCTACTAGTGACTGCCTGGTTGAGTCTCCGAGTTGATTATCAACTGTTTACCCCATCACAGGTACATACATTCTCTGATTCCACCAAAATGTTGCACTTGACACTGACATACTTTCTCCTGTGCAACTCCAGAACTCCAAATTCTCCTCCACCTGAATCTCTTGACCACCACAAAAACAAAGACAAATCCCACAACCAAGTGCTCAAGATGAACACTCACGATATCATGATGGCGAGGCTTCAAGCTTTCAATGTCTCGCAGGATGATGAGCAACGCCTACCCGGTTCGGAAGCTCAAGCACAAGGTCAAGCCAGCAGCAGCTCCTCAAGACGCGAGTATTTCATGAATGCAATGAGGGAGGAAGTCTCCGACGACATGTTTTTCCCGACGCCTCAAACCACTCCCCACGCAAGCCCCATCTCTGAGCCGAATCTGCATCCGAATCCGACCCCGACCCCCCCGAGCCCCGGCCCCAGCCCCCCACGTCGGCCCCTCGTGCGTGTCCGCTCCATGCCCCCCAACCTTGATGTCGCTGACTCCTACATGTATGGGAGATTCTCTTCCACGGGCACTACAGCCACAGGCGGGGATGGAGCCACCACCAAGCCACCCCTCCCCATCGGCTTGCAGACACCCACACAGGCCTCTGCTCCGAACAGGGTAACCAAGGCCTCCTCCCATTCTCACCACAAGTCATCTCGAAGCGGAGAGTTCGTCATGCGTGAGCTGGAGACGCCCCTGGAACAGACGTTGTATGCACGGCGTATGGCAAAGCTTGCCAGGAGGGAGCAAGCTGCAGCGCGGGTGAAGGAGAGGAGAATGGCCAGCGAGAACAGGAGGAATGTCACCAGACTCTGGATATTGGAACAGCAACTAATGGCACAGGTTCGCGCAATGGATGCATCGTGGAGAATAAAGCACCCGGGATATGGGATGAACAAATTTTCTGCGGCCGCGGACACGGCCGGGGGCGTGCCGCCCCCTTTGGGTTTGGCGATGGAAGAGGACGGATCTTCTGGCTACGGCCAGGTCCAGGAGGAGGACCCGGGTCACACGAGCTCACTTGATGCACACGTCAGCGATAGTGACCAAATGGAGATGGAGGTTGAACAGGAGGAGGACTTGGACTCACTTCAGGGAAACGTCTCTGGTGATGAGGAGATGGATGACGGACTGTCACATCCGGACAGATTGGAGTCACGTCGGGCAGGTCTCTCCTACCTTGGGCAGATCATGGACATGATGGACCCGCTACCAGACACGGCGTCAATTGATGGAAACGCCGGCAGTGATGATAACCAGATGGAGGAGTAGGCACCCGTCACCTCGAACACAACAACTTCTGCCTCCGATATGGAGGTGGCATCGGGATCACTGGCACTTGGGTCATGGTGGACATGGCCACCTGAATTAACCCCTCAATGAAGGCCGGATGGAAGCCCGAATCAAATGAAGGACGGACTTGCTGATGATTGATGAGGGGCTTCTCGTTAGGGAAGATAGTGGAAGGAGCAATGGTTGTTGGCGGGGTATTTTAGGTGCTTTTGGGTTTCTGTCATACTTTTCTTCCTTTGTTCTCCTTCCCTTATCAGCCACCCTCTGACCTCCACGAACCCCTGGCATTGGCAGTGAACCTGGGCTGCAGTGGCAACCGACTTGACGAGTGCAGCCCACAAAAGGCACTCGTCAATCACATCCATTGACGAAGACTTTTTTCTTCCCCTGTGCGATCATCATCATCAGATCAGGGCGGACGCGCGCAACTTCCAGCCGGTGGTCACCCATTTTTTTCCTTCTCCAACCAAGCTGTCAACCAAGCATTTTCCCACGCATTGTTCTTCCATCGTGATTTGATAGATAATACCGGACTTTGGATAGTTCCAGAGTGCTCTGCTGGCGACAACATACCTACCCTTCTCCTAATCATCCTTCACCCCCACATTCATAGTACCGTCTCTGTAGTAATATAAATCAGTACTTTCGTCAAGCTCTTTTTTTGGCCCTACTACCTACGCCTCAGTACGCTCTAGGATGCCCACTAACTTGAAGATAAATAAGGAAAAGAGTACCGACTCTTGTATCTCATCGGTGGGTCTTCGCTGCAACATCTTATTTCAGAGGGCGGTACCTAGGCATCTTTCTCCTTTTCAAGTTTCACCAAGATTGGTGGCTATGGCTTGATGAGGAGGAGCGAATATGCTTTGATAGAAACGACAGGAAGCATGATGTTTTGATGAAATTGTGGTACCAGAGTAAGGGATGTTCTAGGTTGATCGTTTCAAGGTCGTTAATCTTTGTCCTAGGCAACGGAGTTGTTCTATTTCATTCTGGGCTGTTGTGTATGTAGCCGGTGTACCTCACTTGGGCTTTCTTCTGTTCTTAGTGTACCTAGGTAGAGGTGGATAAGGGGGTCATGGCAGGCCATGTCCTCTTCTACCAATTAGGCCGCCAATCAAGCATTTCCTCGCATTGCTCTCCCAACATCTCAACTCTCCTCGTGATCTGAAGTCCAGACGCTATCGTCCAGACTGACTCCCTTTTGAGCCCAAGCTACCTCTAGGATGTTTCTGTACATACCAAATCTGGTCCCGGATGCCTGCAGGTCACGGTGAGTTGCCTTCATTTGCACGACGAGCCACGCTGCTTGCTCAAGCCGACTACGCCCATCCATTTTCTTTGTTCTTTCTCAACTCGTTCCCGTTTGCTGAGACCTTGTACTTCCTCCCATGACTTGTAATTTACGAAGCATTTCTCTGAATCCAACATCTTCAGTCGAGCGCGACCAACATCTTTCTACCCGCAGCCTTCCCGATGGACACATGCACAACAGACGTTGACTAGAAACTACGTGAGCTCAACATAGACCCACATACAGTTCTGGCCGTACACCCCCTTACCCCCTCCGCCTATCATGGGGTTAAAAGCAACATCTTGCGCAGTCAGTTCGACATGACGCCGCTCAACTTCAACACCCCGATCAGCCCGACCGCAGTTACCACTTCTACGAACGCCCAAGCCAACGCCAACTTCAACGCCAGCACCAGCACCATTACCCACACCAATACCCACAAAGACGGCAGCGGAAACAGAGCCCCTCTCCCTCCTCTCCTGTCGGGCGCTCTTGCACTTGTGTCTCGAGATTTGGTCTTCTTTGTTGTATGCCATCAACAAGCGTTGCTGAGAACTGAAGAGCATGTTTGAGTGCAGAAAAAGGCGGAGCTTGAGGAGATACTGCGGCAACGCAGAATGCTCGCCACTTGTGGTGACTCTGCAGCAAAGGCCCAGGTGAATCATCTCGAGGTGACGATTGATGCTATGCAGGCTTTGAGGTATGGGCTATGGGCAGGTCAAGGGCGAGATTGAGGTAGCTACCAAGGGGCGAGTGTCCGCCTCATTAGTAATGTCGATGGGTCAGCGGGAGAAGCAACAGGAGGAAGGCGAGCGGATGGGAGTGGGGAGAAGGAGCTTATGAATGTCGTCTGGTCTTTTGTACTGTCGAATAACTGACCTTCTGAGCGGGTGCGAACGTCTCATAATGTACAAGGATTGAGGACCCGTTGACTGCTCTTGGATCCGGCGTCATTCGTGCCCGCCGTCTTTAGTGTTCGAATTATTCACTTACAGCAGGAGCTGCCTCTGACTTGGACGTTAAAGATCAAACTGTTGGTCTTCAACTTGTGCCATCCACGACTAGACTCTTCCATACCCACCAACAGATTTACACGCACCCTTACTTCTCAAAGGAAAGGCATTTTTCTTCATTATTCAACTTGTAATCATCGAAAGCATCCAATATGGCAAATCGGGGAGTCAAGAGAAACTTTGACACAGTGGACCCCAGCAGCGACACCACCACCGACAACAACATGCGCATGATGCGCGAGCCCAATCCAAGCCCAACAACAGCACCCGCCTCGGAGCCTCGCTTCTATCCAACGACGAATGATCCCACAACCGGTGGCGATATGTCACGGGCTGCCAGACCATCCGCCAACCAGGGCATTCCCACCATCACTTCCCCCGCCCAACACGATCCGACTCCATCAGATCAAGCTACGCCCAACGCCAACACAGGTGTTCCCGACGCCAACGCAACTACACCTCGCGCCGCGTACCACCGCCGCCAAGCCGCAGCCACTGTACAACGCATCGTCCTCGAGGAATCAGTAGCGCTCACCGAACAAATTGCCGAAACTTTGACAGAGCGCGAGCTCAGGCAGATTCTGCGCACGTGCATAATCAGGCAGGCTTCTGGAATCCCGCAGAGGGCTATGATCAAGTATCTTATTAGAAAGCTTGCGCTGATGAAGATGGTCAATCACCCAGACTTTCCGGAGTGGTTTGAGAGGTTCCAGCGAGGGGAAATGGACGTTGAAAGTGGGGCGGAGGCTGATGATGAGATGGAGGAGGGTGATGAGTATATGGGAGAGGCTGAAGAGGTGTGGGATACGGATGAGGGAGAGGCTAGAGAGGATATGGCAGAGGCTGGAGAGAAGATGGATGCGGAGGAGGGAGAGGCTGGCGAGAATATGGGAGAGGCTGGAGAGATGGACACGGAGGAGACAGAAGAGGCTGGGGAGGAGATGGACACGGAAAGTTAGAGCAAGGTCAAGGTACTATAGGTGAGTAGTGGGATCATTTAGGGAGATGGTTCCACTTGGGGAGGATCATGGCGGGACCTGAGTTTGGTGGGACGATTTTTTGGATGACGAAGAAAAGTGAAGGGGTGGTTCAGGACTGGAACGGCGGGCTCTCTCCTGGGAGGGACCTGGGGATGAGCAGCGTCGGAAGGAAACAGTGATGGATGAACAGCGGAGCAGCTCCTGCAGGTTACGTGGATGGAGGAAGCTGGAGCTTGGGTAAAAGGGAAGGAGCAATGCAGTGAGAAGTGAGGGGTTGAGCAACGGAAGTTACGGAAAGCGTTTTTCTTTCTTTTCTCTGCATCTCTAGGTAGTTTACACCACCTCGTTTACTTCAGGATGATGGCCACTTGGTAATTTTTTCTGAGAAATGAAAACATCCCGCCTCAATAAACTCTCCGTTTGCGAACCTCTTCTTGAGTCACTTGGGCTCTAAGCAAGCAGCATCAACCCATATTTCGGAGTTCGGACACTCGGAGCAACATTCAGCAAATCTTTCCATTTGATCATCAACGGCGTGTTCGTTTCGGCAGCATGACAGTAACAGAAGCCTTTTGTATGGTGGCCCGGCAGAAAAAGTTTGGGGTCGGGGTCAGAAGCGCTTCCCTTACTACACCAGGTACTGCCGGCACAAAGCTACGGACACGGTCTCAGCAATCTGCGTCTCTTACTTGTACTTACGGCTACTTCGGAAGTCCCTTCAAGTTATCGCAGAGCAGGGCATATGTTGGCGTCCCGTATCTAAGCCAGCAGATGCCAGCAGATGTGTCTGTCCAGTTAGTGAACATTCGAGGACATTGCCCACCACGGTAACTTGCGTGCGTTGTCATGTACAGAATCGGGCGTGTCCTGTATAAATATATGTTCTGCCCGGCGCTCAAAGAGGAGATTGACGGTTGCCAATTTCTCGAGTTCCTACGGTACCTATTTTTGGTTTGAAAAGCATGCAGTATGTCAAGGCGCCGAGAAGCCCAGGAAGAAGTCCACTGCACACTAGCTGGAGCGGGATGTAGTGAACTTTCCAGGTCCTTGTCCTCGCCCACTCGTGGAGATCAGGCATATATGCATGTACGAGGAAAGTTTCTACCAAGGCTTGCCTGCAATAAAGCTGCCGGCTGCGGAGTCAACATATATATATGTGTGCGGACTACCGGCACCGCTTAACATGCTGCAGCTACTAGTAAACTGCCGATGCTTTTGATTTTTTTTCCAAGCCATGCTTCATGGAGGCTTTCCTCCCATCAAACAACGCTTGACTCCTTGGACGAGCCAGGTCGACGTTGACATGTGTCATTCAAGGAGAGGATTCGTGGTTTGAGTCAGTCAGGCGGTGATGGAAGCTGTCAGCGCCGGCATGGGCCTACAACAAATGGAAGTGCTGCTGATGTGACGGACATCAACCGATGGCTTGTTGAAGTAGACAAAGTGAAGAAGAGGAAAAAAAGAAAGAGAGACAGATAGGGCAGGAGAGCAGAGAGAAGGGAGATAGGTTTCTCTCATGTTTGTTCCATTAAAGCGTTCTGGCGCTGAAAAAGTAGAGTTCGTGAAGTTAGAATCAGATGCACGATGGAGTCAATCTCCCCAGTGCGGGAAGTACCTCTATTCACACCAAAAAGCGAAGGCAAAGAGAAACGACAGCGTGGCCGAGGAAAAAGTTTACCTAGAACGGAAGACAACTAGAAGAGATCCACAGAATCTTGGTTCCGTAACCAGAAAAAGCCAAATGCAAAACCACTTGCGTCCAAGGTGGCCTCTTCGGAGGTTATAGGTAGAACAGTTGGTGGGCGAAACATGCCTTTGCAACACACATGTCATATTGGTATGGCAGGCGGTCCACGAGCGGTGGAAAGCAGCGGACAGTGGTACTTTGCTGATAGCCCCGAGTACTGGCGGGCGGTTATGGTTCGGACCCGAATGTACGAGCCTCGATGTATTTGGATTTCGTGTGTCATAGTATGAAGAGAGGCGGGGGGTTGGGTTCATTACATGCGGATTATAGTCATCAATACTGTGGACAGATCAATATTATGCGTATCAACAGTGTCTAGTCGTGGAAAAGTTGGAACAGTAGAAGTGGGCGTCAGGTGTAGAACCGACCAACTAGGCATATAGCCTAGGCAGGTCAGAAATAATATTTAGCAGTACATACACTCACAGCTTCGTTTATCCTCCTCCATTTTCCACGCACGAGGATGCATAGATGTGTTGTCATATTAATAACCTCAGGCCAGTCTTTTGTCCTCAGGCACACCGGTATGAGAGTCACAGGGATTTCTGACTCTAGAGAGTATAAGAGCAGGTCCACCCCAGGTCCAGTTGTTCTTCTTTTTCCTCTCGCTCCTCATCCTTCCTAGGCAAACATCAGTATCACCACTATCAACCCACACCAACCTCACGTTCGAACATTCATCTAGGAACTTTCTCATCAAGACCAAGACAAACACCTCTTCACTCTCCATCACAAATCTTTATCCAAGCATCATTTGCATCCCTGAATCATCTCCCACCAACTGTTGACACAACATCATCCGCCAATACAAAACACCATTTCTATATATCATCAACTCGGTAAGTTCAGACGCCCACGAGCGCCCTGTGCTTTGGCTTCGAATGACTTTCTGCTTTCGTGAACGCTCTTGGTCCCGCGTTGCATTTGACCACTTGGTCTATGACTTTTGATGTTTTGCTTGCTTATGAATCCTCCCCTTGTGATTTTTGCTGCGTCTACTTGGCTTTTGTGTGACGATTTGCCCCAAACTCGCATAAGTGTGCAGCAACGAGAGGCTTGTCTCATCGGGCAGGTTCTCTGGTTCTTCGTCTGTTGCAAGCCCGGCTTTAGGGATCTCTTCACATTCTTCCTGGTGGTTGAGACCTCAAGGCAATCTACTTGCTTTGCAGCTATTCCCGCCGCTCAGTGCGTTCTGAACGCCGAGTCCGAGCAGCAGCAAGATGGTGACACACTGGACACTGGGGCAAAGGGAAACCTTAACCACTCAATGCTTCTTCCCAGTGAGGGCCATTGAGAAGATTAGGGCCAGACCCGCCTGCCCTTTTGCTGCCGTCCCCCCTATCACAGCCTGAAGTTTTAGCGGGCATGACGAGCCCCGCAACAAGAACCTTCACGACAGCTCCGCAGTCGGGTCGGGTCTTGACACCTCGCTTTGGCCGTCGACTGTATTGCGTTCTCTACCTTACCTATCGTGGCTCATCAGACCCAATCCATCCCGTCGTTATCATCACTGCCAGCGTATCAAGGACGGATCTAGGGGCTTGATGTGTAATACCCGCAATTCGCCCGGACGCCTCCCCTTGTTGTTCTTATAGCCAGCACCTGTTCTGATCTCCACTTCTTCCTGAGCCAGTCATGTTTTGGTGTCTTCAAAACTAGTAGCGCGACCAACAAATTTAGCATTGCAACACAGTTTGAGGTTACTTTTGGTATTTGCCAAAGGTTGTTGATGGAGCATTTGAGCAAAACGTTACGGCGTCGGATGGTTGACCTGTATCGGCTCACTGTACCTGAAGACCTACCTATCCAAACCTGGCCTACCATTCCGACTCAAATCAGCCATGAACAGTGGGTAAACAAGGGATGTAAAGCTAATAATCAGTGTCCTGCAGAACCAGACTACCATCCGACACAATGGCACCTCTCCACAACGACCACTCATCGCAGACCCTGCAGCTCCCCAAGTCTCCTATCATCAAAAAGGAGGAGCAGGAGGAGGATCAGGCAGCAGAGATGATCGCCAAGGTGCCTGCTGCAGCACCAAAGAAAAACGGAGCTGCTAAGAATGGAGGTACCTCCACTACCAGCAGAGGGAGCAAGAAGCGCAAGGCCCCCCCCCCCCACCACCAGCACACAGCAAGAGGAGGAGCAGCAGCCTCAGCCTCAGCCTCAGCCTCAGCCAAAGAAGCAGAAGAAGCAGAAGAAGGAGGTAAAGGTGGAATCCAGGTCCCCCCTCCTCACGCCCCCATCTGCTCCTGAAAATTTCTCGGGGCGGTCTTCATCATCCCCGGAGGTGGAGGTGGTGCCTCGTCCTGAGCCTGTCAAGTCCGAAGATCAGGAGCCAAGCGTTGGTAGTAGTGTTGTCCCGGTCAAGGGTAGCAGCGACGACACCTCCCGTGAACTCAAGTACCCTGCTGCCCTCTTGAAGTACCGGAAGGTGCTCCAGCTGAGAAGTAGCCCGAAGCGCGAGGCGACACTTCAGAAGTGGCTGCCGTTGGCAAACCAGCTGATGGCTGCCCATGTCAAGAAGCTCGCAGAGTTAAGAGCTGAGAAACTCGAGGCTGCTGCTGCCGCGCCAATGGAAAGCTGCGAGAGCAGGGAGAAGGAAGAAGTAGAGGTAGCTGCTGCTGGTGCCGAAAGAGCCTCTTGTTGCCCTCACCACGAGGTAGAAGCGAGCGAGGAGGACGATAGTGACGACGACGACGATAGTGACAGCGACAGCGATGACGAAGATTGGTGGCCTGGAAAAAATTTGGGATGGTCGAGAGATGAAGGGATGGAATATCGGGAAGGACAACCTGTATATGGGGATGGATACTAGGTGAATTGGAAAGGACACTGGAGATATTGGGACGGACATGGAGTGGGATACTTCTTGGACACAGCGAATTTTGAGCTTAATTTGCGGATCTGAAGCTGAGCATTGTTTTCCCGTTACACTAGATTTCCGTTTTTTTTTTTTTTTCCCCCAATATATCATGATACCACAATTACAGCCCAGGACTTGACTTGGTCATTTACAACGCCTTTTCACGTCGCACACACACTATACCCACTATACATTACTCAAAGCTATGCCCATCCCTATAACCAGCGCTATTCCGATAAGTATATTGCTAGGAGGAGGAAGGAGAAGAGGAAGCCATCGAGATCTTCAGCTATCGAGATACCGTATAAAGTTGTATAGCCAGGTAACCCAGGAACTTCACTCTGGTGCCTGTTATCAATCACGCGTAAAAAAGACAGCTAAAGTACAGTCATTTACATGAAAGGTGGCATGGGAGTTTTTGGGTGTTTGTAGGGGATGGGGTGGATGTGCGGAGGGTTACACAGATAGATGTTCAACTCGATCCACCAACAATAACCACCCAGACTACCGTGCTACCAAAAGATGCAACATGTTCGTCGTAATGCTACCATAACAAGATTGTGACAGTAACGGTAAATCCAACCTTACCTCTTTTCCTTCCCTCCCGAGGGCATGCAACTTTCTCTTAGTACCTTTGTACCCGCCCCCTTTAACCTCTTCTAGTCCATCCGTCATCCACAGAAACGCCCACTCAAGCAGCCAAATCCTCTCTTGGCCTAAACTCAACCATAACCCCATCCTTGGTACTCGTAAACGTATCCACCAGCTGCATCTCCCCCACGCGATGCCTTCCATACTCCGACCCTTTCTTCCCTCCCTCCGCCGGATCATCCACTCCCACCGCCCTGCGCAAGTCATACAAAAACAACACCCTCGCCAACGTGATGCTCATCTCGATATAGGCCAGTCCCTTACCAATACAACCGCGCGGCCCGATGGAGAAGGGGCAGAAGGCTGATTGAGCAAGTTGGATCTGTTCCTCCGTCTGCATGGCAGCGCCGGAAGCCTTTTCAGATGGAGATTGGGTAGACAGCCAGCGCTCAGGGGTGTAGGACCAGGGATCAGGGTAGTAAGCAGCGTTGTGGTGGAGAGTATAGTGAGGAACGCCAATGATGGTGCCTTGGGGAACGTGTTCGCCATCAATGGTTATCCCGCCTGGCAGGACTTCACGAGGCAGGAGACCGCCGACTGAGGGTGACAAACGCATTGCTTCGTCGATGCAAGCGCGGAGGTAAGTGCATGACTGGAGGCTAGGACCCTGGTGGATGTCTTCAACTGAAGCGAAGCGGGAGCGAATTTCGGCGGTGACGCGGGCGAGAGCAGTAGGGTTGCGGACCAAGTAGAATAGTGTCGCGGCCATTGCGGTGGAAGTGGTGTCGGACCCGGCGATAATTAGCAAGTTTGACTCGCCCCAGAGCTCAGGGGTCGTAAATCCCTGGCCTGTTTCCGGGTCGCGGGCTTTAAGGAGGTAGTAGAAGAAATCGCGGCGGTCGGTCTCGTCGCCTAGCGCCGTGCGTTCGGCAAGCTGTTGGCGACTGTAGGCCATGTACTGTGCTCTACCAGAAGCAATTTTGCGCAGAAAGATACGGTCGAGCGAGAGCTTGTCGAGCATGGGCATGGTGCCGCAGATGAGGTGGCGGTGGGCGGCGACGGAGACGAGGTCGACGGCGTAGCGGTTGTCGGGGCGCTCGAGCATGTGGAAGGCTTTGCCGAAGCAGAGGTCCCCCAAAATGTCCATGGCTAGCCAGCTACACCAGTCGGACATGTTTTTCGGGGAAGACCATCCCTTCTTATCGGCTAGCGGAGCGAAGCTGGGGCGGCCAAGGTCGCCGATGGCGTCGCAAAAGGTGCGGATGTTGGACAGGATGTAGCGCTCGACTTCCTTGATGGCGGAATCGGAAAAGGCGTGCGCCAGGACGCGCCGCTTGCGGGCGTGTAGGTCACGGTCGCGCGCGTTGTGGGTGTTGGGGGCCGGGTGGACGAAGGCGTCGTAGAACTCGGCTTTGCGGACGTTGGCCTTGAAGCCGTAGATGTCCTTGAGGGCGGTGTTGGAGTTGACGGAGAGCGAGTTGGGCCCGAAGCGGACGAATTTGCCGTATTTCTCGTGCATACGCCAGAACTCGAGGTGCCGGTCACCTTTGAAGGCGTGGTAGGCCATGTAGCCGTCGGTCAGCTTGGCGAGGAAGGGGCCGGGATATTTGGCGAGGGGGTGGAGGAAGAGGCGGTAGAAGATGAGGCATGATGTCTGAGGTTGTTTGTGTCAGTGGTCTTCTTGTTTGTTTGAGATGATGGCACGTCAGAGGATAAGGTACTCACGTAAATAGCACCGAGGGCAACCAAGGCCCCCAGCCAGAGCTGGAGGTGGGCAGCGCCAAATGCCATTGTTGGAAGCTTGTCTTTCTTGTACAGACGTTGTAGGTAGACGAGACAAGATAAGTGCTTGTGTAGGTTAATAAGAGAAGGACAACTTCAGATGGGGGCCGATACTATAAGAGAAAAGTGTCGCCAAAGAGGTGATCGGTGGTCAAGTAATATCTCCCTGCCGTCATCTTGCTTCTTGCTGCTCGTTTATCTTGCTTGCGATGGTGAGGAGGACGAGGATCGGTTTGCGCCGGCATTGCTGTTCGGACAAATGACATGCAAAGAAGGGGGTCAGACCAGGGTTATGCTAGCGGTTAGAGAGATGTCCAGGGTTATGAATGGACAGCACAAGTGCATTATGTCGTCGCAGTGTCATTGTTGACTTGTATGCGCCAATCGCCAAGAGGTCATCTGCCACCAATGCTGCGGCAATTCACGGTATTCTCTCTCCTTTTTCTTTTAAGAGAGGACGGAATTCGTTGGACACGGAAGGTTTCCATCTCGATGACCGACTTAGTTTCGTAACTTGTCGTTACATTGCATGCTTCGGATGTTCAGGGGTTCGGCACCCGATGCGATGGAAATGAATTGCCGGGGATTGGACGTCATCACCTTGATCGCATTGGATATGGAGTATTGTTTACTTCCTTAGTAAGTATGTACTTGCTCATTGATCGGAAAACCCCGAGACATATTACGCTATGTTTAACTCCATTCCGAGTTCTTGGCAGTAAAACAAACAAACAAACACTGAAAAGCGGTCGAGGACAAGAGCGGACAGGAAGAGCGGCCTTGAGCGGAAGAGAGGGCCGATCGATGTCGTTGACAGATCCCCATCGTCTCCAGAGCCCCAGAATTGCAGTGGAGTTGCCCAGGGGAGACAGTGGATGAACTCCCCGGATTTCTTCCTCTTGGCGCGGTTAGTGCCGATTCTAGCGGTCCCTAGACCGAGATGTCCGTGCACGCCGAGAGCCCCCACTCACCTTAAGCCGACGTCCACTGTTTGTCCAACACTGTGCTTCTGTGGCTGACGGGACGGATGGAACAAAACCCACTGCTGATCCACCGAACCGCTGAGCCGCCGGATCATCCCCAATTCGATTGCAAGGCTGAGAAGGCTGACTTTCCTTTTGCAACTTTTGAAGACGCGACGGAATACACGGGTTCTCTCTCTTCAGCATCTTCCACCATATGGGCTATCACCCCGCGACATAACCTCATACCGTCGCCATGACCATCTGCAAATTCTATCAACAAGGCACTTGTCGCTATGGAAGTACGCGTTCTGGGAGCTTTCTACTCTACACGATTGGCCTTACTGACACTTTTCTTGTCCAGACAACTGTCGATTCGAACACCCTCCCAAAACTTCCGGCGGATTCCAAACAGGCAACCGATTTGGTGCCCTAGCCGGGGGCGGCTCCTCATTTAGTAGCAACCGAAGCGGAGAAAACCCCTACAGCCTCGACGCCGATGCCATTCGAAAAGACTTGACTGAAGAACTCCCAACATGGATCCTCTCAGCCTACGCTCCAGGAAAACAACCGCCCGAGCAGCTATTTGGTGGAGAACAACGGGAACAAAGTTTCGAGGAAATCCGAATGTACTACTTGAATGGTCTTGCCGCCGGTAACCCCGAAGGAGCACTGAACGACATCAACAACCTCTACCAAAGCGCACAAGCGCAGAACCAAGCAGCACTGAGCAATATCCAGGGCGCTATCCAATACATCGTCGACGCCGGTAATAAACATCCGAATCGACACGACATTTGCAACCAAAACACATTACCGGGAGGAACAACGGGCGAGTTCGGAAAAGACAGACCAAGGCCAAGTGCATTTGGGAGCTCAACAACCACACTTGGTGCTCCTGCCACAACATCCAACGTCTTCGGTGCTCCCTCTCAGCCAGCGGGCGCCTTTGGCCAGCCATCAGCCCTGGGTGCCAAGCCAAATCCCTTTGGAACTCCGGCCTTTGGACAGGCAGCACAGCCAGCTGCTGCTTCACCTTTTGGCCAGCCCTCAGCACTGGGTGCCTCAACATCAGCTTTCGGCGCGCCAAGTGCCTTGGGTGCGAAACCAAATCCCTTTGGAGCACCATCAACAGGAGGGGCATTTGGCCAACAAGCTGCCACCCCCGCTTTTGGACAGCCTGCCCAAGCGACGAGTGCGTTTGGCCAACCAGCACAGCTAGGAGCCAAGCCGAACCCATTCGGAGCACCAGCCGCTCCAGTGGCCAGCGCCTTTGGCCAGCCAGCGACATTAGGAGCAAAGCCCAATCCGTTTGGAGCGCCAGCTGCCCCAGCAGCAGCAGCAGCAGCAGCAGCAGCAGCAGCAGGAGGTGCATTTGGGGCTTCAACAACAGCCAGTCCCTTCGGACAGTCCACACAGGCCGCCAACCCGTTCGGACAATCAACAACTAGCGCTTTCGGACAGTCAACATCAACTCCAGCAGCGAATCCCTTTGGGGCTCCAACACAGGCGACAGGAGGTCCATTTGGCGCCTCCACGGGCCCAGCCACCACTAATCCCTTCGGCGCCCCAGCTGCCGCCGCTCCCGCTGCAACACCCTCACCATTCGGTGCCTCCACAACAACACCAGCAGCCAATCCCTTTGGCGCCTCAACCACACAACAACAGCAACAACAACCATCCGCCTTCGGAACGTCAACCACCACCCCAGCCATCAACCCCTTCGGCCAACCCCCCGCCGCCGCCACTTCCACACAACCCACCAGTGCCGCCGCCGGCACCTCCCCCTACGCCCCTAACGCCACCCGCCAACACCCACTCATAACTGCCTACACCACTCGCTCCCCGCTCGACAACCGTCTACAAACCTTTAAAGGAAAACCAGTAACCTACCAACGGATTCCCAAGCCTGGTGCGCCCGACACGGCGCCCCCCGAGAAGGAGGTACCGGTGATTAGGAACTTTGACGGCAGTTTCCAGATGATTTGGTTCCCGGATGGAGCGCCCAAGTACACGCCCGATACAGAAGCGTTAGAGGGGGAGTATACACCGGAAGTGTTGAGTGCGTGGCAGAAATTTATGGAGACGGGCAAGTTTGAGGGCGGGGTGATGCCCGAGGTTGCGCCGAAGAGGGAGTTTTGTGCGTGGGATTTTTGAGGCGAGGATGGTGTTTGTGGCTGTTTCAGGGCGGGAGAGATGAAGGGAAGGAGAGCAGGAGAGAGAAATTGGCAATGGAGAGGACAAGGAAAGAAAGGAAAGAGATAGGGACGGATACACTGGGCTTCAAATGGATAGATATGGATATTATGGATATGTTTCAAGGACTGTACACTACGGGAAAACGCAAGAGCGAATCTTTTTGTCTGGATTATTACCAGATACCCAACTTGAACTCAAAAGTCAGCGAAATTGGAAAGATAAGATCACTTGGGTGCGCAAGAGGGGCGGATTTTCCATACACATAAGGATGGACTGTTTGTGGTTTACGATATATGGGAATGGAATGGGATGAGATGCGAACATGGAACATTGGACATGTAGCCTGCTGCTGTTGGAAAAAGTGAGGCTGATTTTGTAAAGCTCTAGCGTTGGTTGTGGAAAGTAAACACGGGACTAGCTGCGGTAATAGAGTGTCAAGTACAAGTATAGGTAGGTACTACCGTGGCTATACTCTGCAATACTGGAAGACAAGGATCCTGAGACGTTTAATGTGGAAAAGTCCATCCCTATTTTTTTTTGTCTAGCAAACGCCAACTCTTTTGTTTCCGTATATAATAACTGGATCGTGTATGAGTTTCAGTCAGTTAGCACATTAACAGATTTGTAGATGGATCCCCCTAGTAATCTGTTTGGTCCGTACCTGGATTTTCCCCTTAATGCAAGCGAGGTGCATAAAGGAAAATACAGCGGGCCGTCTTTACATATGGAAGCCTGTTATGTCTGAACTTTCTCATTATTCAAAATCGAACAAATGATCAAAGGGAGGTGAAACGGGGTTGAGTAGAAGTGTCGAAGGGTTGTTTGTTGATGATCAAAATTGCTTGTTCTTTTCTCTAACCTGATATCGGTTCGCATCATTTTCCGATCTCGATTAACACGCATCTCTCTTCCTCTTTATTCTTCGCAACCGCATTAAGCTTCAACTAGGTAGTAGCAACAACTTACACACCAAACCCACCCCTAGCCATCTTCCTAGCCCTCTGGTCCCTCCGATTATGATTCGCTCTACTCCCCTTATTCGCCTCCTTTCTCCTCTTCGCAAGATCCGATTCCGGCGCTCCTTGCCCAGTCGAACCCCCGGCCTCACCACCACCTCTTCCACCACCACCACCTGCACCTCCCCTTCCTCCTCTCCCCCTTCCTCTCCCGCCGCCGCCGCCGCCACCACCCGGACCTCTTCCACCTCGTGGCCCACCATATCCTCCACCCCTCGACGGCCCATCACCGCCGCCATCTGTATCCGTCTCTCCGTCTCCATCCTCCCCTCCTCGATCTCGCCACCTAGTAGTCTGTATCTCAACCTGCTGTCCACTAAACGCCCCCTCGCCAAACTTCCTTTCCAACTTCCTCTTCATGTTCTGATCGCGATTGATCATCACTCCGAACCCTTCCACCGCTTCATCACTTAGCCCCGTCTTGTCGCGTAACTCCTTCCTTTCCCGCCCACGTCTCGTCTCTGCGTCGCGCCCAAACACACCCGGTCGCGTCTTCCATACCTCATAGAGTACGGCCTCTGTCGCTTCCGCTAACCCACCAGCACCACCACCCTGGGAAGAAGGTTGGTTGTTGTTGTCTTGCAGCCGAATGTCTTCGACACCGGCGGCAACGGTTGCTGCGTCCACTGTCCCGCCCACGTCGGCCGCGTCGTACGTGTCGTCACGCTCGTCGTCGTCGGAGTCGAAGGCGGCGAGGGCGGACAAGATGCGGGATTTGTAGGTGGGGTTGGAGGTGGTGGGCGGGGCGGAGAGTAAGCGGTCGGCGGAGGTGTCGGTGCGTTTGCCCAGTTGGAGTTGGGATGCGGGGACAGACAGTAAGAAGTCGTCGTCGTCGACGAGGGGGTTGGTGGTGGTGGTGGTGCCTCTGGTTGGAGGTAGGGGTGGGGTGGATCTTGGTGAGCGAAGGTGCCCTTGGGATTTGGGTTGTTTTGGGGATGGGGGTGAAAGAGTGGCGGATCGGTCGGCTGTTTGGAGGTGGGGTGGGAGAGAGTCCTCGAGGAGACAGGCGACGACTTGCTCGGTGTCGGAGGAGTAGTGGTCGAGGAGCTTGGAGATGAAACCGGAACCGAGGTCGGGGAAGAGATCCTGAATTTGAGAGATCTGGGACATGCGGTGGATGTGGATTTCTTGTTGGTGTTGCGTGTCCTCGAGGGAGGAGACGTCTTTGCCCTTGCCCTTGTCGATTGCCTTGCGCTGGCGGTTGACTAGCCTTTTGGGGCGCGGGACGCCACCGCCGGGTTTCTTGAAGGCTGCCAATTCCTTCAGGACGGATTTCGTTCGAATGTTACCAGACCCGACACTTTCCAACTTCCGCTGCAGCTGTTGTAGTAATGGTGTGGAAGTGACTAACTCGGCCACCAAAGAATCGTTGACATTCGTCGGCCCAGCCTTGTGCACATCCGCCGCCGCTTTGAGAGAATACAGCTGATCCGTCAGAGCAGACAGTTTCTGATCCTGGCTACCGTCCGCCAGCCCAACCATGCAGAGGTACGTCGTGGCAATGATCACCTTGCGGAGAGGAGGGTTCATGATCTTGTAGCAAGACACCAGGCCGTCGAGAAAGTCGCTACCGGCCAAGAAGAAGCTGGCTACTTGAGGAGAAGATCCAATGAGGTCATTTACTCGGTCCAGTCGCTGTTCCACGCCCTTCAGATCGCCGCCTTCTTGGAGACCAAGGTCCAGGTTCTTGATGAGGATCTTCTTGAGGGCGGATAGTGAGGCGTCTAGTGACTTTTGAGCTGACTCGGAGAGGGACGATAAGAGCTCGGAGGATCGCTTCTTGCCGTAGACACGGCAGAAGTCGGAGAGGAATTCCCATTGCGATAGAGGAACCGGTGGCGATGAGGAGCGTAGCAGTCGTGAGGTTAAGAGGAAGGAGCCCTTGAGTAGGCGCTTTGCTGATTGGGATGGACCGAGAATTGAGGTACTACCGAGTGCGGTTTCGTGAGCGAAGGAGGTAAGGAATGCGGTAAGGCTTTCATCTTTGGCTGAGATGGAGAGAAATGCAACATCGGGAAGCGAGAGGTGGCTGTCGATGAGTACAAGCCATGCGTCTAGGCAAGCGATCCATTCATCGGGAAGCAATTGATTCCTCAGGGCGGCGAGGGGGAACAGCGCAAAGGCTGGAAGTTTGGAGGCCATGGTCAGCCACGGTGTGATATGTAAACAGCGGGCCAAAAAGGTGTTTGATGCCAAGACTTGGAGATGTTGACGTCGATGAGCGAGATGCAGTGAGCTTGACCACGGGGGTTTGGTGTACTAGTAAACGGTGTGAGTGATAAATGTTGATACAATAGAAAAAGACAACCCCGTCTATTTATCAGCAAGTCCAAGTCTACAAGAAACGTCAAAAAGTGGTAGGGGGACAAATGAAAGTGAAAATGGAAGTTGGAAATGGAAGTTGAATGTTGCCCCACCGTGACATGCAGTTGGACAACTTGGACGGGGAATCGTGAAAGGTACAAAGTGACTTCAATTCTACGTATTCATTCTTACGCCGGATGTGTCATTGCGGGGAGATGCCGGCCGGCAAGACCTACGCTGGACGATCCCCCGTCGAAGATCCTCAGCCACATGATCCTCCCAAGGTTCTTCCAATTTTCAGCCACACTCCTGAGGGGTCAAAGAAACCAAACCGAACAAGCGCAAGCCACACGCCAAGCCCACAAAATCGCCAATGCCCCCGTCGCGCGCAAAATATGGAGTAAAAAAAATAATCTCGACGGTCTGTTGAACGCTCGCCGGAACAACTCAACTTCCAGTTCGCCAGAATCCAAGCTTCGCCTTCATCACTTTGCCGAAGCCGTACAATCTACTCCTTCGAGTCGTGAAGGCACCTTTTTGCAGCCCAGCAGCCTCCTTAGCAGTCAATCATCTCAACACCAGTCAAGATGTCTTCCTACAACAAGGACCAGAAGGATTTCGGCGAGGCCCCCGTATGTTTTGCCCGTTGATGGCGCTGTCGTCGTCGTCGTCGTCGTCGTCGCCGTCGCCATGATAAACCTCCCGGTGGTCGGGGACATCAACAACAGGAATAAAAACTAACTGACCCCCCCAAATACAGAAGGTCCACCGTGTCCGTATCACCCTCACCTCCCGCAAGGTCCAGGCTCTTGAGAAGGTCTGCTCCGAGCTCGTTGAGCGCGCCAAGACTAAGGACCTGCGAGTCAAGGGCCCCGTCCGCCTTCCCACCAAGATCCTCAAGATCACCGTATGTCACCCGTCCCTCTTCTTCTTCTCCTTTCTTCCTTCGATCGCACACTAACCCGTGTCACCAACAACAAAACAGACCCGCAAGTCCCCTTGCGGTGAGGGTTCCAAGACCTGGGATCTCTTCGAGATGCGCATCCACAAGCGCCTCATCGACTTGACCGCCCCCACCGAGATCGTCAAGCAGATCATTGTCAACATCGAGGCCGGTGTCGAGGTTGAGGTCACCATTGCTGCTTAAGTTTGGCTTTGACTGGCCAAAAAAAGGCAAGGGGGCAAGAAGCTGCTGTTGCTGCTGCGAAAGCGAGCAGGGGTTCCGTGTTACCCGAACCGAAACCCTCCAACCAGGGGAAGGGAAAAAAATCAATACAAAAAACAATTGGAAAAAAACAATTGCCTCAAGGGGGCTTTGTGTTGTGGTGGGTTCGTTGGGCTGGTGAAATAGTGCAATGATCCATCGTTCCTTTTCCCCTGGATTTTCCTGGTCTGTTTCTCTTGTGCCTTTTCCTGTGATGGTGATATGATCCTGCGTATTAAAGATTGGAGATGATTGCACGAGGAGGAAGATGGCGGGGGGCAGCTGAAGTCGCGGGCTTTTGAGGCTGGTCGTCTCATCTCGACTTAGTCAATGCCTATGGAAGGCAGAAAGGGAAGACCGCACAAGGGAAAAGGGGCGCGGTCCAAGTCGTGCAGAAATGTGATCAACTGTTCAACACTTCAAAGAAAGGCTGTGGTCTCCGGGCTAGAGAACCAATACCACCGCAGGCACAGGGCGATATTGTGCCAGACTTAGGTTATGACATTATTTCTGGGAACATATCCAACTGGAGACTCTTAGACGACGAAAGCACAGGAGACCAAGATTCCAGAGTTCTTCGTGTTCTTGGATTTGGTATCAAACCTCGTATTATATACGAGTCTACAAACGCGTCGCTCCCTCGCTCCCAAGAGGTCATTACACATCATACAGCTTCCGATCGGCACATCTTCTCGCCCGGCTTTATGCGTTCCAGTTCACCGTGCCCAATTGCTCCTTAGGCTGGCGCGAAGGACCCTCATTCTGAGCCTCCTCGGGCTTCACGGCCTCCTCGACCTTGGAAACCTCTTCGACCTTGGGTGCCTCCTCGACCTTGAATGCCTCCTCCTTTGGCTGCACAGGAGCAGTAGTCTCCTGCTTAGGAGCCTCCTTCTTGGGCAACTGTCCCCTCTCCTTCCAGCCCAACCCATGCGCCTCCGCCACGCCAATAGCCAAAGGAATCCCCCCTTCCTTCTGCGCCAACCTCCACTGCAACTTATCCTCCATGGCCTTGTACACCTGATGACTGATATACGTGCCCTTGAGCCACCTCTCGGCGCCCTCCGCCTGTCCTTCCGTCTGGAACTCCCTGCGCCCATGCAACACTCGCCAGTTATCGAAAATCACACACTCGCCCTCCTTCATCTTGAGCTCAAACATGTTCTCCTCCGCGCTAATCTCGCGCTCAAACTCCTTGGCCGCCGGCACCCACTTGGTCATGTTCTTGCCCTTTTCCTCCACCACCACCGCATGCTCGTTCTCGGCATAAGCACCGCCGCCACCGTCTTGAATGACGCGGTTGCCGAGCACGTTCGTCGCCGTGGCGCCCGTCTGCCGGCTAAATGGCGCCTGGAACGGCGGCGCCCAGTGGATCCGGCTCAGAAACCCCTTGCCTTCGCCCGTCCGCCCGGCGTACCGGAACGTGTTGCGGCCCATATGGTAGTCGTTGCCGTTGCGGTGGTAGTGGAACTGCGGCGAGCGGTTGCCGCGCAGCTGGTCGAAGGCTAATGGGTTGTTGAGTTCCAGGGAGTAGGCGGCGCGCGCGCCGTCGCTGAAGAGGGACTCGCCTCCCTGGAAGGAGTTGGAGATGCAGTGCAGGAGCTGCAGGCGGGGAGGAGGGTCGATGTACATCAGGTCTTGATGCAGGCCTAGGAAGACGTTGGTGTAGGCCACGTTCTCGGCGCGAGGCTTGGAGCGCACGTCCCAGGTGAAGCCGTAGAAGGTGTGCATGAGGATGCCGATGCGGTTGGCGATCTTTTCGACTTGGGATTCGACGAGGGCTCGGTCGGACGGGATCGAGTGCACGAAGAGAATGCCGAAGCGGGCGAGAGACTCAAAAGCTTTCCAGAAGGCGGCGTCGGAGGTCAGCCAGTCGTTGTACGAGACGCGCAGGTCGCCGGAGTCGATGTGGGCTTGCAGCTTGGAGCGGTCCCAGAGCGTGCGCTCGACGGGGAGCAGGTTGCCGGCGAGGTCGTACGGGAGCTGCCAGGTGAAAATATCGGAGGCGTCGTAGGTCGAGGTGTGCGTGGTGGCCTCGGGCGTGGCGTTGGTGCTGACGGTGTCGTTGGCCCAGGCGATGGTGATGGAGCCGTCGGCGGCGTTGACCTCGGCGCTTTGGACCTCGAGGGTCTCGGGCAGAGAGGTGCTGGAGAAGTTCTTCTGGCCGGAGTCGGGGTTCATGCAGTGCGGGCACTTGCAGGTGTCGCGCAGCCAGTGGAGGGACATGGCCACTTGCTTGGTGGTGCCGTCGGGCTGGGCGAAGGTGATGACGAGCTGCTGCTGACCATCGACCACCTCGACAGACTGGGGAGTGCCGGCCTTGAATTCGCGTGCTTCTTTGGCGATCTTGTTGTATAATTCTAGCAATTGCCCGTCCCTCTGCACTGCTGCCGTAGGAGGCACCCCTTTGAAGGCTTTCTTCATATTGACAATGTCTAGCCGTAAGGCCCCCTTGTCTTTTCGCAACTTGTTGTTGGATTTCTTTAGCTGAGCGAGGTCGTTTCGTAACCGGCTGAGTTGTATATCGAATTCCCTCTGGGCTTCTGCCAATTTGTCCGTTTCTTCGTTGACTTTCATGCCGGCTTCCTTGTCGGCTTTCATGTCGGATCCATTGTCGCCTTTCTTGTCGGCTTTCTGGTCCGCTGTCCTTTGCTTTTTATAGATCTTACGGAAAAGTAGCTTGGGCTGGGCCGGCTCGGTGGGTGCGGTACTGTCACCGGCGGCGGGAGAAGGGGTAGTAGCATCGTCGGCGCGAGCTGCTGATGAGCAGGATAAAGTGCGGATCGCCTTGGTTGATGGCGTGACGGCGAACCGGCCGCGCGCAAGAGGAGCGGCTCCAAGCTGGCGAAGCATGGTGTCGTCGTGGGGAACGGGGAGCTTGGTAGACAGTCGGCGGCGGCGTACGACGGCAAATCTAGGTTGTTGGAAGAAAGGTTGGAGAAAAAGAATTGCTTTGGCGCAAGGATGGATGGATTACAAGTTGCCGGCCAAGCTTATAGTACTTGAAGCTTCGAGGCTCCGTAACGTAACGTACGATGAGCTCCACTCCAAGCTTCATGCGGGGTACAAGCGGGAGCTTGGCGTTGGCGCACAACTGAGTAGCGCTGAGCTGTTATTCTCCGTATAAATACCGTCGGCAGGTTTCGGTATCCTGAACTACTTACCCCTGACTTTTGTTTACTTTCCGTTTTTGTCAATTGATTCTCTCAAACGTCGTCTATTTTCTTTTTCTCAATTGCTCTTATCATTTATACACTTGTATGGATCTCCCCGCGTTCCCAGATCCTTTAACGCATACACGTGTTGTGACTGCGCCCTCTCATCCAACACATCCCTCTCATGCAAAATCTCAGGATGATGATGGTATTCCACCTTGACCTCCTGCGTCATCAAGATTCTTCCGCTATTCCTCGAGGTAGCCACCTCACTCCCGCTTATATCGCAACTCTCAATGTCATGAACCTGCAAGATGGCCTTGTCGCTTGCGCTGTCATCAGTCGGGGCATGACACCCTCCACCACCTGAAGACAACGACAAGCAATCACTTCCCGTGCGACCATGTTGGGAAAGCTTGTCGGGGACGGAATGAAAGCTGCCACTGTTCAAGGTGGTTAAAGTCGTACTACCCCCGACACCATTCTTGCCTGTCGACGGAGGCGTTGAGTGTGGCTTGCTGCTATGCAAGCGGTGCTGCGCCAGCAGCTTCTTGCGAAGTTGGCGGCAGAAGGCGCGGTGGACGGGGATGCAAGCAGCCATAATGGTCGTGCTCGCCTCGGCGGTAGACCACACTATGATGGCGCCAGAGTCGTCTGTTTTGTGTCGTATGTCCCATCAGTAACCATCCACTCCGTTCTTTTCACAATTCTCAATTCTCCCCCTCATCAACAAATCAACAGCATGAAGCAGAAACCGAGAAGCACAAGTAACTCACAAGTAAAATTCTCACTCGTAATCCTCCTCATCTTCACCGCCAGCACAAAAGCCGCCACCCCACTCACCGCCCCCACGCTCATCGTCGTCGCCACTCCCACCTTCTCCCTCTTGCCCAAATTCGTGCCCCAAATCGTCTTCCACGGGACCACCGCCAGCAAAATAGCATATGTCCCACTGACACTCCCTGCAAACGTCGCGAACCCGTTCAGCGGTTCGATCTTCACACACACATGTGACACATCATCATTCGAATCCCCCAATGCTGCAGCCTGCGGTGATCCGCATTTGGGTATCCAAACCAAGACCCCCTGAGCGCCCTTGATGAGACAGATGGTGATGATGACGAGCCAGACGATCCAGACTGCGTATTGGCGCTGGTGTTGTCCCGGGGAAGAAGAAGAGGGCGTGGTGCAGCAGGAGGAGGAGGAAGTACTAGATCCCCGGCGGACAAGTCGAAGTAAAGTGACGGCCCAGGAAGTCTTGGAGAGAGCGACGGCGAACATGGAGAACATGGCGCCGAAGTGGTCACCTACGAGGGTCAGACGCGGGATGGAGGTAGCTGGGGAGGGGATGTCGCAGGGGTAGTGGCCGAGGCCGAAGAGGGAGATGGAGACTTGGGCGAGGGTGGCGGAGAGGGTGTGCGTGAGCTTGTTTGTTGTTGGTTGGATGTTAGCTACCTCTAGGTAGTCCTGTGTGGAAGTGGACGAAGGTGGAAAAGTGAAGAAAGAAAAGAGAGAAACAAACTGACCCAAGCAAGAACAAGAAAGTAATCATCCCACCATAACCCCTTCAGTCGGTACATCTTGAGGTATAACCTCGCAGCGAGGAAGGTAGTAGAGAAGGAGACGAGGATCCAAAGCCCAGCCGAGGTCTCGGGGCCTCGGTTGGGAATTGGCCCTGTTTCGAGCCCGGCGAGGCGGCGGCCGCAGTAGCTGTCTGGGCTATACTTAGGTCCTGGTCCGGCCGCTGCTCCGTCGATGTGGGAAATGCCACGGTCGATGAGAGTGGCGAGGAACCCCATTGCTTATTGGTGCTGCTACCGGGCTGGCGGGATATCGTCAGTTTGCTTGTAACGAGATGATGAAGGGTCCACGGAGGTGTGGTGAGCAAGGTCAGGGTCAGGGTCAGCTTCAATGGAATAAGTTTGGCGAGTCGTTCGTTAGCTGGGCTGCTTGTCCATTGAACTGGAATGGCCGATGGAATAGCCGGGAGTTCAAGAAGCAAGAGGTAACACGAGGTGGAGAATTCCATGGAGAGGGAGAAACGGTCTACTAATAGTATCGCTGTTTATGAGACATATCGCCGGAGACAGACAGCAGAAGACTGGAACAGAAAAGGAACTTAGGAGGCTGAGTGGCGTTGGTTGGCGTCGGCGACCACGTTTTTGGGGGCGCCAGAGTCATCCACATCCCAAGCGTATGCATAGTGGTGGTGTCGTCAAAATCTCGATTACACCTCATCTGTCAGGCGGATGGGGTTATCGAACCGTTGTGGCGTCCACTTGGTATCATCATCTAATTCCGGTGATACAGAATGGCGCACACTAGTTCAAACCGAGTTACGGCGACCGGATCAAACACCGTCATCTGCGATGGGTACGGTCGGAGGCAACCATCGTGTCATGGAGCCAACCCAACATCACCCCCCTTGCCTGGGGCTTCGGGTCGAGACCACAATCTGAATACGATAGGGCAGATTCATCCAACCAGCTCCTCGTTGGGGCGCCATACGGGCCTCGAAAATTCAAAAGGATTCTAAACCATACCATGCACTCCAGATGTTTGTTTGTATTCGGCAGAGACAGTGGAGATAACGAGGTTCTGATATAATACCGCGCGGAAGCTTACCCCAGATTCCGATCGTTGTCTCGAGTCCAATTCCCTGGTACAGGCGCAGGGAAGCAAAAGGTAGTTTTCAGGGAAATATGGAAGCAATGGCAAGCATAGACACAGTCCGCGCCAGGCAGATTGGGAAACACACAGGACCGCGCGGTTAGGAGCTCTAGAAAAGGGAGACCATCTCCGGGACCTAGACAAAACCCATACCTCCGCTCGAACAATCTCGATGAACAGCCATAATCGATGGCACCGGATGCTTCGCCTCAAGAATTCGGTTAGAATACGCTAACAACGCTAACTGTCTTTTCTATGCCTGGAATACGAATTGTTTGCGAGCCAAGAGACAAACAATCGCCCTTTCACCTTCCCACGTTTTAGCCCCTATTCACGGCGGGGGACAGCATCGCTCTCCAATGACGGTTTGGAAGAAGGACACTAACGAGCGAGTGGCTTGCATACCGGTTCACGCCAACCGTCATCCTGGTATTTTTTTGGTCCATTTGAGATATAGTTACAATTAGGAGTCCCTCCCACGACGCTTGAATTAGACCCTCGTTGCGGATGTCCCTTCGGAACCGAAGAAGGTGAAGGAGGTGCTTCGGTTCCTGTCCCGGTTTTTGAATTGTTTGGGTGTCGCCTTGGGGTTGCATTCGCTTCGAGGAGTCGAGGGGGTCCTCAAAAACATGCTGATGATGCGTGAATACTTGGAGATTCGATATCCAAGACAATAATGTCCAGTGGTAAGACTTCAATCCTCCCCTTTGCTTCTCTTTTGTGGAGGTTCCCATGTTGCCGCGCAATCAGGAAGGCATGGCGGCTAGCTTGGTAATCTCTTCCTTGTATGTACCTCCACCTCCCTCCTCTGGCTCGATGGGTGTGGAACTGGAGTCCTTGGTGGAGGGGGAGGACTCTGTTTGTGTCTGCTTGTTCGCTCTATCCTTGGCCATTTGTCTCCTGTATGACGTTTTTGTCAGCGGCTGGCTCGCCAAGAGGAATCATGGGTGACGGGGACGCACTCCTTGTCGTGGATGTACTTGTTCTCGAACGCCTTCTCGCGATCAGAAAGGGGGTTTGAGGAGTCCATGGTTGCTTGTCGTCGGTCTGTGGTTGTTTACGAGATTTGGGTGCGGCTGTCGTAAGAGGTTGAATATTGGTTGTTGTAATATCAATCCGTCGTGTCTTAACAGAAAGAGGAAGAAGAAAATGAAGGCGAAAAAGAAGGACGGGAACACAATGACGCTTCCTCTTTCTGCTGTAGGTCGCCTACGTCACGACAGCTGATGCGCTGCGTTTACGTCACTACGTACATCAGGTCGCTGTACGCAAGGGTCACTGAAATCGCTGTAGGCGAGGGGTCGCACAGGCCGCATCAGCCCTAAATCGGGAGCAGCTGTAGGGCAGCTGCAGCAGCGCTTTAGTGTACCCGGACACCACAAGGAAGCGGGTGGTGGGCTCTGGGCTGAGGGAACGCTACTTCCCGTTGGCACGTGCGTTTCCACTTTCAACGACATTTAATGTCAACGGCCAAAACATGTCCGAGACACTCGTCAACCGCAGGCGGACTCATTATGAAAATATCTTGAAATTCATCTTGAAACCTTGTATTTCCAAGGTTCCTGTTACTGATTTTGTTCTTCTCTTTTCCTCGTCTATAATCGTCTCCAGCCTTCGACAAGACGCATTTCTCAGCAATTAACTTTGTACGACCAGTTGCTCGTATATTTCAGCTTCGTCTTCAGAGCCAGTTGACTCTGATACAGATAGCCTATGCAGCGACTCAGCCGACGGGCGCTCGTACGCCCTGGATGACGATCTCGACTTCACAGAGGAGGCTGACTTTGAACGGCTCCTAGAAACTCGTGCCATCGATCTGGAAGGAGGAAACATTATCCGCCGCCGCATTGCCTACAAGCGGCTGGAGAATGAGCTCGGTAAACTCGCTAGACAATATAAGGGTCATGCGCCAGCACTCTACGATCAAACCAAATTGGTCCTTCACACCCTATATAGACAGGTCGATCACACCATCAACACTTACGCCAATGCAAAAAAAAATTACTCAGAGATACCTAGGGTATCATCAAGTCTCTAAAGCGCTTAGCTGTCAAAACGGTCACCATCTACCTCTAGCGTGAAGAAGGACCTGGCGGTCCGTGGAAGTCACGCTTACCTTTCCGACCGACCCTGTTGGCTTGCCGTATGGTCAATATCTCGAACAGCCAAAACAGATTGGCGGGTGTCTCTACCTCCTGGGCCAATCTCGTTTGGCCGAGATTGACATCAAGAATTTTGACGCAACCGATCCTAAGCGATGGGCAAAATCTCACGCCATCAGAACCTTGGAGCGTTTCCTGGAAAACTTTCCGTGAAGGGCGTGAACACATGGGATGACAGACTCTTTACAGACAGTGAGGTACAAATGTATCTTTTTCGTCCCAAGTGGGATTGTCACCCCGCATATGAAGGTCCTCCATGTGAATGCTATTGTGTCAATAGGTTCTGTCCTATTTGCCAGTGGATCCGACTTGGTAACTATTACTTGCTATTGTTGCTTCCCAATTCTTATTCAGTCAATTTGTTCACAATTGAACTGGACCTGTAAAAGTGTAGTAGGTCTTTGCGTTCCACACAACTATTTCAAGCTCGCTTTTCACCTCAAATCTCTCGCTGATTGTGTTCCCTCCCAACTCTTCCAAGGAACTTCGTCAATTGAGAGCTGTACCTCAGAATTGATCTCAAGGCATCTAGCAAGCTCTCTTCCGTTTACGCCTTACACACTACTTTCAGTCTTTTCCTCGCCACTCGCCAGCGATGGAGCATAACAACAACTTTCGTACCATTGTGTACATCGACGTCGAAGGTAACCAGCCAAACTCTCATCTTGTGCCAATACAACGCAACTAACAAAATTTGCAGAATTCCAGCCAACCTCGAGGCGCCCACTTTCTTCCCCGGACCCCTTGTTTCGACTCGTCCCTGGTTCTCCCACAATGGCGTCTACATCCCGTATCGGACCCCTTGCATCTCCCGATTGGGTTCCCAGAAGTCGATCTCCAGAAAGTTGGGGTCCTACATCGCCTGGGCCCGTCCCTTTCTCCCCACCGTACATTCCTCGATCTCCAGAGTCGACTCCTGGAAGTACATCTCCGGCAGACTACCTCTACTATCCTACATCTCCTGGACCAGTCCCGCCATCTCCGCCATACATCCCCCAATCTGCCGAGTGGATTCCTGGAAGTGTGTCTCCAGAAAACTACTATCCTACATCGCCTGGGCCAGGACCCCAATCTCCGGCCTATGCCCCTTCATCTCCTCAATGGGGTTCCAAAGGTACATCTCCCACGAACTACTATCCTACGTCGCCGGGACCCGTGCCCCCGTCTCCGCCATACGTTCCCCGATCTCCCGAGTGGTGGTCTACATCGCCGACTCCAGCACCCCAATCTCCGGCATACGCCCCTACTTCTCCTCAGGCGGGTTACAGAGGCACATCTCCCGTGAAGTATTATCCAACATCGCCTGGAACCGTGCCTCCATCTCCGCCATATGTCCCTCAATCTCCCCAGTGGGCATTTACATCTCCAACCCCTGTTCCGTTGTCGCCCTCTTCGCCCGCCACCGCCAGCCACTTCGATGAACATGAGCGCGAGCTTGACGGCTCTTGGGGCAGGGGCCGCTTCGTCTACACCCGGGCGAGGTCGATCCTCTCAGAGGAAGAAGAAGAGCAGAGGCAGCGTGGTGAGCACGAGACAACAACCGAGCCTTTTCCCGAGCTTCCGGACTGGGAAGAGGACGAGAGAACAGAGGGAAAAGCAGAGAAAGATGTTCAAGATGTCATGGTACATGAACCTGCTGCTGCCTTCCCGGAGGAAGAGGAGGGGGGACTGCCCGACTACCAGTACTACGAGCAACTTGATCAGGAGGAGAAAGGAGATGCGGAGAGTGAAGCAGAAGAAGTTGTTCAAGTGCAGGAACCTGTCTTTTCCGTCCCGGAAGAGAGCAGCAGTCCACTCTCAAACTACCTCTACTCTGGATTAACATACGGCCATCCTTCAACACCCTTCCCATGGAGACAAAGCAGCCCATTCCCGTCTACCCCTTCCGCTTCTACGGAGGAGCCTGAATTATCTGAGTCGGAAGACCTCCCAGACCATGAGTACTACGAGCAACTCGACCAAGAGACTGCGGCAGAGACTCTCATGCAGCTCGAGACGCAGCATTCGGTTGCCGATCCGTACCCTGACATCGCCGCTCTCAACTACGAGCCTGCTCAGTCCAACTTTTGCCAATCCTACCCGTCGTCTGAAATCGGCATGCACCAAAGCGTCGAAGATAAGCACGCCAACTGGATCTCTTCTTGCTCCTCCTTCCACAGCTCCTCGGCCATCAACAACCCCGCTTGCCGAGTTTCCCAGAGGCTGATTGGTTGCGTCAAGGTCCAGAAGAGGGTCGATAGGATGATGTGGAACAAGTTGATGCAGAAGAAGATGGTGCGTATGATGGAGGTGTGCGAGAAGTATGTTCCTGCGGATGTGCTGAAGGGGTTGAAGCGGTAGTTGGAGGATGCTAAGAGGTGGAGGGGGGTAGTGATGATGAGTGGAAACGCTGCACTGATGGGTCTAAATGAGGGGTGGTGATTCAACTGGAGGTAGCTAAGATATGGTAGTGACGGGAAGAAAGCGAGAGGTTTATTGTTGCGAAGACGTACCACAAAGGCTTCATCGTGACATGAGAAATCTAAAAATCGAGAAATTCCCTTTTTGGCCACATATTCACTATAGCTTAGTCCGGTTTGGTGCATCAAAACTCACACAGAGCTTTTGCGAAGTGGCTGGCATGTAATGCAGGACATATGTCCTTTTAAACGGCATAATGTGTGCAACAGCAAAAGGGAAATTGATTCTAGACTTTCGGAGTTTATGCGGCATACATGGCCCTACCGTGGCTTGGTCGAAGCGTTGAAGCCGTCAGAATTGTTGAAAGTGGAATCACACAAATCACAGCATGACTTCTCTCGCTGCCTGGGGCTACTACATGTAGGACCTTGGTCAGGTGGTCACATGCACGCATTCCTACTCGCCGCTTCCTCACTTCAATCCTCAAAACTGCCTTTGGTTTTGTCACCGAGCGAGTATAACGGCACTTTGCTCAAGACAAACGCTGGCCGCACTCCAGGTATCCAACCACCGCCATATCCAAGCCTTCAGACTGATCCACAACAAACCCGCCGGAGCATCGGACGTACTGAACTATCAGACCAACGTCAAGGCAGCGATCAGCAAGGGCTTCCTACCTGGGCAGGGCCCTGAGCCCATCTTTCCAAGCCCAGAGCCGATGAAAGGGGCATGGGACAACCTCGAATACTTCGAGATGGACGGCACAATCGGTCCAATGGATGGGGAGCGCCACGAGGGCGAGGTCTACCGACGCGGCGCCTGGAGATACGCGTTCATTCACGGAGGGCCCTGGGTCGGTTTCAAGAAGTGCTTTGGGATATTCGGTCACGTCGACACGTGGTAAGCCCGCATCTACGCACATAGTATATTTACAATGTCAACAACACTTTACAACTGCATGGCGGAAGGAGAACTAAGCCCTGCTGCCCAGACGGAGCTGCAAGGAACCACCTTTGGCCCCGACCCGGCTTTACGCATCGATGCATACACCTTAAAGGTGTGCATCGAGCGACTCTCCGAGCAATGGGGGGAAGTGCGGATCACTGAACCCTTTTCGAAAAACAGGGCTTTCCCACTATTCTACCCAAAAGGGGGGGGGGGGGGGGGAAGCCAGCAAGTACATCTCTGAGGCCTCGACCATGGCCGAGTACAAACTACCTCTAGTGTCTCTGTACCACGAAAATTCCGGGTGCCACAACCTCTGTAGGTCTTTGAGATTGATGGGGTTGGTGATGTAGGGTTACTGGTTCGTGTTCCTGTTTTCTACCTCGTACTTTGCTCTACCTTCAGACTTCGGAGTTCTCCTTTCGGGGGCATGGTGTCGGGCGGCTGTGCCTTCTTGGAGTTGACGACAAGAACGCCTTTGTCGAGAGCGAAGGATTTGCCGGTAGGAAAACGGTTCAGCGGGTTGTAGGGATGACGGTCTTGACCGAGTCCGTTGCTCGAATTGACGGCGTATCTCACGCGAACATGGTTGAACAACTGACCAAGCTGGATCTTATCCATTTGGTCGACAAGGTCGGCCACGAAACCGGGGAGCACGACGTACAGACTGTCGCATCCCAAACTAACAATCTTGCTGGGGAGTCCGTCAATTGTATGGCGACTGAGACATCTTACAGTATCAGCCAAAGCGACGAACCGGGGTGCTTGCTCCAAGGACTGCGGGGCGAGCTGCCGGTCTGCTGCTAGATTACGCAAGCTGCCATCGCGGTCCGAATTGTTGTTGATCCAATCGTCAAGGGCTGCGATCGCGTCGTTGGATGGCGGCGGCGATTCCATGATGATGTCAGCCATTTTGTCGTATTGGAAGAGCGACTCAGCGATTGTGAGACAAGGATGTTGATGAACAACGACTGGTGTAACAAGATTGTTGTATAAAGGAAGCTGCCGTGGATCCGAGAAGTGCAGGGACAGGGTAACGTGTGAGGAGGTTGCTGGGGTAAGAAGGAGAGTCTGGGAGTGGTTGGATATTTTAACCCTTTTTGAAAGTTGTGTGTGTGCGTGTTGCGCGGCGGTGTACTTTACTCTGATCAGAGTGCTCTTGCGGTCGACTATGGGTTTGGTTGAGGAGGAGGTTTGGGTGAAGACTGAAGGAGAGGAGGGAAGGAGTAGAGGGGAGAGAGGGATTGAATTGCCCAGCTGACGCAATCGGCTATTGAGCCATAGGAGACCACCAGGCAACGCGTTGAGCAGGAAATGATCACAGACCCATAATTGGTCTTATTTCGAAAGCTTCGAAGCCTGCGCTCGCTGTTGAAATACCTACTGCCGCCACTGCTACCACTGCCGCCGCTTCAAAGTTCATCATCATTGTCCAACTCTGGCCCTCAATGGCATATCGGATCTGTAGGTAGGCGCGAGCCCGACACAATATTCTCTATCAATTGCCAAGTGAAAAAGAGAAAGAGAGACAAATAGAGTAACCGTGGTGGTCTATGATATACACGAAACACAAGCTAGTTCAGACGAAATCAACGACAGGACAACCTTCTTTTTCAACACAGTCACAGGTACATGTCGATTCTATTTCATCCGATTAAGCTTTCTAGCAGAAATGGGAGCGAACCAAATCTCGTCGTCCAAGACTTCCAGAACAATGGGTCTGGAATACCTGCAAGAGAGGAACTTGGATCCGGCCTATCAGATCCGCTTGCCGGGGACCATCCTTGTTGTGTCATAGGCATAGGAGTCGATGGGACACGCCTATGTTGGGAGGAGTTTGATGGAGCTGGCAGGCGAGTTTGTCAATCTCCCAACGATCGGAGAGACTGTCGACTGATGATTTCTTCATGGCCTCGCAGGTGACTGCACCACACTCATTGGTGATCCAATTCCTGGCAGGCCAATGCTGCTTCTCGCGACTGACACAGCCCTATATTCAGGCAATGGTTGGAGTGGTCCTTGATTTCTGGGCGGCAAAGGAGTCCGCAGCTGCATACGATTCAGATTCTCCTCGGCCGCCGCCTTCGCCTGGGCGCCGGTCACCGCCTCCTAGACAGTGATCGCACGCATCGTCATGGGTGACGCCCGGTCGCACCGCTTGCCGTCATTATGACAGCTAGCACAGGCGGTGCGACCAGGCACCGTGAGGCCGCTTCGATCTGCGTTGAGGCAGATGATGCAGGGACGAGCAGACTCCTCACATTCCGACTAAGACAAGATGGTCAGCGACAGTACAACGTCGGAGGGGAGACCTCAGGAGAGCGGGCCAAAAAGTTTTCAATTTCCCTGGGAGGGCTGCAGAGAGTTGGTGTCTGTTCGCGGCGTAACTGTTCATTGATGGCTGACTGAACAGAAGCACTCCTTCTTCTTCCACTCAAGAAGCAATTGCTTCCCAGCGGACAACCGCATTCATAGGTATTGAAGGCAAAGATATCGCACATGGACGACTCTGTTGCCGGTGTTTGCCGCTATGCCGACACTCGTGCTATCGAACAGTACACAGAGGTGCCTTCCAACACAGAAGCCCATATCACGTATTGAACAATAACCAAATGCTTCCCCCCAGCGGCACACCTCTAGTCCCTAGGACAAAACCGGGCGCGCATATCTGGGCGGAACACAGTGAACACTGTCCGGCGGCCTTCAGTTCAACGACAGCTGCCACAGCAGCTACGACCCGCTGGGAAGACGAGTGTTCACTTCGGAATATTGTTAAAGTCTCTTGAATGAGACCAGTCGAGCCTGTAATCCCGGAGATTTCGTTGACTCTATGATTGACTTGTTCTGGAGCGTATTCCCAAGAGGCAGTCGGTGTATTCAGGGCCCTGTTACTCTGCGACTTCGGTTGGGGATTAGGTATCTTTTATGTTTTTTTTTCCTTCGAACACGCAGAGATGGTGAAGTCAAGGCCAATCTGTTGTCTTGTAGTAAGCGGGACACGGTTTTCTTCATTAACGACATTGCCAATTTCAATAGGGTAGGTACAAAAGGTTTCCCAGGGATGCCTTGATGGTCTTCCGGTATAACATGAGTACCTCTATGCTCTTCTTCCTCATTATCATCGGAAAAGGAGAAAAAACCTGCTGTCGCACCACAGGATGACGGTCATAACATACTGAACCACGAGCACCACGAAGCAATGGACCGCCAAACCTGCTCTTGCGAAATCTCCAGCTTGGGGAGATGAGTATGTCGCCGCTGCTGAGCCCGAGTCCAAAGACGAGAATGTCGAGCTTTGAGCGTGCGAATGTGACGAGCAACTGGCGCGAAAGCAAGAGGCCAAAGACGTGTTCAAAGCTAGGTCTAGACTGGCTAGGAGAAGGCTGGCTAGTTCACAGTAGCGCGGCAGTTGGACCATCGCTGTCAGCACCCGTCCTTTTCTTTCCTAATCTTCTAGCGACGCCGGCCACCCACATGCTTGCCCTTATTGACGGCAGACCCTACCTTTTCTCCTTATTCCTCGCCGATTGAAGTTTACATGCAGTACGACGCAAATATCAAATCCAGTTCCGCCCCTTCAGACTGTCCCTTTTTCCCCGCTCGCTACAGGTTGATTGGCCTGGTCAAGGCCAAACGAAAGGTCACCAAGGTGATACAGAACTGACTCCGTCGCATCGAAGGCCGCAAGAAGTACAAGAGTGCCACGCTGGAGAGCTTCAAGAAAGAGTTGGGTGTTATCAAGGATGGATGAAGGGCAAGACCTGGAGATGAAATTGGGTATGGCGCAGGTGGAAGCGTTGGTTCGAATGTAGGGTGTTCGAAAAGCGAACGGGAGGGGCTGGGAAGTAGCTTTCCTAGATCTCAGGGACCTTCACTGTCAATTGGGAGACTTTCATTGAGATTTCATAGGGAAATGGTGGAACTATTATTGAACAGAGAGTTTATGGGATGTATGGTGGCTTAGAGTCTAACTGGAGGATGAAGACATATTGTGTGAGGCAGTTTCAGGTGTTTAAGGTTCGAAGAAAGCATTGCTGGCTCAGCATGAGCAGTCATAAAAAATTTCAGTTGATTTGATCCGAGTTGAACAGAGAATTTGAGGGCAAGTGCTCTGTTGTTGAGCCCTCACAAGTAGAAAACAGCCACGATGTTCAGCAAGGATTACATCATGTTTATCATCACTCCATTGCCACCCCTGTCTTAATCCTCTCGCGTAGTGACTTATGCCTTCCGGTTCTCGTGACTTTTGAGTTTTTGTGGTTTGGGGAGGTGGACTGGAGGAGATATCGGCGAGTGTCGCCGGCGCATATGAGGCAGCAGCCACACTACGACAATTTGGGAGGGCGTTTCTCAGAAAAGTCCCATCAAGGATACCTCAATCATGTCAACTAAGCAATTTTGCCCACAGAATAGAAGGAACAACCCAAGCAGTGAGCCGGGACTACTTTGCGCAGGCATATTGACCGGACATCCATTCATCACTAACGGAAACAATCGACATCGACTTTGTCGCCTCCCGCTCAGCAGCAACCCAAAGAACCTGGACCATTGAGCACAAAAGATAGCTCAGCACTTTGCCCGCCATCTTCGTATATCTGTCTCATTCCCATGTTATCCAAGCGCTAATATGGAGTCAGTACCTACCAAAGGCAACCCCCAAAAGCGAAGATGTGTCCAGCTCGGCTCGGAAGAGCCACGAACATCGGATGACAGCCGTCTCATCCAAGGCACCAAGGCATCCAACCGAACAACTTGCCCTAAGCCGCCAGCGCCCTCCGTCCCTTATAGGCTCCCGTCTCCAGCAGGTTTTCCAACCACAACGAGTAGTTGGTCGAGCGGCAGTTGGTGTTGCCCACAGCACACCCATACTTACACCCGCTCGAAACGCCACGGGTTCGAGTCCCGTGGTGGCAGCTTTCGACACAACTATCGCTCGGACATTCCAGTAGTCTATATGACTGCTACATCCGTCTACCTGGGCTAACGAGGTCGAGCTGTGACCGACGAGGGGATACCTTTGGGTGTCATTGATCAACTACACTTTTTTTTTGTCGATTTTTTATCTTTGGTGTTCGTGATGAACGCCCGTACCCGAACTACGCCACATCTGGATACAGACAGGTGTGGGCGTCGAATCCGTGCTTCATGTAAGTTTCTGTGCATATATGTCGGGCGCATGTCGCCTTTAGGATGGTCATCAACGACCCTGCGCGCAAAACATGAAGTCAGGTGAACTGCATAGTTGGCCGCTTGCGCTTCTCGCTTTCGCTCACCATCGGACACCAATACTTCCCCACACCATCCCCTCCTTTGGGACAAACACCACCCAACTTTTGGCCCCCGTACTTTTTCTCCTGCCATACCCTCCCTGTACTGGCTTCTATCGAACAATTGTCTCGACCCCCGTTCCCGCGCCCTCGTCTCTCCGGTATGTACCTTTCCACAACCAGATGTTTGAGTCTCACGCTTTACATGTCCGTAGAAGTATCTGACACAAGGAAGCTGAACCACAGCGCCAAAACACCGGCCCCATGTCAAAGACTGCAAGAAAACAGAGCCCTACTCTGGAAGAAAAGGCCTTACCGGCCAATCAGCCGCTTTCACAAAGCAGCGGCAACGTCAATGTTTCTATCAAAAGCGAAAGCAGCGATGGGGAGTCAACATCGTCCACATGTTCTGCGAGTCCCTACCCGTCCTGGAAGAATGAGTCGGTTTCTAATAGTCTTCTCCAGTCTCAACAACCAGCTGTGTCGCCATCTCCTTCCTCCACGCGCAACGAAGTCGATGAAGCCACCCAGACAACAAGCGTAGCGGAAGAGAGCGATAAGCCTACCACTACCTCAGGCACCCTGCCGAACCCGAAAATTTCTCAAGATGCGCAGTCCGGTAGCCTGGCAGGTGACATCGAGAAGTTCTCAATTCGTCACTTTCCAGTGCTTCGAAAGGAGCTAAACCGCAAGATTGAGGAGAGGAGATTGGTAAACCGAAGAATTCGGAACAGTCTGGCCAGAATTGAGCATTGCGAGAAGTATATGAGGATCTTGAAGACAATGGAGGAGGAGCTGGAAGCGGAAAAGAGCAAAAAATTCGAGCTTCTGGCATTGTTCAGACAAGCTGAGCAGAGGTTTATAGCCTTGGTCGACGACTGGGAGGGGATGGTACGCGATCATCTGGGGTTAAGGACTCGGATTGTAAATCCTACCGAATGATCTAGGCAATGACTGGCCGTGACTGTCATATAAAAGGATGGCACGGAACTACATGAACAAAGGTACCTACGCCGGTACCTTGAAGTGTCCCGCACTGTCTGATGGGACGATATAGGAAGGGATCAAGTTGAAACAACTGGGTCTTCTGTTTGTTGATAATAGCGGGACGAGTTCGCACGGATGAAGTCCAAAAGTCCTCCATTATTTCCATCTCGAAATCGGATCTCATCTCGAGTACAGCGGAGGTTCAGATACCTGACCTTCACCTCTACCCTTCCTCCTCCCTCGGGTATAAATCCTCTCCTCTCCCGTCTCTTCCTCGACCCCTCTTTGATCTCCATCCATTCACCGATTACCAAGTAAACCCTTCGCTTCTTTTGAGCGCATCGCAGGTCTCACTCGGTTGACGAGAACTAGCATCGCATTTGGAAGGAGCCGGAGCAGACACTATCGCACATAACGCCAGGGGCTCCCTCTATCACAAACTCAAAGTAACGCCGATTCGATCACTCATCATTATCACTCTCGTCTCAGATCCTACCACTGCCTACATACGCACACTCATACGACACTCGATCATCATGGAGCAGTGGGAGCTTCCGGAACTGCGCCCGTTTGTTGGCCATCAGCTCCCTCCTCCCAGTGAGTTCCACTTTACCATTCATCATCAGCCTTTGTTTGGCACACCTGAGAGCTAACAAGTACTAGGCGGTAATCCTTTCCCAGAACACAGCGGACTCACACCCACCTCCACCCCGACTCCCGCCAATTCTGCACGCAGCGGCAACGGTATCAGCACCCCTACCCGTACCACAGCCGTCATTTTCAAGCCCTGGAGCCACTACACCTTGGACTCCGTCAAGAAGAGATACAAGGCCATGGAACGTGAACTCAACGATAATCTTGTGGACGTAGAGAGAGAGAACAAGTGGTATGCTGAACGCATCGAGGAGCTGAAGCAGTCTCACAAATACTTGGCTAGTTTGAAAGAGCTGAAGAGAAAGGTGAATGAGGCCTATGAGAGGCGAGGTCGTTTGATTGAGGAGCAACACAACTGGAAGCGCTTGGTGGAGTCGTTGCAGTCCGAGAGTGTGGACGATGGGGCGAAGATGGCATCGGAGGACTCCGAGTCTCCCGCTGAGGATGACTCTGAAAACGAGTCTGAGCATGAGTCTCAGAACGAGTCTGACTATGACTTTAACGATGGCTCTGAGGAGGAGTCTGAGGGTGACTCTGAGGATGAGATTGGAAAAGGAATCGGAGAGGATGATGAGGTTTAGAACAGCGGCATAAGTCCAGGGAGGCTACCAGCAAGACAGCAGACTTCGCAAACCCGATGGACCTAGCAGACTCAGATCATGATGAGCAAGAAAAATCATGCTGCTCAAATTTCGAGAATCACCTAGGCAGAGACACGACTTGGAGGTATCTACCTAAGGATGAAGATAGATTCGGAATTACGGGGAACTGAGGCGGCGGAGAACTCTGAGAAGGACTCTGAGGAGGAAGAGGACTCGGAGTCCAATTGCTCCGAGGATGAGGATGATTACTGAGCCGGCAGGCTTTCGGCTGGCAGGTGGTAATGGTGAGATTATGGGAAGGTAGATGAACACATGAGGATCTAGTATACAATGCCTGACTCGCAATACTCTGATGGATTGGGGAACGTATCGATGTCACAAATTTGCTCATTTCATTGCAAATAGACAGTTTCTACGTTTGACTTTAACTATGGGTTGTTCATCATCCTCCATCTGTGGCATTATCACAGGATGACTTCTTCCTCTTCGTTGTGATGGCTGGCATCTACTGTCGTTGAGGTTCCGGCACAGGGCCGCCCGTCGAGGTAGATCCTGTTGAAAGTCCATGGCCTGGGCGCCCCTCCCAATTGATAACTCCAGAATCCAGCCCTTTTTTGTTTCCGCCCTTTCCAGCTTCCAAAACATTCACATACCCTACACTACCAAACTCAAGTCCTTAGATTTGCGACCTGGAAGGTTTTTCCTGGAGATACCTGTAGATCCCCAACTCGTTCTTCCTCTTCTCTTTACATTTCCTCAATGTTGTTCTTTTCGTCCAAATTCTTGGGTGCACGGCCAAACAAATCCAACAATGAATCCACATCCAGAAAAAAGAAGAAAAGCAACAGCAGCCTCAACACACCCTTGAACCCAAACCCACCAGGCCTGATTCGCATCCAGAAGAGCCACCAAGCCTGACTTACCGACCGGGAGAAGGATAACAACTCCCTCATCGCCCATATCCAGAAACTGGAGCATTGCAAAAAGCACCTGCAAAGCATGCTGGAACTTATGGTAGGGTTTAGAGACAAGAGATCTCGTACACACAGACAGAAACAGATGCAAGATGATGATTGTTATCTGAGTTTGGAAGATGAAACAGGGACCGTACCACATAAATTTTACTTGCCCGCCCTTTCGTCTGACCCTTTTCTGACCGCCTCAATCTGAATAAGTCATTCACAGACTCTTGTTCACTGCTAGCTACTTATCGCCATCTGGATAGCAGTCTTTCCCACCAAGGATTCTTTAGGGGCCAATGCCTTATGCTTCGAGAACGAGATCTTTCCCATTTCCAACATCTACAATCTAGAGGTTTATATCCTACTTCTCTGGCAACTTTAATTCACATCGTTATACCCAACAACAACACGTCCCCGCTTACACCAAGTCGCTCTAAACGATAGATCACAACTTGATCTCCCAGACATCATACTCCTTCCGATACTTACTTACTTACTTAGAATCGCAATTACCAGGCCTCACGTACCTCACAATGGGTCACTCTCGTCCACGTATCGATTCTCCGAAAAAGTCATCATTTAGCAAGACAGCTCAATTCTTTTTCCCACTTCAATCAGGTCTTTATGTTGGCATCGCCTGAACCTAATGAACTTTTCCAGTTACAGTCACCTCGCTGAGACCAACCGGCGTTCGCAAGCCCAGTCCTCGAGCAAAACCAGTCGCAGATAAGACGGTTGCACGGTCTGCGACCTGTGCCTACGCATGGCAAGCTGCAGTTGTACTGAAGGATGAGGAATCGGAGGGATCAGATTCCTCCAGCTCATCAGATTCCTCCAGTTCATCGGATTCCTCCAGTTCATCAGATTCCTCCAGTTCATCAGATTCCTCCAGTTCATCAGGTTCTTCCGATTCCTCCGATTCATCAGAGGATTTGAGTCCCATCCAGCATAGAGCGAGCAGACCGAAGGCGTCCGTTCCCCATCCTACTCTCAAACCAAGCGCCCTCCCCGCTCCCGCTGCCCCAGCCCACACAGAATCCGAAATCGAAAACCTCATGACCATTGGCCGCAAGCAAGTTGAAAAAAAATTGAAGGATCGCATCAACGAAGAGAAGGACAAGAACCGCCTGCTTGAGAAGCAGATCACTACGTTCGAAAACTACAAGAAGTACCTTGCAAAGTTGAAAGACCTAGAGGAGGAGCTGACTGAGCTGAAGGAGGAGAATCGCTTGAATGAGGACACGGTGGCGGACCTTGCGGAGGACTTCCGTAAGAGCACGATGGAGTGGGCTAAGCTGTTTGAGAAGTACGCGGGGGACTTGGGAATCTCGGTTTTTGACATTCGTAGATTGGCTGATGCGTGGTGATGGCTTGGAGGGGTTGTGAGTGGAGGGCGATGTCCACTTTTGGGGAGATTTTGGGACATGAAGATGGAGATTATGCCGGGGCACGGGGTTTATGGGACGTTCACTATTACTTGCTTCATTGATCTTGCTATCATTGCTGCTAGATATGAGAACAGATGGCAAGGATGATCAGATCAACTAGGTACCAACGACAGAATGATAGTCTTACACATTTGATATGACAGAGATGGAATGACAAACAAGTTGCCACATACTGGTGGGAAGGCTTCAATGAAGCACCACACACATATCGTCTTATGTCCTCTCCATCCGCACTTGAAAATGTGCCGTCTCTTGATTTCCGTTGACAGGTAGCCAGAACCCTCCCATAAAAAGTGTGACTCGCCGACGAAACCTCCCAGTCTGTTTGGAGTGATCCCAAGTCATCTCCATCTCTTCTCAGGAACAATACGCAAGCCTCTAAATCCATCCAGTTCTTCCTGCTGGCGGCAGTCTTACTTCGCGACTTCTCCCACCATATTCCCTGGCTTCCTTCAACCATCTGAGAACTCACTCCTCCTTAACACCAACACCGGCAACTTGTGAGACCATCGCTGCGCCTGTATCGCTCATCCGTTTACCTTCATTGCTCTTGAAGCAAGCCCGATAACCGTCAACATAAGCTACGTATCACCAAAGATAGTGGAGATCTCAATTTTTTCCTGACACTCAACCTCTTCATCAAAACGCGCAAGACTCACGACCGTTGGATCCAGATCACCATCAATATCCTTATCTTCGAGTACCACTATCATTACCAAACCCAAAGCCAACACCAGGATCTCCCCGCGAACACATCCATAATGCAGCGCTGGACCTTCCCCAGCTTTCGTCTTTCCGTCGGTAAGTCCCCTACCTACCACACCAGACCCCCATACATGAATCCCAACCTCACCATCCAGTCCAACCTCCCATCACTAACCCCTCTCACCCCACCGTCAAGGCCAAGTTACCTACCTTAACCAACTAACATCCCTATGCTCCCAACAGGCACGTGCACCAACTCCCACCGCAGGTCCATCAATCCTTCACCAGTAAAACCCCAAACACACCCCAGAACCAACATACAGGCCTACAACCCCTCTCCCAAATACATCGAACGCGAACGAACCCTCCACTCCCGCATCACCAAACTCAAAGCTCACAACGACCAACTACGGCAAAACATCGCCAAACTAGAATCCCAAAGCGCTTACCTCCTGCGTCTCAAACAGTTGGAGAAGGAAATTGAGCAACTAAGAAAAGAAGGGAGGGAACTAGCTAGACGGGAGGAGGAAGTGAAGCTTGTTGTGGAGAGGGGGGAGAAGGAAGTGGAGGGGGCAGTGAGGGAGGATGATAATGGCTGGGTTGAAGATCAGGAAGAGGATAATGGTTGGATTGGGGGTGGGGGTGGTGATGATGGGAACAATGGGGATGAGGCTACATGGGAGCGGACCAGTGATGAAGGTACCTTCTGGGAGGGGTCGGTCAGGAGAGAAGCAGAGGACTTGAAAGAGGAGCGAAAGGGAAGGGTAAGGGCTTGGCAGCTTAAAGTGGAGGAAGAGAGTCTTGATGGGAATAAAGACGAGGACGAAGATAACCGCGAAGTAAAGCAGGAAGCAAAGGACGTGGCTAACGATTCCTTCTATAAGTGGGTTGAAGGGATGGAATTGGTGAGGGGTGCTGAGGCTTGGAAATAGTTGGACTCGCGTTTGGCGGTGGAGATTTAGAGAAGGGAAGTGGAAGGTTACTGACGATTGGGATGGCTCAGACTTGGGGAGTGAATCGATCTCTCATACACCAACGATAGAGAAATACAACGGCACTTGCGCCTGGAGATACGCACAATGTTGAAGAACAGGGCTAGAAGCAAAGGCGCTAGAGATTGAAAAACATTTTGGCGCCGCCAAATGCTATGATTAAGGAAACTAAAGTATGTGCTGAACTCGTCATCGTGGACATGGATTATGAAGGTGATTGACAGCGAAATACTCCCAGCTTCAATCGTTATGTCCCCAAGTAGCTTGAACTCACGAAAAGTAATCACAGTTAAAAACGCACAACACCCCCAGTCCCTGTAAATGTTACCCACGTGTCCTGTGCCAACCAGTTTACCCGTAAAAAGCCATATGTTCAGATCCTCCATCCGTGCCTGCACCTGATACTTGTATACGATCGAAATGGCAAACCCCTTAAAGCCTCCCGGACAAACAAACAACGAATAGCCCATGAGAATAACAGCAACACAATAATATCACAGACACACTGGAAAATAGAACACCACTCTTCTCCCTCCTCACGGCGGCAAAACTCCCAATCCCATCCCAACATCCGCACCGTCATCACCACCACTACCTCTCCTCCCTCCCTCCTTCCCCTGCTGAGCCTGCCTAGAACCCCCCCTCCCAGCATCAGCCGTTCCCAAACTCGGACTGTCAGACCTCGAAAGCAAAGCAGAACCAGTTCCACCCGCCCCATGTCCACGACTCCAAGGCCTATGCAAACTCCCCATTGACATGGACGCCATTGTCGAAGGCCTCCAAGGTCCAGGACTACTTCCGCTTCTAGCTCTCGTCCTTGTTCCTCGAACCCCTCCTCGTGCTGTAATCGCAATACCAGCACCAGGTATAGGACTGGAGGTGCCAGCATTGGGATTCGCACCGGGGACTCTGGGAGAAGCAGGAACGTAGGGCACAGGTGAAGTAAGTGTTCGAGGCACTGAACCCAACGAAGGTCCAGAGGGTAACGTACGCAATGAGGAATTCAAAGGACGAGTATTGGGATTTGGGTGTGGAGACTGTAACCCAGGCGAAGAAGAAGTCAGCTGATGAACAATTCTTTTCCTCCTGGCGATTCCCAAACCCGTAGCGGTCGGGGGCGTGGGCGGCATGGTTGGCGGTCCCATGCTAGAGGTAGTAGGTGTCATTGCAAGCGCAGCATTTGTCATTCCTCCCTGAATAGGCGTGGCCATAGGTCTTGAACGCGACTGCTGCGCTTCCCATGCTAATCCACTTGCTACCGGCGACCCAGGCGGCGGAAAACCATGTTCTTGTCCCGTCGTTCGACCGACAATAGGGGATCCAATACTGACATCAGTCACTGGAGTGAAAGGTGATGTAACACCGCTGCTGCTAGGAAACTGGAAGATGGTTCCGTCGCTGAGGAGGATGCCTGCTCCTACCCCTACTCCCGTTCCAAGAGCTGGGGAGGATGAACTTCGCTGTTCCTGATACTGTAGCAAGGGGATTGATCCAGGACCTGGAGTAACGGGTGAGCTAGCTACCGCGGAGAGTGAGCCAATACTGGTTTGTTGTGCTGGAGTAGACGGTATAGCAGAAACAGAAGACACGGGAGTACTGGGAAACTGTCCGCCCATATTCGATATAGATGCCATCATATCTGGACGTCCCGCATGTTCCTGGCCCTGCGTTGCACTTCCAGCAGTAGTGGTGGAAGTAGCTGAACTCGCCAACGGATGATGTTGCCCTGATCCAGAATGCTGTCCACTCCCTCGTCGTAATCTAGTTGGGAAAGCAGATGGACTCGTAGATTGCGATCGGCCGCTATTAGCACTAAGCACATTCTGAATCCGCTCCTTGGTCTTCCTTCTCGTTAAACCTCTGCCCAGATTCCGCCAGAGGATGGCGGGCGCTGGTTGTGGATGGGGGGCTGAAGTCGAAGATGCTGCGGTGGCCGTCATTCCGGGACCGGTGGAAGTTGCCGGCTTTTGATGGACATGACCACCGGCCGTGGGAGATTGGTAGGAAGCCGAAGCACTTTGAGGATGGCCATGAGCATGCATCTGATTCTCGTCCCACCGCGAATATCTCGTGTCAACACCTGGAAACGCACTCTCTGTCCTAGGCGAGGGTTCGGTTTCTGTGTACGACGCTGGTCGGTGTTGCTGCTGCTGCTGTTGGATCTTCTGAGGTAGTCGACCGGCGCCTGACCCGGGAGCGTTGATACTGATGGGCATCAGAGGCATCTGCAGCTGCATGGGTGAAGGCCTGTTGCCCATGCCACTTGCATTCAGGTTGGTGCCGGGAACTGTGGGATTGCTGTTGTTGCTCATCCCCGATGAAGGACTTCCAGCAGCCACTTTCCCAGTGTTCACAATCGGCCTAGGCTTCGATGTCCCCGTTAACATTGGCGAAGATGACGAGAACCCTTTGACATTCTGCACCGATAACGACAACGGACTTGGACTGTGATTACTTGCTCCTCCAGATGATTGCCCGATCCCCGATGCGGACGATTGATGTGACGGATCCCTAGACATCGGCTGGGAAGTATATCCTGTGGGAACTTGACCCTGGACCGCACCGGGAACTATCAGTGGTGACGGCCCTGGACGAGTCGCAACCGTGGTATACGGCAGTCCGGTAACAGGGTGTAGCGGCGGCGGCGCATTTGTGGGTCGATTGGGCTCTTGTCCGAGGGTCGTATACCTCGGAGAATGATCCCATTGGGGTAAAGGACCAGCAGGCTGGGAAGACGAGAGATAATCCGCGTCTTGATTCCAATCGACCTGACTTGACGGCTCGGAGAATCGATGGGCGGCTTGAGACGGGCGAACCAAAGACTCATCGAGATCAGCAGTAGCAGCAAAAGAAGGAGGTGGAAAAGGAGAGGAGATAAGGTCAGCCGGACTCGAGCGGGATGTTCGACTTCCTCTAAAGATAGGACCAGGGACGATCATAAGCTCATCTTCCTGCGGCGCTGACCGAGAAAGCTGCTGACCCTGAGGCATGCCTGGCGTTGTCGAACCAACCGCCGTTGGTACACTCTGCGCACTCGAGCCAAGGCCCTCCCTCAACCTCTTCAGCCATCCACTCGGAGAAAGCAACCCGCTCGATGACGGCGTAGGAGGAGAGAGATCGCTCACGGCAGACAGCCCCCCTCCACTCATCTTCCTAGGCGGCATTGGCGGCGTCAAGCTATCACCGAATCCTCCAAGACCTCCGTCAGTAACCGCCTGAGCCTGAGCCTGAGCCTGAGCAATAACAGCTTGCGTGCCCGCGACCTTCTGTCGAATTTTGTTCAGCTCCAGCTGCGCTTCACTCTGTGTCTGGGCCGTCACCCGCCTTGTTCTGCGCGGTGGCCATACAGGCACAACACTTGTACCTGCACCCGTCGCGGGCTTTCCAGCCAACGATCCAACAGCCACATCCAGCGTGACTCCCATTCTTGGATCGCCGACAGTCCTAACATCTCTCCAGGCTCCGGCGCGGTCGTGGTACCGACGGGCTTCTTGCTTCTTGATGACGCGGTGGTTGGGAACGACGGCGTTCCACTCCTCAAAGAGTCCTGTTTCAAGAGCGGGCGTGGGAATCTCCAAACCGTCTAGGGCCGTGTAGACACTCGGGGTTTCGACGATAGGTGTGAGGGCTGCTTGGTCGACTTCATCGTGAGGTTGTTCGTCGACAGGTTCATAATAAGCCGAAACAGCGGCCGGGACCACAGTCCTTTCGTCTTCCAGCAAACCTCTGATTTTGTTATCCAGTCCAGGAGTCGGGGGCATCACTCCTTCGGTCGGATACGGCGCCGTGGCTTCCATCCCCCTCTCCCTCCACGAGGACAGACCCGAAGCTGCCTGACCTGCTATCGTCATCGTCAAGTTCAACGGCCTCCGACGACCCGAAGCAGTCGAGAAGTGGTAACTACTAGGCGACTCCATCGGTGTGAACCCCTCATCTACCGCGACGCCCCCAAATGCCCTCTCCCAGCTTCCCGGACCGACGTGACCTTCCTCTTGACTCTCTTGACTCGGCGCAGTCGTATCATTCGAATCTGCTTCCGACATACTACTACCCTCCTGGCTCCCACTATTATTTCCATCAAACACACTTACCACCTCCACATCTTCAACCCCCATCAACCGCTCCAGCCGACTCAGCTCCTCCACTCCCCTCCCAGCCTCCTCTACCCTTTGTCTTACCATCCATCTCCACTTCTCCAACCTCCTTTGGGGATCCCTCTTCTCATTACCAAACCTCTCAATATTCTGCAGCAGCTTCTGCCCATGGATGCAGTACCTCCTATAATCATCCGGCACTCCCACCCTTGGACCCTGAAACGCCTCGCGCCCCCCTCCACCTTCTCTTTTGGACGCCTCAATACGCCTATGCGCCTCGTCAAAAGACCTACACCAAACCGCCGCAGCCCTCTCGATCCAAGCCACCGCAGTTTTTTCCTCTGCCAGCGTCTCGATGAAAAACGCTTGGATGACGGAGTGAATCCGCAAGAGGTCGAGCGAATCAGAGGAGTCACTGTAATTCCGGTGTTGATTCGTGCCAGGAGTGTCGAGACTGCGGTTGGCGGAAGTGCGAGAGCTGACTGTGCTAGCGCTGCGGGTCAGGGGTGTGATGCTGTCGTGGGACTCGGTGGTCCGCTCGATGAGGGCGAACTTGATAAGGACTTTGAGGGTGTTGTTGAGCGTCGTCTTCCTATGGGACGCATCGCAGGTTTTGACGGGGGTATCACGAGATAAAGCTGAGAGGCCTGTTAGGTTGGGTGTTAGTATCAGCCGTTTCATTATGAAATCAGACCTTTTTCTTCCATTTGGAAAGGCACTCGCCTTCCAGGTTTTCTTTTCATGACTTCATGAAAAATGTTCTTTCTTCTGATACCTAGCTGACTTTATTGAACTCCCCCTTACTCCATTACCCCCTTCCACCTCCCAAATACCCCCTTCCAGCACCTTCGAAAACACCTCTTCACCCCCTCCCCTGCTCTTTCAGGAAAACAAGAACAAAGAGATCTCGAAAAACTTACCAAAAACCACCATCTCAACCGGCACCAACTGCTCCCACCAAACCAACACCCCCACCAAATTCAACGCCGCCACGTTCCCCCTCGCATCCAACTGCTCCCTGACCTTCTTATACGCATGCAAGTTGCCCACCTGCTTCGGCTTACTTGCCCTCCACCCCGCCAAGTACCTCGCCAACGGCTCCCTCGTCGCTTTCAGATGCTGCGCCGCGACATGGATCATGAGCGGTAACCTGCCCATCAGATTCACCAACTCCAGCGCTCGTTTCTCTTCTTCTTCATCTTTCCACCCTCCTTGTTTTCGGTCGTTGCCATTATTTCCCGCATCATTGGCGGAGGAGGCAGAAACAGTAGAGGTAGGCTTCCGGTCCAATTCGGTCAACAGCAGTTCCACTGCTTGTCTGGGAGTCAACAATCCCAACTCCATAACCTGCGGATTATCAAACCTCGGATCGCCCGTAACCGCCCTCTCCGTGCTCGTATAGATAATACTCGTGTGTCGTGCATCCGGAATGAACTCTGACAAGCCTGGGATGTCGAACTGGATCCCGTCCAACACCAACAACCAGTCCCTGTGGGAATTAAACCACGCCTTGACTACCTGCACCATGGTCTTTGCATCTTCCCTCAAGGCTTCCAATCCCAATCCCAAACTTGTTACGTGGTCGTTAGAGGTGGCATCAGTAGTAGTACTACTGCGCATAATCTCCATCCTGGCAACCCTCCAATAACCTGATTCCACCTCCCCTCTGCTCTTGGCGCGCACCCAGTACACGCCGCCGGGGTAGTGATCGCGGTAGCGATAGACGTATTCGCGCGCTAGATGCGTCTTGCCGCCGCCGGGGAGACATTGGATTAGCACGGCGGAGGTGCCTTCGAGACGGCGGCGGCGGTCTTGAAGCATTTCGTGGAGGCCGCGGAGTTCGTCTTCGCGGCCGACGAAGAAGGAGTTGGGCCGGAAGGAGTCGGGGTGGATGAATAGGGGTTCTGGTTGTTCAGGGGAAGAGGTTTGGGTTTGGGAGTGACGGTGGGTTTGTGCTGCAGGTGAGTTTGGTTGTTGGGGGGCAAGGGACGCTGGAAGTTGTGGTTGAGGTTGGATGTCGGTGGTAGTAGTGGTGATGGGTTCGTCGTTGTTCCCATCGACGGGCTGGCTAGGGCTGATGACGCCCGGCTCCAACACCAAAGTAGGCTCGCGCGTGGACAACTCAGATTGTGACGGAGACGACGGCAGAGGCGTTAGGAGCTTGGGACGTCTCTGGTTGCCATGAGGGTGGTGTTGAAGTAGAAGAGTCTCATTACTGTAATTGTCTATATGACCAACGCCAGAGAAAATTCCCAGCAACTAAAATCAGCCCATGTTCCCGTGAAGACTGAAGGGTGTGTATGAGACGAAAGATGCAAAGCGCTCTAGGTATGAAGATGATGATGTGTCTCCTCCTCTACTTCTATCGATGACCAGACCCTCGGGCTGCCATTCGCCTGCTGTCCAGAACCAGGGGGCGTAACAGGAAGGGGGTAAGGAGCAGGAAGATATCGGCCGTAGCCATAGTCATGGTCATGGCCATAACAGGGTGAGGGTGATCTGCGGAACCTACCGATGGAGGGAAACTGCTGGTTGCTATAACCCGGCGAATGCGAGCGTTGCTGTGATATCTCGTTAGCACCTCTTGATCTACCCCTTCAAAGGAAGAGAAACCTACGTAGGACTGCATAGCCTGCACACTCCTCTCATAGTACTCATCCGCCGCACGTTTCTTCCGCTCCTCCTCCTCTGCCTCCCAGCGTATATCAATGACTGCCCTAGCCACCGCCACCCACTCCGTAATGGCCGTTGACACATTCCTATACCCAGGCGCGTTCTGCCCATCAAACTTGCACATGCCCGAGTGTGTCGCTTCAATCCCATAGTATATCACGCCCTGCAACTGCGGACTAGCCGAGTTCGCATCCACCACGAGCGCCCTTGTTCCTCTCAAATCCGTGGTATGGTTCTCATGCACCATGTGGATCTTGAAACGCTGGTAGATGTCGAGGAAGTGGTTGTTGATTCCCTGCAGGGTCTCGTTGTCCTTCTTGAGTGACTTGAGCAGGACGGATTCGGTTTCAAAGAAGCGCCGGGGAATCACAGCGTCCGACATGGCTTGGAGCATGCGGCCCCAGGTGGCCAAGTCTGAGCCTTGGTGTGGGGTGCCGAGGAAGATGATGGCGTACGTAGATACGAACACTGAGCGCAGGTCTTCTTGCTGATGGGCTCGGATATCATTCGAGTAGAGTAGTGCCCTTTTGGTTACTATACCTCCCAAACTGTGCACCACCCATATTATCGGCAGTCTCTCGGTCCCTTCACTCTTGCGGAACGATGTAAGCGAGGTGACCAGAGACTGGGCGTGCTGGTGAATGAAGTTGTTACTAGGGGTGTTGGTGCCCCTTGAGTAGACGTCGGCATTGTAGCCGTAAACCAGGACGTTGGCATGCTGGTTTTTCAGCTCCAGAGACGCTGGGAGCAGGTCGGTGGGCCAGAACACGCTGTTGGCAGCCGTCCATGTTTTCTCTGGGTGGCCGTTGAGGCCGTGAACCAGGACAATGTCCGCAGTGGCCTGCGGATGGGTATAGACCGCTGTGACTTCGAAGCGCGAGATTTGCTTGTTGACACTTCCCTGTAGGTATCATGTTAGCCAAATATCTCTTGAATAGTTCACATGCCATACTGTTTAGCCAGCACAGGAGAAGGCTAAGAGAAAAACACATACCATGCTCGTCGTGAAGTCAGGCCGCAGGGCCAAGTGAGATAGGGAAGAAAAAGGGTTCTGACAGCCGACTGAAGCTTCACTTCCACCAATAACCGCAAAGAATTGTATGAAGACTCGAGGCTGAAAGAGTCAAAGTTGGTTGCAAAAAAAGACAACCGAGAAGAATGAGTCGAAAACAGGAAGCTCAGTCGTAAGCAACCGACACTGAGCAAGCCGGCAGATAAGGCAGAGTAAGAGGGGCAAGAATTATCGCGTCAGTCCGCGGGACCGAAAAGAGGGTTCGGGTGCTGATGGAGGGGGGCTTGTGACTCTTATGTCAAGGCAGATGTCGTGTGGCTATGAGGGACTCTTCTTGACGATACGTGTTTCAGCTTTTTAGGCAGGCCACTTATACGGCAAGTTGATGGAAGGAGCCTCGCCTTGGTTAGGTACTCTCCTCGGTGGGCAGGAACAGAAAGGAGCTGCGAGATTGTAACTAACGACTTTGAGATAGTAAGTTGAAAGAGAGCAAGGCAGTTGATAAGAGATCTGGGGCTTGTATAAAAACAACCCGGCTGTAGTGCTAAATAAAATGGGCTTTTGAGATGGGCGGATGGGTGGATAAACGGGATCTCAAAGTCTCAAATCGCGGCCGCTAAAGTGAAATATCCGAGGTGCAAGTGCAAAGTGTGACATGACCAGTCTTCCTCCTCGTTTCTCCAGTTATTGCCATTTGCCATCCGTCATCAACCACGAGCTGTCTTCAACTCCTCGGAATGGTCAATCATGGTCAACCGAGCCGGAGAGGCCTTTCAAGTTTCCTTGATGTTGGTCAGTCTTGAACATCTTGGCCGCTAGCCACTATGGAGATCCATCACGAGCATGTGTATAAGTGAGTCTGTCCTACAGTCAGTTTCTCTCAGTCTCTCCTCGCTTGAGGGATTGACAGAGTGAGTGACTGTGACGATCCATTAGGAACTCCGGACGAGTGTGGCTGACGACTGACAAAATGCGAACAGAAAGTATAATGTTCCTAATATGATGGAAGGAGGAGTTGCCGTTGAAAGTGGAAACTGGAACGTCGTCGTTGAATGGTCCGTCACGAGGCCCGCGTATCGAGTGACCGAGGGGTGCAATCGTGGGCGGCAGCTGAGCCCCCCTGCTCCCCCCCTTGAGCCCGCTTCTCCCCCCTGGCTGTTTGGGGATCTTCCCTCCTCCATCAACAAACTTGATGATGTACCTTTCCGGCACAGTCAGGGCTTGGAAAAACTGATAGAAATGGATGGTTTCGTTTCCCGGTTTTTCTTGGAATCATTGCCGGATATTGTACGCCATGGAGAACCTGTGATGTGTTATGTAGTGTTGTTGACATTTGCAAGTGCCGCGGATCGCGGGGCGGGAGGAAGGGGGAAGCGAGGCCAGGGTGCTCACTGCTACTGTACTGTACCTCTACTGACAGTGTACACCTGCCTGCTGTCGTGATAATGCCATGCCATGTGCCGTGAGACGGAATGCACTGTACTTCAAGGCTGCATACATATGGATTGCCACTGCAGTCTGCCGTCGTTCTCCAGGGCAGATACTCTTGAGTGATAGGTGATGGATGAATGACTGGATCTCGGTCAGGTGTGTGTGACCATCCATAATGCCCTTCAACATTCCATCCCATCTTTCGGTTGTCCCTGCTGTGTGTGCTCTTTCTTGGATTTCGAAAAAAAGTTCAACCGATCTTATTGATCTGAAGTTCCGACTCCCATCGTCGCCATGACATTTTTGCTAACAAAAGAAGACTTGAGGGGCAGCATCATGCTTTCCCTTTTCGGACCAGTTACTGGTCATGCACGTTTGAGGCACAAGGCAGACGGGAGGCAAGGCAACGAAGGAAGCCTTGGCGGCAATCATATCTCCCCATCGCGCCGGCCCCTTTTAAACCCGCCCAAACTTGTAGGCAACCGTCCACGCCGTACAGTGACATGACATGGTAACGAAGTATTCAGGGGCCAAGACGGCGCCGCCGCCGGGTATCACTGGCTAAAAGAGAGCCAATCGATACTTTGGCAACATTGATGACGCTGTGGTACCTGACTACCTTACCTGACAGAACTCGCAAAGTAAACTGAATATCCGCGCTGAGCCTCAACATCATGTAAGATGATCTATGGTAGGGCAGGTCTCGGACTAGCATAGCCTTGCATGTTGACGTTGACGCTGTTTTACCTTGACCGATAACCCGTTTGGGGAATCCGATCGCCTTTCTTTCTTGTGAGACTGGATTGTTGAGAGAACATATATGTAAATTGAATTGCACAACTGGATGATGCACTGGACAAAATACTTGGCTGTTCAGCATTCCGAGTTCGGGGGTGAGGTAATGGTAGCTAGTAGACTAGACAAACGACATACATTGACTAATTGTATGTTTACTTGGGTAAATGAATCGCGATGATTCACAGGTATGGGCAATATTCTCCGCCAGACTGACACCGAGGGACCTGTCACAGTCTCGTCTTAGTCACCATCGTGATACGTGCCCTCGTTTCTGTTGCAATTTCGATTTCACCGGGCGAGGTCCGTTGTTTGGGAATCAAAGGTATGGATGGGGTGTTTTAGGTCAATAATAGACAACCATGGATGCTTATCGGCCGGGCTTTGAAGGTTCGTTGTGGTAACTTTCCTTCACCGGACCGCTTGGCCCAACGCCAACACTGCCAAGTCCCGGGCAGTCAACATCATCATTCTCGGCCTGAGACTAATCCAGCAAATTGAGGGCCAAAAAGGTCTCGAGATGCCAACAAGACGCCGGCGGTGAATGAGTCCATCCCACGCCCGGTGAGAGGTTGCACCATGGAACTCTAATTATAAGCGTACCATCGGGTATCCGTGTCCTTGGTTAACCAAGTCATCCGGGCTGTTTGCTCTGCCGTGCCATGCCAAAATCCAGTTGAAGTCAGACGGTTTGAACAGTGGGGGTCACCATAGCCTCTGACTGCCCAAGCGACAATGGGTGTATTGTTCCACCATGGTAGGCAAATCCGTGCTCATACTCGGCATAAACTCTGCCGAGGTCCCGGATCGGTTGAAGAGTGACATCATGCACCTGGACGTATGGGAATACCAGGCCCCGTCCATCATCGAATTTGCAGGGAGAGGTAGTATGCCATGGCTGCGCCCCTTCGTGTCCTCCTTGGCCCAACAACACGAGCAGTAGTACCCGTTTTTCCCGTCTCTCAATCCTTGGGCGGGAGCATAAGCACGTACTCCCTCGTACTGGACCCGAACTGAATCATATCCTTGTCTCTCAACTCGAGGTACCGACTATCCGGTACCTTGTCGCCATTGAGTTTGGTACCGTTTGCACTCTCCAAGTCAATCAGATACGGCTTCACGCAGCCGATCTTATCCCCGTACTCGTTTCTCTTCTCCGTATAGCGGAACTGGATGACGGCATGCTGCTTGCTGATGCTCGGGTGCTCGGCCGGCAAGTCGGCAATGGCCAGGTCCCTCCCAACCAGCCAGCAGCTGCGCGTATGCAGCTCGATGGTGTCAATGACCTCGTCGCCCTTGAAGACGTACAGGCGCCACTGGTCGCGCGGGGCGGGCTTGCGGGCCTCGGGTGGCTCGTGGTATTTGAGCGTAACCGTGGTCCCGTCGGCTTGCGTGACCGTGTTGGACTGGGCGGCGAGCACACCTGTGTTGCCAAAGTTCGGCTTCTCCTTGGGTTTCTCGGGTTCTGCGCCAATGCTGACAGCGAAGGAGTCACCTTGCGAAGGTAAAGGACCGCTTCGCTTGATTAGGCTGCGCTTGTTGTCGGCATTGTCATCTGGTTGCTGTGTTTCTCTCCGGGTAGAACGTCTTTCTGATGAGCGATGCCTGCGGCGGTCTCTGTCTCTTTCCCTGTCTCTGTCTCTGTCTCTATCCGAGTAGCCGTCCTTGTCCTTGTCTTCGCGCCGGCGGTGTCGTCTGTCACTGTCGTCCTCTCCTCGGTCTCCACGTCGGTCCCTGTCCCTTCTCCTCTCCCGGTCTCTGTCTCTGTCGCCGCCTCTTTCTCTCTCCCTGTCGCGTGGAGACCGCGAACGCGATGGGCGCTTTTTGGTGTCTGGTGATCTGGATCGTCTTCGGTGATCTCGCCTTGGAGACCGAGATCTGTTGGGGGACCGGTCCCGAGAGCGCCTGCGATGTCTGTGGGAGTCTTCTGCAGTGTCGCGCTTGTTGTGTCGGCTGGTGCTTGCGCTGTCTCTGTCTCTGGGGGCGTCTCGATGATCGTCACGGCGACGCGACCTGTGGTCGTCTTCTGTACGTTCTGAGCCCATTGATGTCGTTTGAATCCTTTCTGAATGATTACCAGGCCAGTGACTTTGGTCAATGAGGGTGGAAGAGCCAATGGCGCATCCAATCTAGAGTTGGGTGTTGGTGGAAAATTAGTATCTTTCTGGAATAGGGAAGCTTAGTGTAGTTTGGGGGCACCCTTTGTCGCGTGCTCGGCAGGGCCCTATGACGCTAGCAGGAGTTACATTCTGCACTAGCGTATCTTGTAGTATGTACCTCTAGTGAGGTGAACTACTATAACCCTAACCCCCATATGCCTCTTTGAGACTTCTCCGTCATTGACCACCCGACCACCTTCCAACTTGATCGACGCAGTCTCTCCCATCAATCTGAACTCCCCCCCCCCCCCCTTCAAGGTGAAAGTCGGGGAAAGGCACACCTGAACTGCTGGATATATTGAAAGTTCCTGACTTGAATTATCCCATGACCAGCCAGCTTATTCCCGACTGGTCACTCGTGAGCTGCTTGACCACTACCTACTGACCTCTGCCAATCTATCCATCGATGGTCTCTACGAGAACGAACCGAAGATCGGGAACATGTCTGGGTACCTTTACCTACTTTGGCCCAATTTGATCATCCTTTGACGTTCACTTGAGCTCAGAACAATGAATCTTGTCAAACCAAAGTCCGATTTTTTTCCAACCTACAAATAATAAGGTATCTTTACAATTTCCCCCATGTTGAGGAAATGGTCCCTTTTCCATGTTCCCCGGAATCCACCTTTCGATGGCAGCGGAGTTTCAAGTGGAACTCTGGGGACGGCATTTGAAATCAAAATCCTAACTCTACAGAATGCTGACTGAATTCCCTGACAGCAAATGCGCGTGTACCTTGAATATTCTGTAGTGTACCTACATAACCCACCTTTGTCAATCTGTTAGCTCAGCAAGGGACTGACTTTGCCTTTGCCGTGAAGCGGCCAAGAAACAGGCATCAGCAAACAGGGCAACAGTGAGTCGGGTAGGAGTGACAGGCAGGCACCACCGGGCACAGCTCCCGTCCTCGTTCACTTCTTTGACTCCGTCGCTGTTGTGCTGTCACTACAACACTTGGACTGTCTTAGGTAGCCAAAAGGAACTACCTAGAGGTATATCAAACATCGTCCACTCATTACCTACCTTAGGTAGTGTAGGGCATCTCTTCCACGAGTCGGCGGCATAGGTACACTTGAGGTTGTGAACCACAGTAGAAGTCGGTAGAGGTGATTCCCTTGCCGTCTCCTGTCGACTAGGTATCCTGCCGCTAACTACTTACCTTAGGTACGTCGGGTCGGGTAGTACACATAAGGGAAGCCTCCAGCTGCAGGTGATTGCACGGTACCTGCCTCCAGCCAGTAGGCACACTAAGTAATAGTAATGCCCTCTAACATCTAACCTATACTGTAGCTGGTACAAAAGATACTGTACTCTATTCTACACTAGCACCCTGTACGGGCCTCTGCCCGCTTTTAGGGAGTTTCCGCCCGGAATCCCATCTTGACCCAAAACAACAAACCCACCCAAGCAATCATCCCATCTCGCCCGACTCCCCTTCATTCCGTCACATACAACTTCACGTACATATTGCCCGGCATCATCTTCCGCGACCGACATCGATCAATACAACTGCTACCCCGCGCTACTCGGCATCAACCCCAACAATCTCGACTCTCGACGTCACTCCCAGGTTTCTCTGCTGCTGAGTCATTCACCCATCGACGCCCTTCCACCACTCCCGGCCTCGGTCATCCACTACGGCATCCGGGTGGCGAGTCCAAGATCTTTTCTCGACTCTTACGAAGCCGGCACCATTCCTCCCCAAACTAGAAAGCGGAAGGCCGCTGAGGCGACGACGTCCCCCATCTCGGACGATACTCTCCCAAACAAGAGAACCCAACTCGCCTCAGCCGGCAAACAACACCAGGGCCCCGAAGCCGCTCCCCCGACTCCCCTCACCACCACCACCTCGCACAACGGCAACGACGACAGCCATAGCGACGCTGACCCAGCCGCCGACGACGCCATGGACTCCGAAGACGATTTCATGTCCAACCTCTCTTCCGAGGATGACATGATGCAGGAGGATGACAGCGACAACGACATGTCTAATCCCGAGGGTGAGACTTCTATGATTCTACTTCTCGCCCCCAGACATTTCGCCGTATACTGACCCCGCGATCCCGCCAGACTTTGACTTTGACGACGAGCCCGATCTGGACACCGGCAATAAGGACTCCCAGCAGGCCAAGAAGCACAACTACCTCGATATCGACTTCAGGGTGTTCCGCCCCGAAGACATACAGAAACAGCAGGATGGCCTGGTCGACGAGGTTAACATGATTCTCGACATCTCCAAAGAAGAAGCGGCCATTTTGCTACGGCACTTCCGGTGGAACCGGGAGCGTCTGATCGAGGACTACATGGACAAACCCCGTCAAGTTCTCGATGCGGCCGGCCTCGCACAGACCGCCGCCGACAAGCCCCGGCTGCAGGTCATCCCTGGCTTCATGTGCGATATCTGCTGCGAAGACGGAGACGGCCTCGAGTCCTTCGCCATCAAGTGCGGCCATCGTTACTGTGTCGACTGCTACCGCCAGTACCTATCACAAAAGATCCGCGAAGAAGGCGAGGCTGCCCGTATCCAGTGTCCCGCCGACGGCTGCAATCTCATTATCGATGCCCGCTCGCTCGATATCCTAGTCACGCCCGAGTTGACGGAACGATATCACGAGCTGCTCATGCGCACATACGTTGAGGACAAGGACACCCTCAAATGGTGCCCCTCGCCTGACTGCGCAAACGCCATCGAGTGCGGTGTCAAGAAGAAAGACCTCACCAAGGTGGTGCCCACAGTGTCATGTCTGTGCGGCCACCGCTTCTGCTTTGGCTGCATCTACACCGACCACCAGCCCGCTCCTTGTGAGCTCGTGAAGAAGTGGCTCAAGAAATGTGCAGACGACTCGGAAACGGCCAATTGGATATCAGCCAACACCAAGGAATGCCCAAAGTGCAACAGCACGATCGAGAAGAATGGCGGCTGCAACCACATGACATGCCGCAAGTGCAAATACGAGTTTTGCTGGATGTGTATGGGGCTTTGGTCCGAACACGGCACGAGCTGGTACAACTGCAACCGCTTTGAGGAAAAGAGCGGCGCCGAAGCCCGCGACGCTCAGGCTAGGTCCCGAGTCTCCCTGGAGCGCTACCTCCACTACTACAACCGCTACCACAACCACGAGCAGTCAGCCCGGCTGGACAAGGATCTATATGTCAAGACTGAGAAGAAGATGGTGGAGCTACAAAAGCAGTCGGGCATGTCCTGGATCGAAGTCCAGTACCTGCAATCTGCATCGCAGGCGTTGCAGACGTGCCGGCAAACGCTCATGTGGACCTACGCCTTTGCATTCTACCTGGCACGCAACAATCTTACCGAGATCTTCGAGAGCAACCAAAAGGACCTGGAGATGGCGGTAGAGAACCTGTCTGAGATGTTTGAGAAGCCGGTCCAGGACCTTGCCCAGCCCGGTCTCAAGGTGGACATCATGGACAAGACGTCGTACTGCAACAAGCGGCGCGTCATCCTTCTAGAGGACACTGCTGAGAACCTTCAAAAAGGTAAGACTTTCGTTGCGGAATTTGTTATACTCGTCGGTACTAACCAAGCCGCTAGGTAAATGGACCTTCAACATTGATCTGGTCAGTGGTGCGCCTATCGTGAATCCCACGAGCACTCCTGCCACTACCTCTAGCAGCCGTCGCTAGGATGACCTCTTGGCGCAGCGTGCCCATGCTGTACGAGACATGTTGGGGGTCGCGACCCGTGTGTTGAGACGCAGGCCTCGGGGATGATTTGGCCAACCCCTCGGACCAAGGCAAGCGAATGCCGTCACCTACGTGATGGAGCATATTCTTCATACCAGTCGATTGATGGCCTTGGGCACTGGGTGATCCAAGTCATGTTCCAAGAGTATCTTTAGCACACTTCTTCTTTGACATCTGGAGCCGACGAGGAAGCCAATTTTTGGGTGTGTGCCTGGAAAGAGTGGAGCACAGCAAGGAAAGCACTCGCAGCCGATCTCATCGCACAGCTTGTCCTTGCATCTTCTCGGGTCGCACTATGAAGGCGGGCACAAACGAAAGAGTTGTCTCAGGCGCGTGTAGCGCAGTTGCGAATGGTGAATGCCATCGGGAGAAAGACAGCAATGGCGTTCTATGGGCGTTTTTCTCCAAACCAAAGACCGCCAGTATCACCACAAGCACCACAATCGTCTTGATCTGAGCCTACGCATTTTTTTAAGTCGAGAGACGCATTAGTGTAGCGGGTTTTCCTTGGCTTGGTTCAACGGCTTTACGGCATTGCACAGGCATACATGTGCCGGAGTCTTTCGACGGGCGCATAACATCAAGGGCCTTTCATGATTGGGTTGGGCTTGATTGCACCGCAAGGGTGAAATGATGGGGTATTTGCCTTTGGAACATGAGGATGAGAAGACCACAGGGAGCATGGATGGACGGATGGATGGATGGATGGATGGATTGGAATGCGGTAGGAGTTTTACTCGGATTCGGGACATACAATCATATACATGTTTTTAAAGCGCAGCTTTTTCCTTCTCTGTCGAACAACATCTCAACGGGCGCTAGGAGAATGGGTAGATACACACGCGACATTAGCATAGCTACCTTAATCATTTCATATACATAACCTCAATTAGATGATGATGGATACTGACTGCACTGGGTTTGAGTACGAGTGATGAAAAGAGGAAGATGTGAAAGTCAGCTGGGGAGATACAGACGATTGTTGATAACTATGTAGAATACCAAGTGATTATAATGTGTGTCTGAAATTGTATCGATATGATGCTGGTTACTGAAGACAGGAGCCGCGAGATGTCAAATGGTGTGGGATGAATTGTACATAGTGGTTTCCCCCAAGTAGATTTAGTGCTCCACGACGGACTAAAGTGTTGGAGAGCGAAGCCCAGTTAATATTTGTTAGTGCACTCTATGTGAGGTCCGCTATTAGGTCACATGTAGTAACAAATTCCTGGGCATACAAACAGGAACACTGCAATAGTAAATATTATAAAAGTCGTTCGAGTTGTCAGTCCTTAGTAAGAGAGATCTCCAATTACATAACATAACAAACGATGTCGCTTGACCTAAAATCTCGGACCAGGAACATGCATGTAACCCCCGGATCCAACTAACGCCCATCCCACCATCCGCGCGTAAACACATTTCCCCGCGGCCCCGTCGCGCCCGCTTAATGCCGAGCAAACCGCGGAACAACAAGGATACAATGGGGCCTTGGGGACAAACTCTCTGCCGATGGAGGGTTCCGAAGCGGCAACCGGGCGGGCCAGGGCGGGAGATGATTAACACGCTGGAGCATGGAAGCTGGAGGTACCGTTGGAGTCACGGCAACTAGTTCGGCCTCGATTTAGTCCACTCGACCAACACCACGGACTATGTAGCGGAAGGACAAGGGGAGAAAAAGATGGGGAAAAGGGACGGTAAGTGATGGTAACAGCAAAGAGCTACCGGGAAGAGCTTAAGGATGCTGCTGTCTCGGGTGTCCAGCAAGGTGCTCATCCGTACACTACATACACAAAAGTGGTGTAGAGGTGGTCTCACTATCACATTGATAGATACATATCTCTCGCTGCCGCATCTGCTGCTTGACTCTTTTCTCTCCTGATCTTCTTCTTTTTTTGTTTCTCTTCTCTTTTCCAAGATACCCTTTTCCACTTCCCCCCCTCCCCTTCTTCTGTTGGGTTGTTGTCCTGTCTTCGAGAAGTGATAGGTAGTCGAACGGAAATCAACGGGTCAAGTCAACACTACCGGTTTCGATACAACGTACCTACGTACACAACCTCATCTGCCGCTTCTACCCCCCGTTGCTATTTATTAAATAACCCGGACGAACCCCTCCCCGGCGAATCACCCACCCAGGGCACCGAACTCACGAACCGACATACGATTGACGATTGACGACTATAAAAGTGTAGAGTCAGTCCTAGGACTCGTCCAGATAGACTAGTACTCTAGCCTCGTTCCGATTGTTCGAGGTGAAACTTCCCAAGGTCCAGCTGCTTGCCGGCCGAATTGCGATTTCCAAAGAAGCTATTTAAGAGAAGCTTCAGTCGCATTCTCTGGGGGAAATAGAAAGACCTGTGAGAAAAGAAAAAAGTCACACCAATCACCAGCCAAAATGTCTACAGCTCTTCGTACGCTGAGGGCGTATGCCAAATATGGCAACAACGTAAGTAGTTGTTCCTCCAGCTTCTTCCTTGCGAGCACAACGAGTGCGAACAACGGAGACCCCTGGTTCGGTTCAGTTGGCATCGATAATTGTCAACACCACCACCACCACCACCACCAAAACACCACACACCTTTTCTTCTCACCACCAAAGAACTTTCACCTCCCCCCCAAAAAATGGGCATCACCAAACTAACAAACACCTCCAAAATGTAGCACTCCGCCCTCCTAGCGCGATGCTTCTCCACCACCCTCCGTCGCCCCGAGATCAACAAACTCTACCCCTCCGCCTCCGCCGCGCTCGCCGACATGAAGCCCAACAGCACCCTCCTCTGCGGCGGCTTCGGCCTCTGCGGCGTGCCCGACACTCTAATCGACGAAGTGATCCACAAGCCCGAAATCACCGGTCTGACCGCCGTCTCCAACAACGCCGGCACCGACACCTCCGGGCTCGGCAAGCTGCTCAAGACCAAGCAAATCAAGAAGATGGTCGCCTCCTACATCGGCGAGAACAAGACCTTTGAGCAAATGTACCTGACCGGCGAAGTCGAGCTGGAACTCACCCCCCAAGGCACGCTCGCCGAGCGCTGCGCAGCAGGCGGCAAAGGGATCCCCGCGTTCTACACCCCCGCCGCGTTCGGCACCGTCGTGCAAACGGGTGAGTTGCCGCTTAAGAACAAACCCGACGGCACCCCGGACGTCTTCAGCTACCCCAAGGACGTCAAGGTCTTCAACGGCAAGTGCTACCTCCTCGAACACTCCATCGCAGGCGACTACGCTTTCGTCAAGGCCTACAAGGCCGATCGGCTGGGTAACTGCCAGTTCCGACTGGCCGCGCACAACTTCAACGGCGCCATGGGCCGCAACGCCAAAGTGACCATTGTCGAGGCCGAACACATTGTTGAACCCGGTGAGATCCCGCCGGAGGCGGTCCACTTGCCGGGCATTTACGTGCAGCGCGTGATCCAGAGCACGGCGGAGAAGAACATTGAAAAGTTCACGTTTGCCAAGGACCCGAATGATCCGGATGCGAAGAAGTCGGCTTTGGGAAGCGGCGAGACGGCCAACAAGCGCGAGCGCATCGTGCGTCGCGCGGCGAAGGAGTTCAAGAACGGCATGTACGCCAACCTCGGAATCGGCATGCCGATGCTGGCGCCCAACTTTGTCGAGGAAGGCGTTGAGGTGCTGTTGCAGTCGGAGAACGGCATTTTGGGCCTGGGCCCGTACCCGAAGAAGGGCGAGGAGGACGCGGATCTGATTAATGCTGGTAAGGAGACGGTCACGCTGGCGCCGGGAGCGGCGGTGTTTGGGTCCGAGGAGTCGTTTGGCATGATTCGTGCTGGACGCATCAACTTGACGATTTTGGGCGCCATGCAGGTCAGCGCGAATGGCGACTTGGCGAACTGGATGTTGCCGGGTAAGGTCAAGGGGTTCGGTGGCGCCATGGACTTGGTGAGTAACCCGGAGAAGACCAAGGTGGTGGTGACGATGGAACATACGGATAAGAAGGGCAATGCCAAGATTGTCAAGCAGTGCGCGTTCCCGTTGACGGGCAAGGCTTGTGTGTCGAGGATTATTACCGAGTTGGTGAGTTTTTACCTACATGGACTGGACCCCCCCCCCCCTTGGACATGAGACAGATGCTGACTGATGATGATAGGGCGTCTTTGATGTCGACTTTGGCAAGGGTCTTACTCTCATTGAGATTGCTGATGGTGTCACTGTTGACGAGATCAAGGCCAAGACGGAGGCTCCCTTTGTTGTTGCCGATGATCTCAAGCCCATGCTTTGATTGACATTATGATGGTGGTGATGAGTGAAGATTGTATGACCAGGAATGTGGTGAAATGGGGTCAGGAGTTGTATATACTGTCTTATTAGGTTTTGGAAGGCATCAAAATGTTTCTTGTTCTGCATTGGGCCGTTGGATATCACAGGGTGTTGTAAAAGACGGATCTGGTGATTCCTTCAGTACGTCTCTTTGATAGCTGTGCAATCCGACGTAGTTCATTAATCATATTCTATATATATGGAACTTTTAAACTCCACCAGTCCCCATCATCATCATGTATCTCCTTCAAGTCTAACCCAAGACCTTGTCGGCCAACGACACAGCGGTACCAGTGTTGTCCGGCTCGACAGCAATCTTGGTGACCTTGCCGTCCTCGACAATCATGGCATAGCGCTTGGAACGGTCGTTGCCAAAGATGGCCTTGCTGTCAAAGGTGAGGTCGAGAGCCTTGGTGAACGATCCCGAGGGGTCGGCGAGGAAGCGGATCTATTCACCGTGTGTGTCAGGGATCGTTGCAAAAGTGATGGCCACGATGGGGATAAATGGAGAAGAACTTACACCAGACTCGCCGGCGGGGTCGAGGTTCTCCTTCCATGCCTTCATGCTGTTGTAGTTGTTAGCTTGAGTCTCTAGGTAACATGGTTTGCTTGCCTCCTCTCAACCGCTGGTGGCATTGGGCGTTTCCTCCAAGTTGTTTCCCAGGGCTTCAGCATCACTCCTCTCGTAGCCATCATCTTGCTGTTCTGCCTCTCTTCAATTTCTCCTTGTACTGTTCACTTCTCTTCCTTCCTCCCCTCCTTTACCCTCCCTACCCTCCCCTCTCAACCACCAGCCACTATCACCAACCACCAACCCCCAACCCCCCAACCCCAGAAAGACAGAGAAAAAAGGTACTCACACAAAAGCATCATTAACCGACACCACCGCCTTGACATCAAACTCCTGCGTCTTGGGATGCTGGATATAGCTCGGGATATGGCTCGCGCTGCACGCGGGGCTGAAAGCAGCGGGGACACCGATAATCAGCATGTTGCGGGCCGACTCGGCCTCCTTGCGCAGGTCGACCTTGTTGCCGGGGGAGCCTTCCTGGAGGAGCTCGCCTTCGGGCAGGAGCTCGCCGATCTTGACGAGGCGGGCGGGCGAGGAGGAGAAGAAGCGGCTGGCGGCGGCGGGGGCCGAGGCACGGGCGATGGGCGACGCCGTGGCGCGGAGGGCGGTGCGGGCGAACATTTCTGCTGTTGTTTTGAGAGTGGTGGTGGTGGTGGTGGTGGTTTTGGATGGATTGTAACTCAATTGGGAGGAAATGTAATGGGGGGGAGGAGAATGGATTGATGAAATTGGATTCAGTTCCAGGTCAATTCGACTCGACTCAACTCGATCCGACCCGACGAGGAGTGCCGCGCCGTCCCCCCCCCCCCTCCCCGTTAGCGGCAGCTACCTAAGGTAATACGTACAGGGGGAAGCGGCAGGGGTTGAAAAGATAGCGCGGGGATGACATCACCGGGGATGGAGAGCGCTTGATAGCTAGATGTCAACACTAGAATTGTCAGTGAGTGAAATACATTCTGTTAGAGTGTCAGATTTATGATGGTCTTGTATACATTGGACGATCCTTCGATCAATCACTATTGTTTTCTTTCAATGGGCACAGAGTTCCGGGCTGGCGTTGAGCTCAATCCCAGATATCAGAGCTCCAAAGACAGGGGCCAAGCTCCCAAAGCTCACTCTAGCGGATACTACCTCAGCTCCTCAGGTACCCCGCTGGCCTGAAGTTCGGATCGAACCATTTCGCGAACTTCAACCGCCATCACCACTCACCTCTGCTCTGGGATGTCAAAGTCATTGTGTTACTCTTAAAGAGCCTGATACACCAAAGCCAATTTCAAACCGAGCACCAGAACAGCCTTCCATGTCCACCCAAAGAGCCCTCTGGTTCGTCGCCAGCAAAGCTAGCAAAAAACCTTCACCACAAGGCACCCAAGGCGGCACCATCTACATCCACTGCCACGTCAAACCAGGCGCGAGCAAAACCCGCGAAGGCGTAACCTCCATCACCGACGAAGCAGTCGAGATATGTGTTGCCGCGCAGGCAAAAGAGGGAGAGGCGAATAAAGCTGTGGTCAAGGTTTTGAGTGAGGTGAGTTTCAGTTCCCTCTGACCTGTTTGTTCACCAGAGCTATCTTCCGCCACAACCAACACACCAGGCCGGAATTACCTTCGGCCCATCTCCCATGAATGATTACATTGCGAAAGAGCAAGCAGTAGACACAGCTCCGAGACTAGATGTACCTAACTGTACAGGCTCTCAATCTCCCCAAGTCCAACCTCGAGATCACTCAGGGCCTCAAGTCCAGGGCCAAGACCATTGCTGTTGCTGCCCCTGGGTCATGGGTTGGTGGTAGTGGCGGCGAGGAGGAGTGCCTTGAAAGGGTGAAGGCGAATTTGAACAAGGCGACCGAGGCGTGATGTTGTGGTCAGATGATGCCCTCCAGACAGCTAGTGCCATTTGGATGATCGTACCATCGTCGACATGGCTCTGTATGTTCCCGCTCAATTTCGTGGAGCAAGGGTGGGCCAAGACCTCCAAGGGTCAAAAGTCGGCCGGTTGACCTCTATCGATGCGGAACCAGTTGCGCGCATCCTGATCCTTCTTTAAACGCGGGTATCGATATCATATCCTCATTACTCATAACATGCGGCAATTACTGGATCGCAACATCGTCGTCTTCACCTCAAACCTTTCCCTCCAACTCGCCCGTTCGATGTACTCCTAGTAATCGCACCGCGGCTCGTCGTTCGAGAACTTGGCGTCACACCACGACCAACACCTCTTCCACTCGTGCCTCTGGTCGTTCCAGACGGCGCAGGCACCCTCGACTGTCTTGGGGCAGGTGTCTTGGGCGCCGCCAATGGTTTTCGCGGTGTAGGGCCGGAGATGTTGGAGGTGGGGTTATCGACAAAGGAGGTATCGGTGGTCCTGCACGCAAGAAAAGCAGGTGTTAGCAAGTATGGCCTTGTGGAAAAGGGAGACAGACAAGGTATGCAGGAAACAAACATAAAAGTAGTCTCCCCGTCAAACCCCTCCCTCTCCTGCTTAACCGTCGCCATCCCGGCCCCTGTGCCCATAATCCCAGTCTCCATGTTATTCTGTCCCTGGCCACCACCAGCAGCAGCCTCCCTCTCCTCCTTCTCCTTCATCCTCTTGAAGCTCTCCGTCAACGGTCCCTCTGGGAAATCCACACAAAACGCATTCATATTCAACCCGTACAAAAAGCTGGCAAAGTCCTCACTGAACCGGGCCAGGCTTTCGTGCATCAGCTGGAAATGCATCATGTTGGCTTCGAGGTCCGCCATGGCGTCGGCCAGCTCGGCGAAGGCGGGCTCAAAGGCGTTGAGCGGAAATGAAGCGCTGGAGCCATGGATGGATTCGCGGGCGGATTCGCGTAGGGAGGAGCGCGAGGAGGGGCGGAGGGGAGTTGTTGGTCGGTTGGGGGTGCGAGGGCGGGAGGTGGAGCGCTGTGGCGCGGGGGTTTGGGAGTCGGGCATGGTATGGTCTTGGTTGTGCTTAATTCTTGGGAGGATCTCTGACTATAGCATGCAATGTCTGGTAGATGTGGTGTTGCGCCGGTTGTGGTCTCTCTTGTGTTTACGTTGGTGATAAGGTGCCGAAGATGGTGGTGTTGACTTGATGGTTGACATGGGAGACGCGAACACCAAGCAGTGAGACGCGACGGCATTAATTGACCCCACGATTCTGGTCGTTGTCCCCTCTGTGGATGTAACATTGTGACGCCAAGCTTTACGCAAAAACCATAAAGAGGCACGTGCACCTGCCTGTAAAGGAGCAGCGCTGCATGGGTCGGGGGGAGCATTTCATCATTGGTGACCACTGCATCGATTTGTCCCATGAGGGGTTCTCGCTTTCTTCGCTTCCAACCAACCAACCTTCCATGTTCCTCGAAGATGATTGCTGCCCAGCTGACTGACGGCTGCGATCGTCTGGTCAATTCCAACCTTGTCTGATTGAGCCCCTTTTGTTACACGGCTTCTGGAATTTTAGTTGGATCTCGGGTTGCGAGTCAGCCGGGACAAAGACAAGTCGCCAATATTGGACGGTTCAAGTTATTGGAGACTAGCGTACCTAGAGGTAGTATGTTCCTGATCACCTCTGGGAGTCTCCATGAAGAGGATAATGTACACCGAAGGTCAATGGCTGGTAATCCAGCGAGAGAATTCTCTGTCTTTCCTTCTCTTCTTCTTTTCTTCTTTTCTTCATCTCCCTTTCCAGGTCAACAATGCACTGTGATATTCAATGGTTCCCTTTCAGCTCTCCAAGTTGCCCCCACTTGGACGGCCTAGGATTGATGGAGGATTTCCGGTTTTCTGTGCCGATTAGACACCGTCTTTTGCCTTCTCCCATTGCCCACTCATCACTGACTTTTGTACCTTTTGCCTTTTGATCGACGCTTTGGTAACAAGGGGCTTTTCATCCCATATCCCCGGCCATCTCTCACCCAGAAATTGCGCTTCCAAAAGCTGACACGGATCGCCCGGGGATTAGCCTTGTCCGGCCTTGTTAATTGGGGCAATATCATTCTCACAGCCCCCATCACCACAAATCCCTTTCTTCTTCTGTATCCCTCCCCTCCGAATCTGGTGACCACTTTGGTGACCGCTTTCCTTCTCGGTACATACCTACCTCTACCTACCTTACCCTACTACCTAATTACACTACACGACCATCCCGTCCTAGGTGCCGCTGCTGCCGCCTTGCCCGCCCTCCCGCCCTACCCGCTACTACACGTGCGTCCAGTGTTAGTAGGTACCTCTTCATATCCTCTGTCAGCCTGCTGTATCCCAATTCCTGGTATCTTACCTTCTAGACTCCATCAAAGGGAATGAGACTTCCACCGCCATCCACGCCGACCCAACTTCTGCGTCTTCGGCTGACGAGATCCGCTCTGTCCAGATCTGCTGTTTCCACCACTTCCCCCCTTGCTACCTCTACGTGTCCTTCGAGTCGACGAACTGTTAGCACCAAAGTTAGGGCAGCGGCGATCACTCCAGGTCCCCGGTTCCAATCCCTCCTCTTCCCTCCTTCCACCGTTACCACCACCACCACCACCACCACTACCGCCTTCTTTAGTCGCAACAACCTCTCGACTAGTACTACTACCGTCAATAAGCGAGATCAAACAGTAAAACCAACAGCCACCCTTGCGCCTAGTACACCCGTTGTCCTTCGCGCTTCTGTAACCGGTCTCGGTCTCCTCTTTGTCCTTGGTCTAGGTCTCGGCTACGGTATCACCGGTTTCCTCGGTCAAAAGTCTACCGAGCAGCAGGAACTTCCGTCCGAAGCCTCTTACACCACCATCAAAAACAACATCCAAGACATTCTTGACGACGAGTCCTCCACCACAAACATGTCTCGAGAAATCGCCCCCGGCCGCCCCGGCAACCTCACTCCCGAGCAAGAGGAAAAGCTCAAGCAACTATGGAAGCTGATCTTCCAAGTCTGCGGCGTCTCCTCGCCTTCCCCCTCCTCCGAGTCCAGCGCTCCCGCTGCTACCTCCGACGATGTGAGCGTCAAGGGCGATGACAAGAAAAAGAAGAGCAAGCTTTCCATGTTCTCGCGCAAGCAAAAGAAGGACTCAGACGACACCACCACCGACAGCGCCTCCACGGCCTCGGGTTCCACGCCCGGCTCCCCCGCCATTGTGCTCAACGCCTCCACCACCTCGGGCGACGACGACAAGTACAACCAGCTGTCCAAGTTCCACGAGACGCTCGCCTCTCAGTCGCCTGCCGCCATCCGCGAGACGATCTGGTCCATGGTCAAGCACGACCACCCGGACGCTCTGGTGCTGCGCTTCTTGCGCGCGCGCAAGTGGGACGTGGAGAAGGCGCTGGTCATGTTCATTTCTACCATGAACTGGCGCGACAACGAGATGAAGGTGGATGCGGACATTATGCGCTCTGGCGAGGGCGGGGCGGCGGAAGCGGAGAAGATGGAGGCTAAGACATCGGAAGAGATTGCAAAGAAGAAGCTGGCGATTGATTTCTTGACGCAGACACGGATGGGCAAGAGTTATGTCCATGGCGTGGATAAACAGGGGAGGCCAATTTGCTTTGTGAGAGTGAGGCTGCACAAGCAGGGCGAGCAGAGCGAGGAGAGTCTGGAGAGGTACACGGTTTATCTGATCGAGACTTGTCGCATGTTGTTGCAGGGGAGTGTTGATACCGCGGTAGGTTTTTGGATACGTTTGAAGAAATCGGCTGGACAAGGACGTGGACTAACGGGATGACATTACAGACTATCGTCTTCGACATGACCGGCTTCTCCATGGCCAACATGGACTACGCCCCCGTCAAGTTCATGGTCAAGTGCTTCGAGGCCAACTACCCCGAGTGCTTGGGCGCCGTGTTGGTGCACAAGGCACCGTGGATCTTCCAGGGTATGTTTCTTTGCTTCTCCTCTTCCTCCCCATCCACTACCATATACTGACGTGTCAAACTCACAGGCATCTGGCGCGTAATCCGCGGCTGGCTCGACCCCGTCGTAGCCAACAAGGTGCACTTCACCAACAACATCTCGGAAATGTCCGAGTTCATCTCCCCCGAGAAGCTTCCCAAGGACCTTGACGGTCAGGAAGACTGGGAGTACAAGTACGTCGAGCCGATCCCCGGCGAGAACGACAAGATGAAGGATGAGGAAACCATTAGCAAGCTGCAAGCCGCGCGCGCCGAGCTGGTCAAGGAGTACGAAGAGGCCACGCTGCAGTGGATACAAGGTGGTAACAGCGAGGAACTGAAGAAGAAGAGGGACGAGATTGCGGAAAAGCTGCGGGTGGATTACTGGAACCTGGACCCGTACGTGAGGGCGAGGAGCTTCTATGATCGCATTGGAGTCCTGCTGCCGGGCGGGAAGCTGGACCCGTTTCTTGAAGGGAAGAAGGATGGCGTGAGCGGGATAACAGAGGGTGTGGCCAAGGTGGGGGTGAGTGACACGCAAGCCGATGATGTTGACTGATTTGGTTGTGAGAGTGGTGTATGATGGCTTTTTTTCTTATTTTGGAAAGTTGTATTTGTTTCATGGATATATAGGATTAAAGTGTTTATAATAGACGATGAGATGTGGCTGGGTCAGGACATAACATGGCATGGTGGAATCTACAATAGAGCTATAACGGGAGGAGAAAGGCGTAAATGCGGACAGCTTTGATCAGTCACAGACACCATCACATTTTCCTTTTCCCCGGGACTCCCATTTCACTTTCTTTCATTCATCACCCATTCATTATCGCTCTACCTACAACTTCTCCTTAATCTCGGCATGCAACTTCTTCAACGCCTCCATGTCCGTCGCCTGCTGCGGCCACCCCACAATGAGCCCTTCCTTCTCGTTGGGCTTGGGAATCATGTGCACGTGCACGTGTCCGACCTCCTGGTGCGCCAGCTTGCCGTTGTTTTGCAGGATGTTGTAGTCGACGGCGCCCGAGGCGATGGCGAGCTTCTTGGCGATGGGGAGAAGCTCGGACAGGGAGTCGTCGGGGATGTCGGCGAGTTTCTCGCCGTGGTGTTTGGGGATTACGAGCTGAGTTGAGGATGTTAGACTGGAGTTTGGGGGGGGAGGGGGGAGGGGTGATGAAAGGGAAACGTACGGCATGACCGCGGGAAAGAGGCTGGATGTCGAGAAAGGCAAGAGTCTTTTCGGTCTCGACGAGCTTGAAGCAGGGGATTTCACCTGTTTTGTTTTGTTAATAATTGATTAATGGTTGAGTGGGTAGTGAAGCTTGGGGATGAGCTCTTTTACTACTCATGACATGACATGACATCTCTTTACACTACAACATCATATGATGGATGAGGAAGTACTCACCCTTGACAATCTTGCAGAAAATGCAAGTCGCGGAAGATGCCATTTTTCGTATCATTAATTTGGGATAGTAGACAATATGATGTCTCGGGGGAGAAGCTGAATGGGCAGAGGTACCTAGTTCTAGGAGTAAGTGAGAGCTTCAAATGCAAGAGGAGGAGGGGGCTTCCGCTTGACGTAGCTCGAGCCTCTCAGGTACCGTAGCTTCAGGGATCGCGGTCAGATGTCACTGCTACAGGGGCTGTACGCGGGGTGCGTTTCCCCGCTGGTTACCTATCGATGCGACCATGGCTATAACCCTAACCCTACATCTATAAGTTACCTAGAGGTTGCGGTAGATGTAGCTTCTTCGATAACGTTGAACTACTAGTTGAAGAGAAAATGGAAAGCGAATGAAGATTCAAGTGACGAGCTACTAGCAATAAGCAATTTAGTCATATTTACCTCGCTACCTGACTCTAGAAAGACGAAACACCAGCCAAGCTCGGGGAAGAAGCATGGTTGGTTCTGCTTCCAAGCTAACCGCTCGCTGCCTAACACTAATTGGTGTGACTCCTCGCCGCGACTTGTTAGTGGCCTGTCTAAGAGAGCTCTTGGTCGCTCACAGCCCCGGAAAGCACCCCGCCATGACTGACAAGCTAGGCAGGCCATCCCACTTAACGACATCATAGGTCCTGCCTCAAGACTGCCCTGTCAGCCCAAGTCGAAGTGGTGTGTCGCAAAACCACCATCATCTCAGTCTCACCAAGTTCGAGTTGCGACGAGTTAAATATCCTTCGAAACCTCCGTCATTTTCGCAGCGCTCTTCATCTAATAATCCCAAGCAGCAAAAGCCAAAAACACACCACAATATCAGACACACACCACCACACAATGACAAACTACAAGACCACCCCTCTCTTCGGCGGCGCCATCGTCTGCGACCTCCCCGAACACTTCGCCGACGTCTCCCGTCTGCGCCAAGTCCCCGACCACCAAGAAGTCTACATTGACAAAGACGGCTTCACCTCCATCATTGTCGAAATCACCGAGCGCGTCGGCCCCGACGGCCCAACCTCGCTAGAAGAGGACGGTCGCGCGCTGACCACCCACCTCGAAGAGCTCGTGGGAGACGACGTCGACACCGTCAAGGTGTGGAACACCACCGAGACGCGATTCAGCAAGCTTGAGTATGTCTTTTTTCTCTCTCTCTCTTTCCATTCTTTCCCCTTCCCCCGCTTTCCCAACTACTACTACCCCTACTACTATCCAGCAAACAGATAAAAGCTAACCAACCTTAAATGACCAAACAGCCCCTCAATCCCTGCCTACACCTTGATCGCCACCCAAACCCCCAAACAATCCGACGACTCCGATTCCCGAAGGAGCAGCAGGCAAGCCCCCGACTTTACGGCCCTCATCCTCACGCTCGTCAGACTGGAGCGCGAGAAGACGGATATCCTCATCACCATCAACGTGCCGCACATCAAGGGCGAGTACGACGAGGAAGACGTAGATCTGGCGCTGGGCAAGCAGGGAGCCCTGCTGGGCAGGGCGGTGGAGTATGCGGCGAAGATTTGGGAGACTTTTGAGGTCAAGGATTGGGGTTTGTTCAAGGAGCTTTAGGTTGAGTTGGGGAGTAGGAGGGGATGTGGATTATGGCAAGATTGTATGGATGGGAGATGGGGGAAGAGGAGGATATTGGGTTTTTACTCCAAAGGAAAATGGGATTGGGTTGGATTAAGAAGTAAAGCGCTTGGACAAAGGGATACCTCGGAGGAAATAAAATGGGAGAGGAGGAGATTATTCAGGATGAAGGGATACCAGGAGAATGAATCACGGGGCGTTTGATATCAGGTCGGGTTGGCTACGATAGGAGGTGGATGAGTGACGATTCAAATCGGCTCTTTAGCAGAGAAGGGTTCTCACGCAGAGCTACAACATCGTTCATGAGACATGTTTCTTATTTCTTCTAGAACAGTATTTACACTTCACTTAGGTAGCGAACTGAATATCCTCTGATGTATTCGGGGGTATCAATATTCTTTCATGGTCATACAAATAACCTACTTGTACAAGCGCTGTTATGGACTACCAAGCACTACCGATGCCGTCCGCTCAATCATCCGCAGTCAAATCAACCACGTCCATCATCGGTTCGTCGTCGAACACATCCGGAATATCCTCGCCATCGCCATCTTCGTCAGCGACAACCTCCTCCAGAACTGTAGAAAGCTTCCCTTTCGTTTCCGCCAGCGGGATTTCCTTCTTGTTCTTCTCCCTCCTCGCCTTCTCCACCTTCCACCGTTCCGCAACCTCCTTCATCACCTCCCCAAACGTCAGTCTCGGTTTCTCAGCTTTAACCACCTTCATCTGATATTTGACAAAGACTTGATACTCCGACGTCTTCCCCTTCTCCTTCATTCCCATTCCTTTTTGTGTCCCAGCCCCGTCGCCACCAGCCATATCAGAGACGTGACCACCACGTCCTCCTCCTTGTTGATGATGTTGTTGACCATGTCCCCTCGGCGCAGGCTTAACCTGCCTCAAAATCCCCTTGCACAACCCACACCGATGTCTTTTGGGATCAATACTCTTCGAATGGCGTTTATATTCTGTGCCACATCCTTCTTTCCCTTCTCCTTGTCCTTTCTCTTTTCCTTTCCTTTTTTCTTCACCCTGACCAGTAGAAGAGGACTCAGAAAGAACCCCATCACAAACCCAAACATACCTAAACTCAATCTCGTATCCATGTCTCGTCGTGACTTCGACCGCATACCCGCCTTCCCATTCCACACCCTCTCCTCCGTCTCGAATATTCATCTTTCCGACACCACGGTTCCTCCCCCCACCACCAGCACCAAACTCCGACTCGTTAACCTTCTTCGCCCAAGCTTTGAACTCCGCCCCATGCGGCCTCGCAGTCACCCCATCAATCATGAACACCGCCAAATGACAGAACTCGTGCGCAAGCGTATTGAATAGTCTCTCGGGCGTAGACAGGACCTTGGTAGCTAACTCGATGGAGGCGTGGTGTTTCACCGTCACCACCACTTCCTTTTCCTTCTTTTTTTCTTCCTTACTACTCCTCCCATCCGGTTTGGTGGAGCCCTGGCCCGGACGACAAGTAATACTCTCCTTCTTCCAATTCGCCCTGCCAGCCGTGGTGTTGAGCGTCTTACTCCATACGAGCTTGATGCCGCCCGTTGAGGCGGTTAGAGCCGATAAGCGGGAGGAAGTCAGACGGGCGTCGAGAAGGGAGAGGAAGTGAGTGGCGAGGGAGTGTTTGTGCGTGTCGAAGAGTTGGCGCGCAAGACGGGATTCGCGGGCGAGGAGGGCGGTGGCGGCTTTTGAAGGGCTGGTCGCCGGTGGGTTCTTCTTGGGGGAGGTGATGGAAGTACCTCTAGTAGAGGTGGCGTCCGAGGTGGGGGGTTTGGTTGACGAAAAGAGTGGTTCCTTCTTGGTGGGAGAGTGCGTGTCGTTCCAGTCGTCGACGAATTCGCGAGACCAAAAGAGGTCGGAAGAGGGGCGGTGGGGGGTGGTGGGGATGCGGGGGAGTTTCTTGGGAGGGGATGGTGGTGGTAATGTTGTTGATGATGGCTTTGGTTTGAGCTTGGGGATTTTGGGAGGAGGGCTGGGTGTTTGAGTGCGCTTCTTCGTTGTGGTGGTGGCAGCTGGTGGACGAGACCGTCGTTCGGTTTCGGTTTCTGATGAACTTTCGGAGTCGGAAGAGGAGGAGGAGGAGTCCAGCTGGAGACAGGAGAAATCCTGCGTGACATCCTCCTCGCCACAGGTGTCATCATCGATGGAAACTACCTGTTTCGCTGCTCTTCTTTGTTGTCTATCGCTCTCTTCATCATCGAACAAAGTCCGGCTTTGGGTGCCCCAGCTCGCATCCATCCGCTTGCCTCTCGAGTTCTTCGTTGACCGAGGCTTCGTCGGAGAAAGGTGGCTCTCTCTGACTGCAGGGATCTTGGGCTTGTTGCTTAACTTTGAGAAGAATGCATCCAAGTCCTCATCTGAATCGTCCTCTTTGGAATTTGATGCTGTGTTGGTATTCGGCGCCTTCTCGACCATGGTTTCCGACCCAAGTTCATTCGACTCGGAAGACTCCTTCGACTGCGCAGTGTGGAACGACTCCTCGGCAAAATCTTCTAGATCTTCAAAGATGTCTATATCCAGCTCCTGGTCGATTTCCATCATGTCCTTGCCTTTTCTGGCGCTTTGTTTCGGTGGCTGAACAAGACTTGCCAACGACTTTTCCTCCTTATTCTTGGTTCTCATCAATTCCTTGCCTTCGCGGTGTTTCTTTGACAGATTCTGGTCTCTGAAAAGACTCTTAGTCGTCCTCACCACCGTCTGAGCAGTAACGGTGCTCTCGCCTACCCTCTTCACCTCTTTTACCTTCTTTCGATCGGCGACCAGATTCTCAGCCTCGGAGTCGCTACCTTCCTTCTCTTCATCGCGCATCATCCCCAATCCCAGCCCGAATCCTGTACCAGCGGTCAAACCCCTCCTCTTCTTCCTAGCTGGCACCCCGCCCTCCTCCTCTTGCGCTGGCGTCCACTTCCGAAAAAGGACATTATCCGACACCGCACCCAAAAGCAGCTTCCGCCTCTTGACACCAGCTACTGATGAAGAAGCCGCATTTGGTGATGTTGCTGATTCGATGACCGTCTGGTGACTACTGGTAGAGGCCGTATCCGTGGGAGGGGTCGATCTCTTCTTAGTCGCAGGCAACGGTTGCAAAACCTTTCTTTTCCTTTGGGGACTTGGTGGAAGGGCTGCGATATCTGAAAACTCCGAGTCGGAGTCGGAGTCGCTGTTGGATTCGGGCTCAGATTCGGAGGAAGATGAGAAGATTGTTTTCCGAGACCGAGAGGATGAAGATGGCGGGGGCCGTGATAATTTGGCCATGGTGTTGTGGTTCGCTGTTCTGCTGCCCTACGGTAGTTGGCCTAACTAGCTCTTATGGTCCCACTCCCTCGAAATCGATGTTGTTGCGAGACCTGTAGCCGAGTGAAAGCTTATTGAAGGTGAGGTGACAGATAAGGTCACATGGATTAATGCAGATCCGTGCAAACCTCAAGGAATGCTATAACCACTTTTGGCTATGCGCATTCGACCAGCTTAGCTGAGCACCCCACAGTGATCAAAGGAATGCAGTGTTGCTATGTTTAAAGTGCTGTTCTCAAACGGAGAATGTTGGTGATGTTTTTGTTTGGTTACAAACAGCAAAAGCAATTGGTTGCCATGGGTGACGGGATTTGTTAGCGTACTGTTTGCGGTCTAGCGTCAGGAACGCCAAGACCCTGCCACCCGGCGTGAGTGGTGAGAGTGGGTAGGTGGGTAGGTGGACCGTGCATCGCCATGGGCCGGCCGGTGAACGACATTGCTGAACCTTCCTCCCATGGAGGAACTTACCAATCCACGGTGAGGTTCAGTGTTGGAGTGACTCGTCCCCGATTCCATGAAGCGAGCAGCAATGCATCCCGAAATTTACAGATTGATCGCTACCGCGTATCTGTCGCTTGATGCAGATCACGAATTGCAACAAGCAACCCCGAGTCCGAGTTTTGGCGTTTCCCTGTTTTCGTCCCCTGTCACTGATCACCATCCGGGCATCTGTTGTGTTCCGAGAGAGTTTCGTATTCCACACAAATCATGGCGAGAAGCTGTTTCATGTATACTCATTATATAACTATCCCATATCGCGACGGTTTGTATTGTATTGCCTTTGCCTACCCGCTCTTCCATCGACAATTTACTTCTACCTCTCTGTATGCACGCACGTGGCCAAGCATGGCAGGCACTGGATAGGCGAATGAGAATTAAAAGCTTTGATCTTCAAATCAGAAAGGTTCGGCTCCTCCCGATTTCCTAGGTAGTTTTTGTTGTCATCGAGGTACCACACCATCTGAACCATCTGATCCAGAGTGAATGATTCAAACCGGAGTGTTGCCCGGACCTCCATTGGTGGCGATGGGTTCATCCGGTAAGCAATGTTCACGTTTTACTTGCTTCGAAAATTTACAGCCATTGGTTTTTTTTTTTTTCCAGAGTTGTTCTACGTTTGAGAAGATATCCCCCCAAGGAGAAAATCACGATAACCTCAACCACGGGATACAAGACAAGTATGTACAATATGTACTCGCACACATCTATTCATCTTGCAGACCACCACACAGCTGCGGAGATATCACCGTTGCCTATCCTCGCTCGCAGCATGTACCTCACTCGCACCTTCTTACTCGTCTTCCCCACGCACATGATGATAGGTAACTGAAAATATAGTATAGTATCTCCATCAATATCTTGATAAAGCTCGACAACCCCACGAAAACAATCACCAATATACCACACCCGCCGCCGCCTCATCCTCCCGTCGTGTCTCAAAAAGCTACGCCACTTAGAAAGCCCCTCCCTCCACCTCCTTAGCTTTCCCTGCCACTCCGGCACTCACAAACCGTGCTACCATGCCACGACATGCATCCTCCCGCCTTCGTTTTTTTGTGTCACCCACCTGATAACGTGATGCGGTTGTGTGACTTTGGTTTTTGGTGGGTTGTGTCTTTTATTCTAGTGTGTCTTGTGTGTACACTAGTGTATCTTGTATCTGGTGTCTTTGTCGGTGCCTCTGTGGCGCGTACACTACACACCATCCATCTTCCCGTGCTGACTGCCGGTGAGGGAGGGGTTGATTGGTAGTTATATACCTAGGACTTGAGAGTTGAGAATTGCAATGGAACGGGACAAGACGGCCAAGACGGCCAAGGCGGACAGCAAGGTAGGTATTTAGTTTGTAGTATATGGGAAAGGCGGACACGGATGGAAAAGTTGACAATGTGGTGGGACTTGAGCGAGTGAGTATATCTGCCATACGGCTTTTCTTTAGTAGCCAGTGATCAAAGCGTGATTTATGAAATCGAAAGATTTGGCGCGCGCGCGGTTATTTGTCAGACAGCTTGTAGACCGCGGTTTGTTTCTCTACGCAGAGTCAATGAACATCGTGGCAGACGTGCTACACCAACAACATATAACACATTCTGTGCTGCTCAAACTGCCACGTCTTTCCTTGTGACGCCGCCCCCCAGGGCAGAGACAAAAATAGTTACGGGTTCGGAACAGGATCGGCCTATATAGTGTACACTACATACCAAAGTAAGTCTCCCCGGTGCTGGACCCATCCGATCCGGGCCCGAACGGAGCGGGGACCTGGATCCGGGACGGTTAAAACTTCCGAGTGGGTTCCTTCACTTTAGTGAAGTCACTTTAGTGAAGTACCCTTTGCATGATGTACGCTATATATATATAAGAAAAGGAACGGCCTCTCCGGAATGTTATCGATTGATCAACACAAAGTAAGACCGGCTGAATGTGATTTTCGTTGCAGTCCTTCCATGCAGCCGAGCTGTGGGTGGACATGGAGCGTCAGTGGCCAAAAAAAATACTAAAGGATCGCCAAGGTGCATGGAGCGGAGCGTTCGGCGGCGCTGTGTACCTGCGTCTGAGTTGTTTGCATCCGGGGGAGGGCGTGTGATGGGAGGGAGAATGGAGAAGACGGTCCGTTGCTGTGTCTGCTTTGTTGACGACGACAACGACGACCGATAGCCGTCTCTCCGCGACAACATGACCGCGTAGCCACCAGGTATATATGGGACTGCCAAGTGTACTATAGTGTAGTGAGCACTAACGACGTAATTGACGCAAGATCATGTCTGACATTTGGTATAGATTCCATTTCCCTTGGCAAACACGTCTCAAGTGAGACCGAAACCCCTCGGCATCAATGGTGGTTTTCTGGACGTTGTGTGTTGGTCACGCATATTCGATCGCTTTTAAGTTTCCGAGGTCAGCATTAATCGAACCATGCGGATGGGATGGGATGGGATGAGAGCTGGAAACTCTGCTGGTCGTCTTCCGACTGCTTTTTTGTTCGTTCGGTTCCTGAATCCTGAGTGCATATGTACATCCTGCATGTGCACTCATCCATACATACTGAAACCGGATCCAGAAAGACTTGTGTGGGTTCCTGACAGACGGTTGATCATAAGTCCTTGCATAAGCCACACTCGCGCCATGCACATCTTGTAATGCACTGCCTTTGGACCCTCAGCACATCATCGATCACTCACTGCACAGCCGCTGGTATCTCCATTTTATTTCATCTCATCCATTCGCAGAAACCAACATCATCACCATCAACATCATCGTCGACAATCGAAAAGTCCGAGCGGGCCGGAGCGGCCTGGGAAGACGACAGAGGGGAAAAAAAGGATGGGGATTAATCTCCAGGTGGGCCCCCCCCGTGCCATGATGGGGGGAATAAATTTAGCTTCGTTTCTGCTTCTTTTTCGGTTGAGACCGTGGTGAGCTGGAAATAGAAAAAAAGAATAATGCACCAAAAAAGAGCTGCTTGACGACTGGTAGAGAGCCACACGGACCACCCGGACGACGTGCCATTGCCCCTGGCGGGCGCAGAAGGATGATCCCTGACCAGCGGGGCGGGCAGCTCCACACCGCGGTCTGTGGTGACAGCATCGAAAATATGTCAGGTAGGATCCACAGAAGCCGTACTTTGGAAAGATGTCATTGGTTGGCGGCAATTGGCAAATGCGGTCCTCAAGCATTGACAGGTGGTATCGGGCCACCCACGCACACCGAGTGCCTGCTCAGTCAGCGGTCTCCGACGAGTGTTGAGACTGTGCGAGGGAGGTTTTGACTTCTGAGGGGAATATATGTAATAAGTGGAAGCAAAGGTCTGTCTGCCAGCACTGTGTTCGGAACAATCGGGTCGTTTCAAGATGACAGGCCTGTTCGATCTTTGGCTAGGACGGTTTGTCAGAGCAACAGGCACCTCACCTCACCTCATCTCACCTCGCCTAGGTGGCAGCGATGCCCAGCGGCCGGGACGGAACATCGACGGAATCTTGTTGGTTCGGTGGTCCTGGCGGTTTTAGTGGTGAACTTGGAGCATTGTGATGGTCCCTTTGTAGAATGGATGTTTGATCCTGACAATGAACAACTAACGGCATAGAGTGTGGTTCTCGCTATTCCCGCGGCACCACCAAAAACCAGTTTCAAGCCGTCCGCCCTCTCAAGGCGAGCCAAATCAAGGTACGTAGTAAGTACATAAATTATAGGCAAGTCATGGCATGTCAGCCCCCTGACTTGCCTTGTTTAGTCGCAAATTGCATACCCCTCCTTTATTCTCCGACGGATATACCTTTCTAACCACACTTCATGTGAGATTTTGGTACAGTAACGCGGCGAGCCCGGGTTGAAATGTACACTATGTGCAAGTCAATCAGGCAAGGCAAGTCTTGAGTTGTCCTAACAAGGCAAGGCAAGTCAACCCCCCCCTGGCTAGCCTCAACTTGGCGTGTATGCTACGCTGTCGTGGTCTACACTTATCAGTCTATCAGCTACCGCCATTTGTGTGCGTGGGTGTGTGCGCGTGAGGCGATGAATGTTTATCATGTATCAACAAAGAATTGTGATCGTTATTGTGGTCATCATCATGTGTATTGTGTACAGACTCACCGTCCGGATTGTCCGCCGTGATACATTAAATAGCCCGTACGCGTTTGGGGATATTCTTAATAATCAAGAGGCTTTTCTTTTTATGTACTGTGCTGTAGGATAGTGGAGCCGTCGAATCTCGATCCCAGCGTGCCAGCGTGCCCAGATGGAGGATCACCGGTGGAGGAGCCCGGACGGATCGCGGAAGTCTGGAACGACAGAACGAACGGTGAACACCACAGCTGGCGAACTATATACACTATATACAGCACAGATATCAAGTGCGCTAGAACACGCATATTCTGGGCTCTCGATGCCTGGCGGGCTGGGAGTGGGAGCCGGGTGCCTTTGCCGGGTTGCCATCAACATTTTGCACATCACACATTGCACATCGCAGATGAATATCGGATATCGAACATTGCATCGCCTTGTCGTCCTATCGCTACAGAATCGCTTTCTTGCCTTGTCGTTCTAACCCATGTATCGTGCTTTGAAGGCATCGACCGTCTGTCAAGGAAAGCTTTTGTTGCCGTCCTGCCTTGCCTACGTACCTCTATCGGCCGTGGACTGTGGTACACTACTATCAGACTACTAACATGGTAGGCCATGCCATGATTGATGCCTCTTCCCGCCATGGCAGTCCCGAACAAGGCCCCCATTCCCATCCCAACCATTCCCGTCGGTTGTTCGGCCGGTTCAGGCTGCCATGTCGAATAAAAGACACGGACGATCTCCAGTAATAATGCGGTTCAAGAAAGGCATGAGGCTGGTGGCCATGTGGGATTCATCCTGGAGCCTGTGTTGTCGATGGTCGATAGCGAGCAAGTGGTGGTGTTTCTAGTGTAGTGTACCAAGTTTCCAGCTTTCTGCAGCAATCATCGTCATAACACTGCGAAACCAAGCTTTCTAATGCAAGTCGCAGGACGCCAAAGCGCACTAAATGGACACCAGATGGAAAAGATAAGGCGTAATACTTGACAAGTACCAAAGGAGTACCTCGAAGCGATTGCAATAGGGGGACAGGTACGAAATTGTGGCGGAGCGAAGCGGCACAAATGTGGTACAATTACGGCTTGATTGGTTATTCGAGCGCGTTCGAGAACTTGACGGGTACCAGTTTACCCCACAAACTCCGGTCATCCCTTTTCATTGGGCAAAAGCTCCAGGTAGCGCAAGTCGTGGCGAGATGTCTCATGGGGTTGCGACAAGTACCCATTTCGTAGTCCGTCCGCCGAGTGTGGGTGCCACAATGGAAATTGCCAAGATTGATCAGGACCAACCGAACGGCATCTCCTAAAGGCGGTCGAGATTGGAGCATGGTTAAGGCCGAGATTCGCATGAGAGCGCGCGATATCTGGCAATGTGCAACGTGGAATCGCTAGATGGGATGGGATGGGATGAATCAACGGCACCTGTAACTGGCTGGGTGTCAACTGTCAGACGAACCTACCTAGGTATGTACAGTGAGAGCAGAGCACAGCAATGGAAGTAAGGAACGGGACCGGAGCGCGGGAACTCGGGCCAAGCAGGGCCAACATCCCATAACACGCAACAAGTGAATACGAGATGGCAAAAAAGCAATACTTAGCGAGGGGTAAATTGAGGCTCAGAGGCTCAGAGGCTGTGTAC